TGTAAATAAAATGTTACTATAAACGATAAAAATAATGGAAATTTTTAGAAAGAAAAAAAAAGATAAATAGCAATTATTTTGATATATGTAAACATAACTAAGTTACTGAAATATTATGCGGTAATGCCTAACTTTATTACTCGTACAGCAAGGGTTTCATAGACTAACTACTCCGAGTCAACCATTAAATTAACTCTAATTAATTAAAACTTTCTAAAGAACTGCATTACGAAATATGCCTGATTAACGACAAATTAAACTATAGGGCCCTTTTTAGCTTCTGCCAATTCGATTAAATAACGTCAACACCTCGTGAATGACTCTGAGTGCGGATATAAGTGTCTACCAAGGACATTTAAGATATTTGCTGCTTTTCGTTGACGAGATAAAACAGCTGTTGAATGTAGATGTTGACATTTAGTTTTAGTTGGTGTATTATATTTCTTTAATGACGTAAAATCATTTTGCTTGAAACAGAGTTTATGAAATTTGTTAATGCATATTTTAGTTAATAATTCTCATTTAAAGTAATAAACCACAAACAAAATATGATATCCTTATTTTTAAATGTATTTCTTTTAAATCCAATGAATTTTTATCATAATAGTCATTTTAATATCTGTCGGAACAGGTTTATAACTTTAAGTCAAAATAATGAAGAAATTGTGATGCGTTTCAATTCGGCAAAGTTCATTCGTTAATTATAGAATTACAAAAAAATATTAATTCCTATTACACAACACAATAATGCATGTTTTCTGTCTCCTGAATACCGCTCGTTATTTACAAATAGCAAGCGATAGAACGTTTTTTCTATAACAATTACGTCTCGTGACCACGAAAATTTTATGTATAAGTGATATAAGATTGCCTAGGTTTTTATAATTATAATCACAGATTAGGGTAAAAATAACCGCCTTCACCGGGGAAGGCGAGGACCTTTACTTCGTACTTCGCTAACTCCAGTGAGCTTCGCAGTGAGAGTCGCGGGAAAAACGCCCATTCTGGCCGAGCTACGCTTGCCAAAACAGCCCGAGCTGAGCTGTAAAGGCCCTAAAGGCCAATAGCGAGATTCCATTCAATAAAAAAATAAAAAAAAGATAATTATAATATTATCGAGCATAAGCCAATATAGTACAGACAACAGGAAACCCATCAAATGAGCCAAGTACCTAATAATTACACAGACTACTACACTAATACATTTTATTGGTTTGGTTAAAAGCGCTAATTTCAGGAACTTACATAATTCTTTTTGTTTTGGGTAGAACTCGATAGATTCCTTTCAATCGACGAAGGCTAAGCTATAAAATATGCTACGTCCAAATCATCGCGTTTGACAGCCATTTATAATCTATCACATATACGTTACGGCTGTCATGACGTAAATTATGCAGACACATTGATCATTGTCACAAGACGTCCATCTTTGCCAGAAAGTGACATAATATAGCTACTGAGATTTGTATCTTGCAATGTATCGGCTATGCTCCAATTGCATGTCTAATCTTCAAGCCAAACTATTTCGTTGGTTTATTATATAATTTGGCCTAGAGGTGCCACTCTCAACCTGCAATGATGCTATTTTTTATGTGTGCAATAAATACTAGCTCGAACGTCGAAGTTCAACATAGTACCTAAGGAAACCGTAATTTTTGGTGATATTTAGAGTGACACAAAGGAAGAGATTCGGAAATGACTTTTGTACATGTCAAAATCTCAAGTCTACTTTGACATACATACATTACATTTAGCGAAGCTTCGTTTCTGAATATCACCCAGAATGAGATCGAAATTACATAGACAACGTGTGTCATGCGCGGCCGATCACCTACTTGCTTGTTAAAGAAATTATGGAAACAGGGGGCATACATTAAAAGATGAAGAGAATTTGTAAGAATATTTATATAGAATTTTATATAAACTTTGTACGACGCGAACTATCATACTTTGTATTTTCATATAAATTTAGTTTTCGACTTTCTACATACACTGTTGTTAAGGCATCTTGACTAAGCTCCTTGGTAGAATCTGTGGCCATGAATATAGGTTATGACACTAGATGTCTTATAATAAATAAAGCCTTTTCCTTCTTATAATTTTTATAATTATAATATATGCTCAACTAAATTTTTTAAGGATCCCCTATAATTATAAGCCTCCTCCAATTTTTCCGCAAGTTTCTTCTATGTATTGTAATAAGGACTAAATATAACTCAGTAGTTTAACGTAAAGGATAATTATTTAGTTCCCCGCTTAACGATTTAGGTTGCAATATTATATTATTTATTCTAAGTAAAAGATTTCACTTTTCCAAACACTAGGTTATTTTTTATATAAAAACTGTAAATACACTTTATTTGTGTGTCAATGAATAAAATCTAATATATAAAATTCTCGTGTCGCGGTGTTTGTAGTTAAACTCCTCCGAAACGGCTTGACCGATTCTCATGAAATTTTGTGTGCATATTGGGTAGGTCTGAGAATCGGACAACATCTATTTTTCATCCCCCTAAATATTAAGGGTAAAATAAAATTATTAAATTATTTTTTTAATTTTTAGATATTTTTTTTATGATACCCCTAATTCTCACCCCTCTACGATCAACCCCTATTTTGTATTATAAATGATATACATGGCAAAACAACGTTTGCCGGATCAGCTAGTAAAATCTATAATAGATACATATCATAAAAAGCTTTAATCAGACGCAGAATTGTGTCTTTAAAATCGCGTTGCGGAAGTCGCCAAATATAGTCGCTCTTATACTCCTTATGGAATGTCTATGTCTATTTACAACTATATATTATTCCCAATAAATAGTATCAATGTTTACGCGTAAACAAAATGATACATTATACAAGTTTGGTATCGGTATTGACAAGTTTCTATGGACAATGCTTGAATTGTTATAGGAATTTAAACAACTTAAAGTCCTCGGCTTGAGAATTTAAAGAGACCTATTTTTTAATTAAAAATAATATAACAAAAATAGTACAAAGAATAAAGAAAACAAACACATCATTAAACTGTAATGAAGATTAATTTTAGTTGGTTTTGTTGACTTGAAAACCTGGTAGTCAAAGACCGAGTTGTTTTACAAAATCATATTAATTTTTTATATTTCGGATCTTTGTGCATTAATTAATATAAAAACTGAAACATCTTTTACTTTTTTATAAGTTTTCACAAAATATAAAAAATAAGTATTAGTATTCAATAGTAAGCTCCCGTTTTAGGAGAAATATATGCAATAATAAGAAAAATCATAAATAATTCATTAATTCGATAAAATTTCCGTAAGTGTTGCAGGTGAGATAATATAGATAATTACGCACTATCGGCACTTTTGTATACTTGAAACGGCATAATTATTAGGTCAACAATAGAAAAATACTAATGAAACAATAGATTAAAATGGCACTATAAGTCTCAAAACCCGTAACCTTAAAACAAGGTGAGGGGCAAAGAAATCCTTGGCCCCGAGCCGGGAATGAAATGTTCGGTCGAGAAACTGTAGGTAGGTTACGATCAAAAAATACTATTAAGATCGTTAGATTTTCTTTATGACGAATTTTAGAAGTGGTAATCCTTTAGTAAAATATTATATACCCCGAAATCTCATCCAGTTAATATAAAAAATAATAATGATATTAAACCACAAGCTTGTAAAATACTGGGAGCTAGGCCCGGGCTGCGATTGCTATAAAAAGATTATCATAGGATGGCCGACAGCGATGGCTGTGCGACATGCAACCCTGGAAAGCGAGTCGACTGTGCCATCGAGTACTGTTGCCAAAATAATTAAAGAAATCTCTGTCGATGTCCCTCCGCCGCGCCCGCGCCGCTCTAAAAACGTCGCTCTTTGCCCGGGAGTCGCAACTCGGGGCGCGGCGGGAAAACATCTCCCGCGTCACTCTTATTTCTTCTTTCCTTCCCGAAGCTGTCGAAAAAAGTTTTTCAGTAAGTTCAATTAAATCTATATCCTACAGCAGCAGTGTTTTAGCGTTGTGTGTGATAACAAGTGATTAATAATGACTCTTTGGAATTGAATTAGTGAAAATTATTCAAGTGATAGTGTTACATAACGCGAAGAAAATTTTGTAGCCGTCTCAGAATTTTAAAAATACCGCACTTTCTAGGCGCCCAAGAACTAAAATAGCATTGTATCACGTGGTACACTTTCGACCTATAGTAAAGCTCCACATTTCTGTATACTTTATAATTATTCTAGCCATTCTAAGTAAGGGCTGATTCGTTTTTCATCTGTTTTCGAACATTAGTAATCGATGTTAATTTTATAAGCATCGGTACTTAAGCTTTTACAAAATTTTATTAAGAAAGGATTTCATTTGATGCTGCTATTTCGTGACGTTAATAACAGGTGGCGTTAAGAGCAGTGACATATTTACGTCAGTCTATGAAAAAATGACGGATCAGTTGGATACGTATCGGAGCAATTTATGATAATTACGAGAAATAGTAATCCCAGTACAAATTTAAGATATTTTACTAGTTAAAACAGAAAGTTAATAGTTTATGTAAAGTGATTATCAAAAACGTTATATTCGCTCATGTAATAAACCAGTTTTCGGTGAGTAAAATAGTGAAAAGAAAACGGTCACTTCAGCAAAGGATATTGCTTGTTAAAAGCACTTTATTATTTTAAGTCAATTAATCGTGACATGAATTAAATAACCAAGTATTTCCTAGAAAATAACAAACATATTTGAATATTCAGTATGACATGATCACTGTCTACGTTTAACTCTTACTTTAAGTACAGTTTCAAAATAAAAATCACCTGGAACATATTTCTTTATCTAGTTTTTAAATATTAAGTCGTAGAAAAAGTGGATGACTCATTTATGTTTATGTTATAACTGCAAATTGAAATTAGCATAACCTATAAGTTTTAGAAGTGATAATGATGACTTGTCATTTTCTAACCTATGTTTTCTTTGCGTTTTAGAACTGACGGCAACGTAGTTATTCCACCATGGAGGACGCTCACACGAAATCCGTGGACGAAGTCTTAGGATTTTTCGGCACAGACTCAGACAAAGGTCTATCACCAGACCAAGTGAAAAGGAATCAGGATAAATATGGGCCAAATGGTAAGTTTTTTATAAGTTTTATTAAAAAAAAGTAGCATATAGTCTCATATCTTTTAGATCCAGTCAGAGCCAGGCATTTAAGTTCACATTATTAATGAAAATAGTAGTAGTTTATTGTTACTAAATCTCAAAAGATAATTACTAAGAAATTGAATAACTTGGGTAAAAAATGCAGTCTCATTCATAAAAAAATATCTTGTTAGTAAGTATAATTTACACTAACATTCTAGCCCTCAGTATCGTAATAATTTATTAAATTATTATAATACATTGTGTATTATTATTTTAAAATTAATATGAGGTGGTTGTCATATAAATAAAAACTTATTTTTGTAGGAACTAGATTATTTTCATATTAAATAGATTCTATTCTGAATAAATTAAATATATGTGAACAAGAAACACCAATATTTAATATAAACCCCTTGTGTTTCTTAAACAATTTACTTCAATAAGGAAGAGAATTGAAACTCCCTATGTAAACCTTGATAACAATATTGTAAGTCTTTAATATCACAATACAACCAAATGAAGCAGAATGCTTATACAAATATATATTTAATTCAAGGAGCTTGCTTAAAGAAATTAAATCTGTAAATGAATATATCATATCTTATTCCTTTGTAAAAATTGAAAAGGCACAATAAGATGGTTACGTCAGTGTTAGTGCAGTTTTCTGTTGTTTATACAAATTTCTATGTAAACTTTAAAATATAAATATTATTTCCAGTATCATTTACATATTTATTACAGTACCAAAGCATTGACAACTTTCACAGCAGTATTTTTTTTATTTCAACATCTTGGACATCAAAATATTACATGACAGATATGTGCTTTGTCACAGTGTTAAGGGAAACCATCAATTAAGCCTATTGTGCTTGCTTTATAATTCAATGATAAATGAGACTTTATGACCTAAATATTACTGACCCTTGATCCATCAAACTTAATGTGTCAATTGAGAAGTATTAGTTTGTTAAATTTGAAACATATAACTCCCTTTTTTTTAATCTTTTTGGATCCATCTACCTCATGTGTTAAAACTTGAATATTAAATATGAATAATGATATTATAATTAATGCTAATAAAATGGTAATAGACAATTGAATTCAGACAAATCTCATACATTGTGTAGTTATGGCCGCTATCAGTGAAAAATCTTTATCCTTCTATACATATACTGTTGAGGCTTAGCCGTGGATGACACATATTTGCTAGTACTTTTTAAACAAAGATTAAAAAGCTTTGTTTGTGTTCTTTGTTTGTTTCAACACATTTGTGATCATATTCATTTCTCTATTTATCTGAAAAATTTAGTCCTTTATTCAATTTCAAGTTTCACTCTACATAATTAAGTTAACTATTTTATATATATTTTACATATTAGAAATATATTTTTTAAAATGAAGGTGCTGATTAACTGTTCAAAGTAGATATTGATGATGGTATAGGTTGATGCGTTAAAAAATACTTGAATTAGATTTAGATCAGTCTCAATAATGATAGCGTTGTTAGAAACAGAATCTAGGCCGAGATATAGACAGTATTGTATGTGTGCGTCATTGGCGCGTTTATTTTTAGCTGGATAAGAGGTGGCCGGTGAAGTGTTATATGCCAATGGTGCGAGTAAACCTCCTATGAGCCGTGATCGCCACCGTGCCCTGTGACCCTCTCTATTTTTAATACTGAGAAACACTGTTAGATGTATTGCAAACTTTTAAAATCCGCTTACATCAAAATTCTCATACATAATACAATCGAAAACGTTAAATAATAAAAAGGATATATTTACTATGAGTGGATGTACATTTTTGTAAAAAAAAAATTGTTTAAAGGTCTTGCTCAAAGACAAAGAGTTGGTTATTTAGACCTTCATGTTGGAAAAATGTATTAAAAAGTGCAATTCAAGTATACATTTACGGACATATTATGCTTTACCCGTTTCAATATATTTTGATTTATTAAAATCAGTTTGTATATGTCCATTGTGTTCACATTCTAGGATGCGTGCCGCCGCGTTCAATAATGATAAGGCGGCTGGTGATAACGTAATTAGAATCATCTTTTTGCAATATTAACTGTTAATTAAAATACGTTAATCGATAGCCCCAATCGCCCCAATTTAGTTGACACCGCTGTCTTTTAAATGTACTTTCGCTGTGCAAAAAATGGGCAGAGGGACTAAATAAGAAGAGCACATGTCAAAAATTCCATTGATTTACATTCGCTGTCGAAAATGCGCGATGAAAAACGTCTGATCGGAACTAATGAGTCGGTTAAAGTAGACAAGTGTATGTTTATTTTCACGGCTTCACACCACTCTGCAGCTTGTTATTTTGCTTCAGCGTTCAAAGCAAAATAATCGCATCCAAACAATACGTCACTCTACTTAAAGCTTGGTCACAATACGGAAAACTTCCAACGAGAATAGATTTAAAAATAAATAATGTGTCCTTGTGTTTAATACAGTCATATTTAAAAGGCATCAGGATAAAATTCTTAATGTGAGCGGGGTAATAATAATTAAATTTTCTTTCATATTTTGTCAAGTTTAAAAAATATTCTATTTTCAAATGTGTGCATCCTGAACGCATTCTTAAAAAAGGAATTCCTTTATCGTACTCTTAAAGATCGTACGGGGAATGCATCTTTGATGTGTGCAGTATATTAGGCCATGTGTTTCTATACCGCAGTAACTGCTCTTATAATGCTTTTGTACTCATATTCGTTCCCAAGGCTCATTCAAAATTGTAGGTCATTAATTAAATATTTATAAATATAGTCAATAATTCAATTATTATAGCTTCAACTTGTATAAACCCATTGCGCGTATAATTGACTTTAAAATTGTCTATGGTTTTGATTTATTTATTAAATGAAGTATCTAAATTTGATTGATTGCGTGATTTTTTATATTTTTTTTGAAGATACAAAGTTTCAAGTGACTTACACGGTACACCACGCTTGGCCGTTCAAGTATTACGTAAGCAATTAGACAGCAAAAGTAAGCAAAGCTCTCAAAAATAATAGTACATAAACGTATTAATTTTTTGTGGGAATCCTCGAAAATGCATTTCGTTTTCAAGCATTGACAATGTGTGGGTAATATGTGTACAAAAGTAAATAATTACTGTTGAAGTAACTACCAAATAATAAAAAGACATCCCCTATAGTGCTTACGTAATACTTGAACGGCCCCTGACGGCCCAATCAAGAAGCCAAGTTAAATTTTGTATAAGAAGTCTTATTCTAGTACCTCACAACGTGCTAGTTAATACCTTAACGCGTATGTCATACGAGATTTAAACCCAATAAAATAGCGAATCGTAACATGAAATAACGTTTATTTCATTATGTTCTCCGGTACAATGCTAAAATGGTTTTATCGAGGAGGAAAATGACTCAATCGTGTGTAGTGAAATGTGTAAATCTAGCAAGTACACATGAACGGTTTCAATATCTCAATTTGCCATAAGGTGTTTCATATCGCGGAACAATAATAGTGCATACGGTATTTAACGACTGGTTGGATAGTGAAACGGCGCCTCGTACTGTATTCTAGAGTCGGGTTTATTTCTGACGATACGTTGGCGGCTTGCGTCTATTATTGCGGCAAATATTCACAATATTTTATTTAATGAATATACTGTTTAACGTTTAGTCGATCAAGAATCACGTGATCAGCGACGTATATGCTGGATGGCTCCACGGTATGAGGAATACCTGAGGTCGAAAGTCTAATGGAAAAAAATTGTGCGGAAACCGACTTGTCTTAATCCCAAAAAGACTTGTTGCCTATTAGAAATACAAAAAACTGAGGCCTAGATTTAAAAGTTTGTAGCGCCTCTACTATACATAATACTTTCGAATAGATAATACAATTTTACAAACAATTTGGTGTAACTAGTTGATTTTTTCCTTAGTCGCAGACTAAGACAATATTTTGTACTCTATAACCACTATACAGTGAGTTTATGGTAACAAATTAGACGGCCATTGTCAAAAATCGCATTCCAAATTGAAATTTTAATTCAGGCTTTAAAAAAATTACGCGCGCAATTACTTGTAAAATATCTTTATAAGCTGGTCTCGGCTATCCTAGACAAATACTTTTTATAGACGTCACATCTGACTGTCATTATAAATGTACTAAGACATTAATGAATCACAGCTTATGATACGCAAAATAACCGGTCAATAACGAACTAATCCGGTGTTGCTTATCACAGCAATAGCTCATTAACCAGTATTATGTCGCATTAATAGTCAAAGCATGTGCGGAGTACTGACGTAATCCTTATCTAGGCGATCGAAGCTATTTATATTCTAAATTGTTCATAATTCCTTAAAAATTATAGCTGAAATAAATATTGGGCGATGTGTTTTACTGCAAAAAATAAAATATTCTCATTATATTTTGGACTCGTGTTTATGGACGGGAATTACGGTCAAATCCAAACTATAATCGCAATTAAGAATTCCACCCAATCACTTCGACGTCCGTCGTTCCACAATTCGAGCGTTTTTAAGGCAGTTTTTGCCGCGCACAACCACTATTTGAAACCAGCTGCCCACTGAAATATATTCGACTTAAGAAAAGAGTGTACCAATTTTTAAAAGGCCGGCAACGCATTAGCGATCCCTCTGGCATTGAGAGTGTCCATGGGCGATGGTCACTTAACATTAGATGAGCCGCCTGCCCGTTTGCCCGCGTATAAAATTTTTTTATTGTGATGTTTATTTGAAAATTTAAGACGAAGCATTCAATAGCTGTTTAGGTATATTAATAAAAATTTAGTAATTCAAATAAATTACATTCAATAGGTACACGGTATAAACGAAATAATAAAGATGTCATTCCAAATTTCTTGTTATTTTTTTACTTTACCGTTTAGAAAGTTGTTCACCGTCTGCACGCTTAGGGTAAAATCAGACGGGCCTCAGCTCAAACTACGACTCGATTGTCAAAATCGTACCTACTGTATTTTTTTATAGAACAACGGGCAGGAAGCTCACCTGATGCTAAGTATCCCCATGGACACTTAATGCCAGAGGGCTCGCGAGTGCGTTGCCGACCTTTTTTGTCATACAGGAGTCAGCCATCTTGACTGAATCTTACCCTTAGATCTATCAAACTACGGCTGCAGTTTGCTTAATGAATTTTATATGTATGTACAAATGTTTTCTTTGAACCGCGTTCGCGGTTACTTAAGGAATAGACAGTAAATGGATTGTTTTCGGCTACGTTGACTAATTGGTTCTACGATTTCAATCATCGTTCACGAAAATAGAATGAACGAATGATATGAAACACATTGCTCTGGATTAAGACCCGAATCAAATGTTTCCTAGCGTATAACGGTTCTATTGAACGTGCTATGAAGCCTGCGATGTACCGTTTGAACTTCGAAAATACCGAGTAATTTTCTGTTAATAGAATTTGGATTACTTTTTGTTGATAGATGTGAAGGTTTTGCAATCAATTTATGAAAAACATGGTTGATTTATTTTATAAAGACAAAAGTTTACCTTACGCATTTCAAAGTCGAGACATAGGTTATGATTTACATATTATGATGTGCATCAAAAATGTATTGAATTTTGACTTAAGGGCGTCATAGTTCGCGCTAAGATTCATTTCTAAACCTCATTAGTGTTAAGTATTACTTCCGAATGTCAAATATAATTTTTGACTTAGCGATAAATTAAAAAAAAGGGTGCGTGTACTTATGTACGCGCGTAAGAAGTTATACTTCTTTGGCATTATTAAAAATAGTTTTTGATTGCATGCAAATAATTAATTACAATTAAATAATCAAAGACTGGAAAAGGAGTCATAATAGTCAATAAAGTTCAGTTTACATTTGAAAAATTAAATAAATAAATATTTATTATTATTCTCTTACATTAAGTGTAACATAAATTCTATTATTATTCGAATGTCGTTTTTAAATTATGTCCAATGCCGTATTATCTTCCGTGGGCAACTTCATTCTGTTAATTTTGTGTCACGGTGCGCGCGCATCGTAAAATTTCACTGTCATCAATTTTTCATAACGAGCCTAAAGAAGTATAACTTCAAAAATATTCTATAAAGCGTGTGAGCGAAATAAAATTAATAAAATATAAGATGAAGATATATTATGTAATATTATTTTATGACGAACTTAAGATTTTTTTTAAATCACATCTATGTCCTTACGTAGTGTTTACGTAAGAACAACGTGCGTCTGCGCACACGTCATTGGCGTCCACTGTGATTGTTGCTAGAGCTTAACCTCGGCATACTCATCCATATGTATAATTAATTATCACAAACAAAAACCAAGGCATCTCGGTTTAAACGATATTCCGTGACTTGTATGTACATTTTACGATATATTTTTTGTTTTAAATGTGGGTTATTCATAATATAAAAGAAATGTTTATATATTACATAAATATCCCTATCCGCGTTTGTATATAGCTCAAAAATACTGAACGGATTTTTGTTGAGGCTTAATGTGTGATTCCTTAGGAAGGTTTAGGTGTATAATTTATTATGGTTTTATGTCAATTGACTGATTGGCGTTCTTGTTGAAGATGTCATATACAATCTTGTCAAAATACACGAAATCCAAACGAGCTGGGCGGAAGATAGCGAGTTAACTATTTTTGAAGAATGATATGAATTCCTATATTGGTATCTGTTTACTAAACGTTTCCTGTCCAGCAGAGATGTTTTTACAAAACCTTGCAACAAGCTCGGCTCATTAATACATAAAAAAAATGATTTAATGTGACAAGCACTTATTGGCAAACATAACAAACACGAATAGAAAACAAAAGATAAATTATTAAAACTAAAGGAAAATTGTTTTCAAAGTGCCATACCTAGCTCGTTTATGAGAATGCTCAATCTTTGGTCAAAACGCGTTCTTCTGTGTTAATGTAATTCTAGTTGATTCAGTAGTTTTAAAACACTTCAGTATTAATTAATCACAACAAGAGCAATGTGCTCAAAAAAATCACTATCACTGATAAACGAACATTCACCCAGTTTTTGTTAAGCTGTCTACAGTTTATAACCTTCGTAAATAAATTTTAATAACAGTATTATCTAGATTATCTTAGATAAGATAAGGCTTCGTTCACTCAACCCGACATTTCTGTCCATGGTGATGAGAAAGGTTAGTGTTCTTAATAGAGCAAAGTCTGAAATTATTGATGTAATATGTCGTCATAACATGGCTATTGTCTATCGAGATTCGCGTTTAGTATGACGACCGAACAGAACAGTGTTGGCCTAGTCACTAGTGGCTTCGGTGAAGGAAAACATCGTGAAGAAACCGGCTTGCCTTATACCCAAAAAGTCGAAGGTGTGCATAGATAGGAGGCTGATCACCTACTTGCCTATTATATTGACAAATGATCATGAAACAGATACAGAAATCTGAAGCCCAGACCTAAAAAGGTTGTAGCGCTATTGGTTTTTATGATGAACGTACGTAACGTATACGCGACATAAGTAGCGCCATGGATCGCCCGCTCTGACTGGTTTATTGTCTATTACAACCTCTTTGATCTATTCAAGAAACTAATTACGATTTCTTTCTTTTTCAGAACTGCCGACAGAAGAAGGTAAATAACAATTTAAACTTATATAACATGTTATCAAAAACATATAATAACTTACTCAACGTACGTGGGAAGTGCTCTCAAGCAATAAAATATCCGCTTTTATGATAATCTAAACAAATTTTATATTTGCACGATCGAATAGCTGAGGCTATAATTTTGATATAATTGCTTATCTCTATATTATTGATGTATACTTACAAATTGACAACATATCTTAAAATGTATGTCATGGACGGAAAAATCTAGTACTGAACAAACGAACGTGACTATTTGCGCAAATAAAATTTTAAGATTAAATGTTGTAATTACTGAGAGTTATTGTGAATAAAAAATATGTAGGTTAATATTATTCAATAAAATTTCACTAACGCAATTTTTATTCACCTTAATTTTCACAGGCAAAAGTATATGGCAGTTAGTTTTGGAACAATTCGATGATTTGTTAGTCAAGATTTTGCTGTTAGCTGCTATTATTTCTTTTGTAAGTATCAATTGTTATTGTCACATATATGTATGAAGTACTGTATCTAATTCCGTCTATTGTTTGCAGGTATTAGCTTTATTTGAGGAACACGAGGATGCCTTCTCAGCATTCGTAGAACCTTTTGTTATTTTACTAATTCTTATCGCTAACGCTGTAGTAGGAGTATGGCAGGTGAGATACATTTCTGATATATGCTCTTTACATTTTTATAACAGTTAAGTAATGATAATATTTACTATACAGGAAAGAAATGCAGAATCCGCCATCGAAGCTTTAAAAGAATACGAACCCGAAATGGGTAAAGTAGTAAGAGGAGACAAATCTGGCGTTCAAAAGATTCGGGCGAAAGAAATTGTACCTGGTGACGTCGTCGAGGTGTCCGTTGGTGACAAAATTCCCGCCGATATCCGCCTAATTAAGATTTTTTCCACCACCATCCGCATCGATCAGTCCATCTTGACCGGTGAGTCCGTGTCTGTGATCAAGCATACCGACGCCATCCCCGACCCTCGTGCCGTGAACCAAGACAAAAAGAACATTCTTTTCTCCGGTACCAATGTTGCTGCCGGTAAAGCTCGCGGTGTCGTCATCGGTACCGGTCTCAACACTGCCATCGGTAAAATCAGAACTGAAATGTCTGAGACTGAAGAGATCAAGACACCACTTCAACAGAAATTGGACGAGTTCGGTGAACAACTGTCTAAGGTTATCTCCGTCATCTGCGTCGCCGTATGGGCTATCAACATCGGTCACTTCAACGACCCCGCTCACGGTGGTAGTTGGATCAAAGGCGCCGTCTACTATTTCAAGATTGCTGTGGCTTTAGCCGTAGCTGCCATTCCAGAAGGTTTACCCGCTGTCATCACCACCTGTCTCGCTCTCGGAACGAGGAGGATGGCTAAGAAGAACGCTATTGTCAGGTCCCTACCTTCCGTCGAAACCCTGGGTTGCACATCTGTTATTTGCTCAGACAAAACCGGTACCTTGACCACTAACCAAATGTCGGTATCCCGTATGTTTGTCTTTGAAAAGATCGAAGGTGGAGACAGCAGCTTCCTCGAATTCGAAATCACCGGATCCACCTACGAACCCATTGGTGACGTCTACCTGAAGGGACAGAAAGTGAAGGCCGCCGAGTTCGACACTCTTCACGAATTGGGCACAATTTGCGTTATGTGCAATGACTCCGCTATCGATTTCAACGAGTTCAAGCAGGCTTTCGAAAAGGTCGGTGAAGCCACCGAGACCGCTCTTATTGTACTCGCCGAAAAAATGAACCCCTTCAACGTACAAAAATCTGGCCTGGACCGCCGCTCAACCGCTATCGTCGTTCGTCAAGAGATTGAAACCAAATGGAAGAAGGAGTTCACTCTCGAGTTCTCCCGTGACAGAAAATCTATGTCCAGCTACTGCACACCTCTCAAGCCCTCTCGTCTCGGAACCGGACCCAAGCTGTTCGTCAAGGGTGCCCCCGAGGGAGTCCTGGATCGTTGTTCTCACGCCCGTGTCGGAACCAGCAAAGTCGCTCTCAACTCTACCCTCAAGAACCGCATCTTGGAGCTCACCCGCCAATACGGTACCGGGCGTGACACCCTCCGTTGCTTAGCTCTGGCCACCGCCGACAACCCAATGAAACCTGAAGAAATGGACCTCGGAGACTCCACCAAATTCTACACATACGAAGTCAACCTTACCTTCGTCGGTGTCGTGGGAATGTTGGACCCTCCCCGTAAGGAAGTATTCGACTCCATCGTCCGTTGCCGTGCTGCTGGTATCCGTGTCATTGTAATCACTGGTGACAACAAGGCCACCGCTGAGGCTATCTGCAGGTAGAAACCGCTTCGGATAACTCCCCTTCACCCAAGATGTCAAAATATTAACTTGCCGTAAATTTCAGACGTATTGGTGTATTCACTGAAGACGAGGACACCACTGGAAAGTCCTACTCCGGTCGCGAGTTTGATGACTTGCCTATTCACGAACAACGTGCCGCTTGCGCAAAGGCCCGCCTCTTCTCCCGTGTGGAGCCAGCACACAAGTCCAAGATTGTTGAATACTTGCAGAGCATGAACGAAATCTCCGCTATGGTAAGTTAAAACACTATTCCATATGAGGGAATAAAATAATGTTATACATACCCAATAGTTGGAATATTAATTTCACGCGTTAGAAGTTATACTTCTTTGGCGCAACGAGATAAAAATCTATTCAAAATTTTATCTTTCATCTTATTCTACGTTTGTAGAAAAAACGACACTACCAATAGAAAAAAATTACTCTCATCATTTTTCCCTAACGCGCCAAAAGAAGTGTAACTTCAAAAAAACTAAAATGTTGACTATAGCTAACTTCAGGGTGTCGGTTTTTTGTGACGGTGTGCGCGCGCATCGTAAAAATTTACTCTCATCATTTTCCCTAACGTGCCAAAAGAAGTTAACTTCAAAAAGTAAAATCCAAAACAAATGTAATTAATATAGTTCCCGTCAAAATTAACTCAGTGATTTAAACATACAGGCAACATTAACCAAGTCAATATTTATTACTCAATAAATTCTAAATGCGTTATTAATGTTTACAATTGTAGTGTTAGATGTATAATTCGGTTTGTTTATAGTAGCTTTGTTCTGTTGATAAACACGGAAGATATTATATACTGATTTGGATAAGTAAACAAAACTATCGACGATAAAATGTACATTAACGGGTTGTATGTCATTGCAAATACAACTGCGAAATTTCAAATCATTACACTATATTATTTATATTTTTATAGAAAAACTAAATATATAGTTGTCGCCCGGGTTCGGCCAAGCCTTTTAAGCAAATAAAGGCCCTTTTTAGGAAAGGGAAATCTGACCTTTTCTTCTGCCTAGCTTTTAGGCCAGATCTGCCTGATCGCGTGCCTATTAGAAGGCGATTTAAAAAAAAAAAAACTATTCCACATATAATGTCTAATTAAGTCAATAATAATAAAGTATGATAAATAATATAAGAATATAATACAAATTATACATGTTAAATTACACATTTGCCTCGCTTTTTGTTTTATTTATTTAATTTACAATTTTGTTATATCTAGAATGTTATACCAAAATATTTTCGTACGCAACAGCTTCTCGTTAATGAAATATTAAGACCAAAAATCTAAGGAAGGTTCATCCGTAGGTTATTAGCCTATATGATATTTGGTGGATTTCTGATGATGGTATTTTCATCTTTTAAGACTGGTGATGGTGTGAACGACGCCCCCGCTTTGAAGAAGGCTGAGATCGGTATTGCCATGGGATCGGGTACAGCTGTGGCCAAGTCTGCTGCTGAGATGGTGCTCGCTGATGATAACTTCTCATCCATTGTAGCTGCTGTTGAGGAAGGTAAGATTCTATCGTGATATTATTTAGATGTCCTTTTTAGAGTAAGTCTGTCTTTTTAATATTCCGTAGTTTGTGTGTTTAACAGTTCCAAACTCGATCAATTCCACAGATTCATATTTTTTAAATTTGTGTTACTAGTTGGAATAAAAGATCAAAAGTTATTTTTAATTTACGAAATTATTCACATCAATGCAGAGGGTAAATTCTTTTTACGTTACGAATCCATATTTCGATTATATTTTTGAATGGTAAAAAATTTGGTATTTAGCAATTACTTTTTGTATACTATTTACAAAATGTAAAGATAAAATCTGAGTTTATCTTCTTTAAGAACACGTGATTTTATCGAATATGCTTTTAGAATATAAATATGTTATTTACATAAAAATATCGCAATTTCTAAATAAAATTATCCGAAATTTACCGTTGTATTGCAACATATGTTTGCGGTCACGATGCAAATTGTAGAGGTCTTTGCGATTCTTCATCTAAGACAGTTAATTGTTTTTCTAATTTAAATACGCAATTTAGATAAAAAATGCGTTTTTAGAAAGTTGCGCATCATTAATGCTATTGGAAATGATTCTGCTACCATTTAGTTCTAATTGTTGTTGCTTTTCATACATATATTTATTATTATTTAGACTTTTCTGCCTTAGTCCGAACAATGTGTAAAATCGAATAGCTACCGTAATACAAAAATAGAAATGGAAAACTTGGAAGCGCTTTGCAGGCGTATTTGGACCACTACTTATTATTACTATTACTTATTTAAAGACGGCATCATTATGAATGTCATGAAAGTGGATGATGCGAAAGAGCCGTCAGGACCGTAGCATGTGGAGATCCGTGGTCATTCTCTTCAGGAAAAAGGCGTGATGATGTAAAAAAAAATTAAATGAATTAGAGCTGTATTCAATTCCAAGTTTTCACATTCATTAGACCGAATACACAATTTGACAAATAAACGAGTACTATTGTTAGAAGAGTGAAGTTACACTGATTTAGTTATTATACGGGTTTTAAACTCAAACTGAAAATACCTTTATTAATATAGGTAAATAAGTACACTTATTAACGTCAAAAAAGAATTAAATTAATTGTAAATCACATTACCAGTTCGCAAGTCAAGGGCGTAGAGCGGGCAAGTAGAACTGGCAAGAAACTTTACGCCAATCTTTTTAATCGCTAAGTTTTGAGTCATACAAATTGTTTGAACTGGAGCAAATCAATCCCAAGGATTAGGATCATTTAAGTATTCATCAAACTTTTTATAAATTTGATGAATAGTTAAATATAAAAAGCTTTAGTATATTATAGTTTATATAATGACTATTTACTTAATACTAATGACACAATTATTCCAGGACGTGCTATCTACAACAACATGAAGCAATTCATCCGTTACCTGATCTCATCCAACATTGGTGAAGTGGTTTCCATCTTCTTGACTGCCGCCCTTGGTCTTCCCGAAGCCCTGATTCCAGTCCAACTGTTGTGGGTCAACCTGGTCACTGACGGTCTGCCTGCCACTGCCCTTGGATTCAACCCACCCGACTTGGACATCATGGACAAACCCCCCAGGAAGGCCGATGAGGGTCTTATCTCCGGATGGCTGTTCTTCAGGTCAGTTGGTTAAGAAAATTCATAATTCATTGTCTACTACCAATGTCTTTGAACCACATCAGACATTTATTTTTGATATGAAATAGGGATGTAATTCTGCATAAAAAATCGATTTTTTATTTAACGATTTTTTCCTAATGTTTGAATGAATTTCAAAATAAACACCCTAAATATGTTTTATTCTTCATGGTTTTTTTAATTAAAAATAAACAATAGAAATTATAAACACAAATTAACGTTTAAGAATAATCAAAATCGAAATTAACTTCACAATCTCGTTTTGATAGATTTTAGGTGAAATTTGATAAATGCTGAGTATATGCCTTTTCAGTAGAACAGTGCAGTATTTTTGATGTCTTTTTAATTGTATGTATTCTTGTGCTGCTGAATAAATCTATTTTACTTTTAAATTAAAGTGTTCCATTCAAACTTGAGTTTTTGTAAAATTAACTGGTTTTATCATCCTTTCGATGTTTTACAAAAAAACATCAATGCATCGAGTATATCAATACATCTTCAAAGAATCGGATTCAATATATCGCATTGTAAACATCGATTTATATCGAATATCCCTAATAGTACGAGGTCCGGGTTATAAAAGACCAGACATAATGTCGGGAGGTGGCAGATGAAAAATCTACTATGATTGATTTTCAATTATAAAAATAATCTATTATTTTAAATATAAAAATCGCGTAAAAATATCGATTTTAATCGATTTTTTTAATAATCGATTGTTTTTTCACATCCCTAATATGAAACAAATTGAGATATTTTCTCTTTTAGTTGCCTTTCTATTTTTTTCTTTATCACATTTTTTTATAGATTTAATCAATTAATTATGTATTAACAGTTATTTATTTTGCATATTATAATGACAATAGGCCCGATTATTCCGGACAAAAAAGGTCCGTAGGCGGCCCCAACATGTGTTGACGGTTCCGGATGATTCAATCACCATAGCTAATGACAAATTAAAAGCGCTGCAATGAAAAGTCAAAATTTAGATTTAAAAAAACCGCCTTCACCAGAAATAGCGTAGACCTTTACTTCGTACTTCGCTCACTCCAGTGAACTTCCGTCCTGCCCTTCAGGCGACTGACCCGTAACGGCCCAAGCCGAGGTACGAGTCGCGGGAAACACGCCCATTCAAGCAGAACTACGCTCGCAATACAGCCCGCGCTGAGCTGTAAAGGCACTTAAGGCCAACAGCGGGATTCCATTTAAAAAAATATATCTCAGCCAAGGAAGCAGTGTCTTTGTTCAATATAAAAGGACTCTGCCATAATGCGTAGCCTTGCGCGTTTAAAAGCCCATCTAAGTTAGTGCTAATAATCACGTCTAAATTGTCGTTGCTTAAAAGCTCCTCAGTGTATTCTCTTTCTTGATCGGTCCATCTGGTTGGTGAACGGCCACGTGATCTTTTGCCTTCTGTTACTAACCACGATCAGTTTCTACAAGTTCTCATCGCCTCTGCGCATTCTACCGCCTGAGCGTATTACTATAATGTTATGTCACTTTAAACATATTGTTAAAATTTTCACTAACTTTAAAAATTAGAAAAAATAATTATGGTTGTTATTTGTATTTGTTTAACAACAATTACTTTGAGATAATTTATTAGTATAGATATATTCTAGCTGTACCCTGCCACACTTCGCTGTGGCACATTATGATTGAATGGTTGAAAAATAAGAAACAAAGCAAAGAATACATTTCATATAAGTTTAATTTTGCAATACATGGGGGAAAAAAATTAAAAAAAAATTGTTAAAAACAATCCATTCATGCTAAAGTTTCAGCTCGATCAGTGCTGAAATTTTTGAGCTTTTGAATGTACACAAACAAACATAACATTTTTATATTTATATTAAATATCGTCCCATTTTAATATCATATGACTTCCACAGATACATGGCCATCGGTGGTTACGTCGGTATGGCGACTGTGGGAGCTGCCTCCTGGTGGTTCATGTACTCCCCCTACGGACCTCAGATGACCTACTGGCAACTTACCCACCACTTGCAGTGCCTTGGTGGAGGAGATGACTTCAAGGTAAAATATATTGTCTATAGTTCCTTCTGTTCTTTATATAAGCCAAGAATTTTATATCCATCAAGATTGAATAAAAATGTTTGAAATACCAAATTGTATATATTTTTTTTATTGAGAATTTGTTAAAAACCAAAGAAGTGAAAAAGTAAATTCACTAGTCATTGTTATATATTTAAATTATTAGAATTACTCTTTTTAACCAACATACATTATTACTTGTATTTCCAGGGTATCGACTGCAAGATCTTCACCGACCCCCACCCAATGACCATGGCTCTGTCCGTGCTGGTCACAATCGAGATGTTGAACGCCATGAACAGTTTGTCCGAGAACCAGTCGCTGGTTTCCATGCCCCCTTGGTCCAACATGTGGCTGGTGGGCTCCATGGCCCTTTCCTTCACTCTTCACTTTGTCATCTTATACGTTGAAGTTCTCTCGGTGAGTCAAATGTATAAGTTTCAAGTTTGTATAAAGCGCTTTGGATCTTCTTAGGTATGTTTGAACCCCGCCTGTGGACTGTTTGGTGAAGGAGAACATCGTGAGGAAACCAGGAATGCCTTAGGCCTGCAGGCACAGAAGGCACAGAAGGCTGATCACCTAATTGTCTATTAAGAAAAAAAATATATAATGGAACAGATACAGAAATCTGAGGCCTAGAGTTAAGGCCAATCAATGTTTTTTTTGGATTCATCTTAAATTCTATTGTGGATAAGGCTTTGGGTTGGTAGACAAGGTCATCAAATTATTTTGGGTTAATTTATTATTTGTGATAGACTCAAGGTAAAACGGTAAGTGTTGAGTAAAAATTTTCATTATCTTAAAGTTAAAAGTTTTTATTCACTTCTTCTCAGTCTCATTTTCTTCTTTTCTTTTTCATCAACAAAATATTTAATTTTAAGGTGATATAACGAAAAACTTTGACAATTCAATTGTTTAGGTCTATAAGAATTATTAAAATGTGTTTTTAATAATTTTTTAACATGTTTTAGGATGTTAATTTTAGCTTCAGTCAACATTAATTATATATCAAAAAAAAATATTGTGTGTGTACTATTTATGTGTGTATGTGTTTAACCAGGCCGTGTTCCAAGTGACGCCTCTGTCCTTGGACGAGTGGATGACGGTGATGAAGTTCTCGGTGCCAGTGGTCCTCCTCGACGAGGTGCTGAAGTTCGTGGCCCGCAAGATCTCCGACGGTAAAAGCTCCTGGCTCCAGGGCATGCAGTGGATTGTGCTCATGTGGGCCGTCTTTTTTGGCCTCGTCCTCTACGGACCCCTATAAACCACAGTACAAATGCGACAGTCGCTCACTTTAAGCGCGCGTTGTAATTATTACCCGTTGGCTATAAATAGTACCAGCCTCTGCAGTCGAATAAAACGCGTATGCGCTGCATATTTAAATGGTTTTAACTACCACATACGAGAAAATTTACTTTGTTTTTTAATATAATATTAGAAATATGGACGTTCTGCCATTTTGAAAATATTTGAGTTTGAATTGAGCGGCCGTCAAATGTATTGTGCTAACCTCCCGCCAAATTCCGCGCCAGCCACGTTTCTCTTGGCTGACGCAACGAATTCCACTGTGGAAACCGATGAACATTGGGCTCTGCTCACCACAGTACATTAACCGAATGCTAATCCACAAAGTGTGAAGTGACCCCTGTGCACGTGTGAACTGAGAAGTGACCAACTGACACGTTCAATGGACTGCGGTGCTATGTCCTATCGAGACAATAATAGCTCACGGAGTTTTACGGGCTGTGAAGATCATTTCAGCATTTCATTTAACGATTTTATATTAGGAAATTGCTCCGATAACTCGCACACGGCTCAGTCTGGACGGCAGACGTCCTATTGCCTGTTAAATAGAGCTCCATTCCTGTCGATTTCTAGGCCTGGTACATCTCGTATCTTACTGAAACTATACGGGAATTAAGTTTTATTTCATTGTCAATAGTGAAGTGCATTGTTAGTCTAGAATAATTTATTGTAAGATAGGCTCGTTATATCCGAAATATTCGATGTATGAAGAATCTTTATTTGTCCTCTCACCTCTTGCTTGCTAACCTGCATTTGTAACCTTTTGCAATTGTCTGTACCGTCTCTGAAATGAATAATTTTGTCTACCAGTGCTTTTTAAGTCTTATCGGAGACTTACAGACATTTGCATGCAGAATGTTGGCATAATGCATTTATATGACTAACAAACTTCATGTTAAAAACCTTGAAATTTTGTACTTCTTGTCTCAAAACAACACAAAATTCATTGTAAAATTAAAAAAGTAGCCTACAATTATATCGGTTTTGGTTTTTACAATAAATATACAGTAAGTTTGATCTTATGATAACTTTTATAAAACATAATATTTATGTATAAGGATTTACGAATGTGTTGATTAGTTCAATCAATCTTAAATGTTAGAAAAATAGATCTAAGTGATTTAATAGTTTTTAAATAAATTTGCATGACTGCAACGCATGATTTGTTTTTGAGAGTATGATTTTTGTGTGCCTTAAGCTTATTAATCAATAACTATTAAATGTGAAAATTAAACGTCAGCCAGTCACGAACTATGTTACATGACACTACACACGGCACAAACACTAGCATGATCGACTGAGTACATTGTAAATCCCTTGAATACATTTATTGATTTAAATAACTTCATTTTCAATATGTTTTACACTAATAGTATTTATTAAAGGTAAGAAGTGTTACCCTCACACCAGATAAAACAAAGCTGTATTATTTATCCACCTTCCCTCTGCACTTTCAAAATTCACGCACACCCTTAAAGCCGCACTAACTGCGTGTTCGATGTTACCTCCTAACAAAAAGTTTTGCAAGCTTCGAAAATCCAATTGCTATTGGCTATATTTTTCGAAATTCAAAATTTACAAGACCAGCTACTTACAAGTTGCAGTCTTGTCACAGTACACAGTAGCTCTATATTAGAAAGGTTTCAGTTCTTAAAATTAGAAAAATCTAAACGAGCGTGTTTATCAGAGCTACTGTTGGTATGTACTGTGTTGCAAAACTTTGTTCGGCGCCGCCATATAGAAGTGTGCGCGGCGCCGTGTTCCCGCATGCACTAACTAGTGTTGTCTGCCCCCAGCCACGACGTGGAACGTGTAAACGCCAAGGAGCCAGCCGCAGCACTTCTGCACGCACTATTCCATGAACACTCATTGTTTGTTGTGATCCCGCAGTGAAACTACACATTAGTAACTTCGACACGGTTGTGATCTCTGCATAAAGACCCAGTAAGTTCGGACGGCGGCACGCGCTCGGACGCACCACTAACGCTATCGTTGTTTTGCAGTGAACGAGGTGGTCGTTGACAAGTGGTAAACGCCACCGATTCATAGTTCCTCATCCGCTTCTCTCTGCCACTCTACCGCTATCGTCTCGGTATTAATTGATTGACTCGTAATATAACGAGACGTCGACTAAATGTAGCCACTAGCCAGAATAGGGCTCCGGCGCAGTTCCGAGTGCGCCAACGACAACGTGCCGCAGCCAGCTCCCGCTCCCACCTACGCTAGCTCACCACTCACCAGAGAGGACATGTTCATAATGTGTATATACAATAATATATGCTTAGGAGATTTAATCAATTTGTTTAATTACGTTATAATTATTATTAAAGACTACATGGTGCCCGTCGACAGCAGTGCGATAGACTAAGTGTACTTAAGTTGACAGCATGCTATTAATTTATTGTTATAATTTTATTCTCTTCGTCTAGTTTGCTTATCTAGAGCCTCTATCTTTTATTTCTATTAGTGCTGACACCTCGACGAGCAATATGGTGTCTGTAAGTGAAGGGTAAACATATTACCCAGTTTGGGACCGAAGTGTCCATAAATTTAAACATACCTTGTACATTTTAATGTATTATTGTTTTGTACAATAAATCGTTATAAAATAATAAGTGTTTTATTCAACTTCATTTTAACGTATATGTATGATAAATAATTAACTAGGTACATAGGTAGTTGTTGTTTGGAATAAAGTTTTAAGTGGGTCAATACGTCATATCACAGATGAGTACTTATTTTTGCTATGTGTTTAGAAACGAAAGTCACAATAACAATAGTCTACAACTCTTAAACTATGTAAATGATTTAAAAAGGTTTTATGTGCGATTTTAATCTAATTTACTATTTTCACTTTCCAAACAAAAATAATGTTCTAAAAATTTAGAAATTCCAACCCTAGCCACGAAAAAGTAATTTAAATCGATACAACACCTAACGTTCCTTTTTTGTTGGCTATAGGATATCGTGATAGTCAAGTCAAATCAAGTCGTATCTGTCACTCTCTCTGTTGAATTTCATCACAAATTAATAATTTGATTATAATATTAACTTCTACGAGTATTTTGACTGAAAGACTTGTATCCACTGTTACTGAGCCTTAAGTCCTAATTAAAAAGTTTAAAGTTCAGAAAATCATTAATTGTCCAAAGTATTGACGTATATGGCGAAAAGCACAGAGTACTTCTGTATTTGGTATACAGTAATGAGTAAAGGCTGAAAAGGATGCCCCTTGCGAAAACTAAATAAGATGTTTTAAATGGTGGCGAGTTAAAGAATGATGGAGCTTTAAGAGTATAAAGCGTAATTGCAAGCGCTCGTATACGATCAGGCTAAATTTGTCAAAGGCACGTAGCCTTTGTTGTGAAATATTGATATATTTCAACGTCTGAAAATGGAGAAACCCAAGTAAGTTTTTCTACAAAAGTTCACAAGTGTTTCAATTCCTGTGTTTTTTCTTTTGTGTTTCAGTTATTCCAAAACTTGTTTGTCTTTTCACAGATCAGATATCGAACTGCCTAATAAATTAGCAGACCTAAAATTAATGGAAACACAGTCAGAGGAGACAGAATCTACGACGAGAGTTTTAAGGAAACGAAAACAGACATCCCCTGAAAATAAATCCACTAATCGTAGAGTTAGTATGAAACCTCGTAAACATATTGCTGTTACTGAGACTGGGAATTCTAAGCAAATTGAGGCAATATATCTTAATAATAAAATTAAGAAGACTTCATCTCAGACACTGGAAACAATATTTGAGGAACCGAAAAATGGTAATACAGATTGTAACAATGTAATGTCACGTAGAAAAGTTAAAAGGCTTTTAACATTCCACCTAGGTAGTCACTATACTAAGGATAAAATAAAGAGACGAAGAGAAAAAATTAAAAAGTTAAGAGGAAATGCATTTTTAAGTAGAAAACGGATACCTATGGATGTAGTACTGGAAACTTTGGAAGCATTACAATCTGATGAAGAGACGTCAACTGAAAGTAAAACAATTGAAAGTGTAACTGTGTAATTACTTGTATACATACCTTTGATACTTTTTAATTAAAATATAATCTGACTGAAGAATAAATCTTAAATTTATTTAGTAAACACAAGTATAATAAAATAGCGACAAATTTGTAAAAATATATTTCATCTCAAATCATAGATCCTTTATTATATTAATACAAAAATAATTATTTATAAACACTAGAATAAATCGGGAATGCATTAGGTAAAATGGAATAAATAATATTCAGGTAACTTATATGGTAATCATGAAATTAAATGTTTTGTACATATCTTAACAGCTATTTTATAATAAATTGCTTTAGAATAATAATGTTATTAATCTACATTAATATAACATTCAGTAGAGGTACTTGAACAACCATGATAAGGTTTTAACATATTTGTGTCTTCTTTAATGCAGACACATTTAGGCTTCTTATCACCAGGAGTGTATAATTGACGTGGAACTCCAATCCAACTTCTTTGTATGCCACCACTGCAAAGTTTGGTTTGTAATTAAATAATGATATGAATTGCTTGTATAGAAATAATCAGTTTGCCTGGTCAGTGTTTTATTTTACAATATGGCTAAAAAATATATATATATGTATGGTGTCAAAAAATTCAAATGTCTAAACAACATTCACAACAAAAGTTTGATTGGTTCAGTTACAATGAAGCATGTTAGGGCAACAAAAATGATTAGTAAAACCTAGTATTTTCATTGTGTTACAGGAGGACTTGAAAGTAAGAACAACTGTCACCTATATAAATATATATTTGGTTAATATTGTAATAATTACCTAGACTTTGAGCACCACACTCTAGTACCCTCTGCTTCACTCCAAGCGACATTACATGGAGGATATAACTGATCCTGTTTTTTTAGATTTTCCTTTTCTTCTCTACATTCTTTTAATTTAATTTTAAATTTCTTCATGTATTCTGTTTCTGTACCATCTGATGCATAGTACCTTCCTTTAACCATACCTAAAGACATTACAGTTGTAAATTTAATAAAATAAAAAAGTATTTGTTTGTTGATAGAGTAAATAAGCAGGATATTTTTCTTCCCAAATAAAACATTCTTATAATGCCAAGACATATAACAGATAGGAGCACCAGTATAGTTATTCTTTTTCATAGTATGAGTTAGAGTAACTTAAGCACTATAAATAATAATTTTAATTGTTGTAACATGATTACATACCTACATACACATATTTTTCACGAAAAGTCTTTCTCCAATTAATAATAGCAAATATATCATCACACTTCAAATCTAACACATGATCTTTTTCATCAGTTTCATCTTTAAAGTTTCCAGTTACAAGAGCTCTAGTGCCATCTTTACCTGAAAAATTAATCTAAGTAATAAATAGGAATATATGGAATGGGGTATCCACATGATTTACTATCTGTTAATACTTTCTAAAAGCTTCATTATGTCAATAGAAACCTAACACAAATAAATAGAACCTGACATAATACTGTAATATAAGTAGATACCTTAACATAGTTTTCTTTTGTGTACAATATTACAAACCTACAAAATAGTGGTAAGAACTTCCTTTCTTGTAATGTCTTTTTCCACTTGAGACGTCGAAAACTGATCCAAGTATACCAAGATACAACTTATCATTACCAACTCCATTATAATGTGATAAATCCTCTTCAGTTAAAGGAAGTTGTACAGCCGAATCATTAGAAACTAAATTATTATTTTTAAAGTACCAATTTTGAATAAAAATCGATCCAACAATGAAAAGTAAAGAACTAATTACTAATTTTATACTATTATTTTGCAAAAAAGAATACATCACTAATTATAAAAAGTTGTGTAATAATTAAAGTAAAAGTACAGTGTTATGAAATATTTATCAACATGATTTGAATTTTGAATTTACGTCAAAGAAATAAAATATAGATTTGTCATTTGACATAGAATTATTGCAAGCAAACAGCTGATTGCACTCACCGATAAGTTATTGTTGTTTATTATCAACGTCAGAAGTCAAAATTTTAAACGTCATCAAAAATCAAACAAAACAAACGACATTGATAATAATTGAATATTTGAGTGCATTAAAAGCTTTTATACTGAGTACTATTTATATAAAAAAGTATTAAAACTATTACAAACTTTATTATACGAAATGTGAAATTTAGAAGCAGTAAAGAAATGATCTGTAAATAATTAAACATCAATTTCTCAAATCTTAATTTTACTATTTTAAGGTGACTATAGCTCAATGTAAAAGGCTACTTAATAATGGGCTCTAATAAGAAAAATTTTAGGTTATACCTTAACCTACGAAATTATTCCTGTTTGGCTGCTAGAAGAAGAGTTGTAGTTACAGGTTTAGGTGTTGTTTCTCCTTTAGGAATTTCTTCAGAAATTGCATGGAAAAATTTATTAAAAGGTAACTCCGGCATTGTTGCTCTTGGTGATGAATATAATACATTACCCTGCAGAGTTGCAGGAGTTGTTCCAAAGCAAGAAAACAGTCATGTAGAAAAAGCTTTGTCAAAGTTAAATTTAAAGTCAATGGCACCTGCAACTTGTTTAGCTTTAGTTGCGACACAAGAAGCATTATCAGATGCCAAATGGAATCCAGATTCTGATATAGATAAGGAAAATACTGGAGTGGCTCTTGGAATGGGCATGATTGATCTAAGAGATGTTTGTGAGACAAATGCTGCCTTACAATTAGGTTATAACAAAGTTAGTCCATTTTTTGTACCTAGGATATTACCTAATATGGCTGCAGGCCATGTGAGTATCAAGTATGGGTTTAGAGGTCCGAACCATTCAGTTTCAACAGCATGTGCAACTGGTGCACACTCTATTGGTGATGCATATCGCTTCATAAGAAGTGGTGATGCAGATGTCATGGTTTGTGGTGGAGCAGAGTCCTGTATAAGCCCTCTAGCTATTGCAGGATTTTGCCGCTTAAGAGCATTAAGCACCTCCTTTAATGATCAGCCTAGCAAAGCATCAAGACCATTTGATAAACAAAGAGATGGGTTTGTTATGGGAGAAGGTGCAGCAGTACTAATATTAGAAGAATATGAACATGCTCTCAAAAGAAATGCTAAAGTTTATGCTGAAATATTAGGTTACGGATTGTCTGGTGATGCCTCACATATAACTACACCTAGAGAAGATGGCAGTGGAGCAATATTGTCCATGACCAGAGCTCTAAATGATGCAAATATTAATAAACAACAGATAACATATATAAATGCACATGCCACTTCTACACCAGTTGGAGATAACATTGAAACTACAGCTATTAAAACACTATTTAAGGATCATGTGTCAAAAGTATATGTTTCATCGACAAAGGGGGCCCATGGTCATTTACTAGGTGCAGCTGGCAACTTAGAAGCAATATTCACTATTTTGGCATGTCACCATCATGTTTTGCCCCCAACAATCAACTTGGACAATCCAATAGATGACCTAAATTATGTAGCTAACACACCACTGTTATGGGACAGTGACAGAAGAGTAGCACTAAAAAATTCATTTGGATTTGGAGGGACCAATGCAACTCTTTGTATATCTAGTATGAATTAAGAAAATGTATAGAAATATTTTATAATTTAATTATAGTATATTTAAACTGTTACAAATGTTTTTTTTCTTGATTTTATAACAGTGGCAAACAGCCAATGACACAACATCATGTTACACATAGCATGTTATACTCTTAAATATCTGAAATGAAAACATTGTTTACCTCGTCCAGTAAAGCAATGAAAATAATATAATTTGATCAAAAAAAGCTACTATATCTCATAAGAAAGCTCTAATATTTTACACAGTTATTTTACTTGATAAATGCTGGGTTTTATCCAGTCAAATTATGAATTAAATATTGTTTACGGTTGGAATCATTCAAACATGCACAAGTGTCACCTATAAACTAGCTGTCTCAGCAATATAATAGTTTATAAGACCTCATTTAAGTCATTTTACAAGCACCTTTTACTTATTTGGACATTTTGTTAATTCATCATTCATCTAAATAATGTTTTCCTCCTTGTCTGCTGTAAAATTACAATGGGAAGAATTTTTGGCCTCTTGAGTAGAGTAAACCATTACTAACTAGAGAGGCTTGGCAATATTACAACATCTTTTCTGTAGTATTATCTTACTTAAGGAACATGACACATTAAGATCGTTATTTTAGTGTTGAATATGTTGAGGGGATAAAATGACATAATATGGAGGAAACTTATAAGTAAGCCATCTATTGCAACTACTTTACATTTATCTTATGTAATTTTTAAATAATTTTGTATAATCCTGAATCTGCCAATGTGTGGTACTGGATATTTCGTGCAGTTTGAATGTATCATTATCTTCCTATTTTTCCTTCAGTGAGACAGGTTTCTGGGGTGAATTTACACACAATTGCGCAAATTTTTTACGTAAATTCTGTCTTAATTCTTGTCGTTTCTCCGTTATATTCCTTCGAGATTTGAATTCCATAACCTCCTCTATGGGTATGTAACTGGTGTTGTGTTCTTCGTCTGATGAACATGTATCCTGTAAAAATGGTTAATATCATTTATGTTATGTGAAAAATATAAATAAAAGAGGAATCTTTATTTAAAATTTAAAAACAGAAGATTAAGTTACGTACCAGCATCTCTTGTAATGACAGTGTGAGTCCGGTACATAAAAACTTGTCACTTTTTGAATCTAGGCAGTCCCCTCTCTCATGATTGCAAAACCCTTCGGAACAGGCCACTTCTGAACCTTCTGGTGAACTTATCAGGGATGATGACCCAGACATTGTCTCACAACATCCACCAGTATTCCCTGATGAATAGCCACAATCGTGTGAATGTTCACTTTGTGACAAATTGCCTTTTTTAGCCCTCTTATTATTTACTTTTTTCAGGGAATGAAGTTCTGTGAAATCGTCCTGACATGAATGGCAGCCATCTGCATTTGTTTGCATTTCTTCAAAACATTCATTATAATTGTCTGTCGACAAATCAGTTGGTACATCCCTTTCTTCTTGTAAACATTCCTCACATTCACATTTTACTTCAGGTTCTTCTGGTTCCTCCGAATCCACTTCCTGCAGACAAGATAAAAAATGTATTAATTATAATTATAACTATGATGAAAAAAAATATTCAATTAATTATTCAAGAAATCCAAGTATTCAATATTTTATATGTTATATATAATACAGTAACTTATAAAAAACAGTCTTATGGGACTTTGCATCTCTGGTTTAAATAAAGCTACGCCCTACATGAGCTCTATGAATGAAAATGTCAATCATAAATTTTTAAAGCAAAACCAAACCTACAGTGCGCTACAACCTTTTAGGTCTAGGCCTCAGATTTGTATAACTGTAATTATTTGTTTTTAATAAGAAAGTAGGTGATTGGCCTCATGTGCCTGATACACGGCCGTGCATGCCGGTTTCCTCACGATGTTTTCATTCACCATATGAGCGAGCATTTAACAAATGGGCACAGCCAGGGTTCGAACCTTTGTGCTGACAGTCGCATGCTGTAAACACTAAGCCAACAATGCTCTGTCTATTGATACATACTTTGCATTTTGATTCGATGGCCTGCCTTTCTTTCTTCTTACGCCGCTTGAGCTTCTTCTGTTCTTTCCTTTGCTGCCTAGTTACTTCTTCTTGAGTAATCTCATCGTACAAAAGCTGTAATTTGGAGACGCCGCTCTTGAGTTCGACAGCCATCTCAAACTTGCGGTACAGCGCTTCAATTCCCACAGCGGCCAATGTTTGACATGTGCCTTCTTCTTCACGCAGTCTTAGCGATATGCGTTGTAAGCGCTCGTATATGCATATGCCGAGGCATATAAGCACCTAAAGGATAATATGCACATAATTTTAATTTTTCAGGATCACACACTTAACAAGATAACAGTTATACAACTTATTAAAAGTTTATAAAAATAATTTATTTCAATTTAAACATATTACAACTTATAATTAGAATGTGCTCTCCTCGGAATAGTCACGAAAGTTAGTAACAAACAATTTAATACATTTTTAAAACCATCTAGTTAGTCAATGGTGTAAAGATTCAGTTTTAGAACACTTAACAGCCAAAGTGAATCAACAAGTTTTTCAAATTGGTCTAGACATTAAAAAAGCAGAAAGCCATCATACATCAATTGTGTGCAGTGTATAAATTACTAATGATAAAAAAATATGCCTTTATTAATGTAACTTATAAGTTGTAAAGAATAGTAATTGTATGAACATTTTTCATCTTGTCTACAATGTTGACAATGTCCAATTCCTATTTAACTATAAACAGATAAGAAAGAATTCAAAATAACTTTACCTCCTCTTGTGCAATCTCCAGAGTTTTGGCATGTCTCTCACGGTGGTTCCCAAGTAATTCTGGTTCTGCTCTATTGATAAGGTGTGCTATATATTCGGTTTTTGCTTGAAGATGTAAGTGCTTGTCTAACAAGCACCTCTTGATTCCCCCATACAAAGCTCCAACATAGCCCTTTTCCTTCTGTGGTTCCTTTTCCTCAACTAGCAATAGGTATGCTTTTAAAACCTGAAATATAGATCACACATATTATAATAAATAAATAAATAAAAATAAAAAAGCCTTTTTATTTCTTGCAAAAGAACAAAGTAAACTATTTTTACAAATATATTTTTAAGAAAGTAAATTAAACAATTATTATTATTATTATTTTTTCCCTAATTTTTGTATCTATTTCCCAATTATTATTTTGCAAGAACCCTTCCGCAGGTGTAGGCCTCCTCCAGGGATCTCCATGTATCTCTATTTTGGGTGAGCTGCATCCAGCTCGAGCCAGCCGTTTGAGCAATGTCGTTAGCCCATCTCGTGAGCGGTCTTCCTCTGTTTCGTTTCCCAATAGGGCCACCCCACCTGGTCACCCTTATGGTCCATCGATCGTCAGAGAGTCTTGCTACATGACCTGCCCATCTCCATTAAAGCTTTAGAACATAGTTTAGGGCATCAGTAGCTTTAGTAACGCTTCTTATTTTTCAGTGTCTTATTTTATTAATTTTTCTAATGTTAAGCATGCTCTGTTCTAGGCCCCTTTGACAAGTTCTGATTTTTCTTTTTATCTTCTCTGTATATTTCCAGCATATGATAGACATTCATTTCACACATATTATATCTTTTAAAAATGTTAAATCACAATTCTTCATTTTCAATGATAATAGTAAAATTAGAACAAACCATACAAAGCATATATGTTTACGAACAAGAATGTCCCTAAATGAGCCAATTCAATTAAAAAAACACCTATTTATCCTATCATTTATTAGAATTTAACAAAAAAGTAATTGTGGAAAAAGGCTAAAAGTGTGTTTAATTTAGTTTTGTGCAATAGTTTTAGATAGTCTAGGTCGATTTATAACGTGGTGAAATCAATTTCAGAGAATGGGGTTTCATTAGACTATCGGAAAAATATTGTTACTTACATTGATTCAACCTTTACTTTAGCTTATCATTACTACTTATCAATGATAAATTGTTACATGATACTAAAAAATTTCAAACAAAAAAAATAATGATAACTATAGGAGTTAGATAACAAAACTTAAACATGTTGTGTACACTGTACAAGAAGCATTAAGGCATTCTCTCATTTAAAGCTTTTACATTACAATATACATAGAAAAGAAATCAATGTATTCAATAAAATATTTTAAGATCAATTTTAACGTATTTGTCACCATGTATTAAAGTATAAACTTGGGTATATTAAACACATAAATAAATTTATAGATAATAGTTTAAAATCGACAATTACAAAGAACAAAGTTTAACTTAACTGTATTTGTCTAGTTATATGAGAGAACTCTACCTTAGTTTTGCAATCAGCACAGAAACGATGCTTCCTTAGATAGTTGTGTATTGTATCATGTAAAGTTTTAAAATGTATGAGAGTGACATGTTCCCGTGCTGATGTTTTCATAGCATCCCAGGCAGAGCGCCAAGCTGCTCTCCCACCCCAACTCCATGCTGCCCAACCCCAACCACATGTTGTGGAAGCGCCCCAACCTCTGGCACTGCCTGCTTCTAGTGAATGTAGGGTACACCTCTGTGATTTCTTCCATCGTGGCTGACTAAGTATAAGACATTCTATTCCTGAGCTGAAATTATTATAAATATTTTGTATTATTTATAATGAACTCGATCCATAATTATAATCACAAATTTACAAATGTCATACCTATGTCCATTGAGTAAAGTTGCTAATGCTTGAGGATTTGTAATTTTATCTTCTTTTATTGTCATAATTTCTCCTGGTGTGAGGATTATTGGATCTAATGTTGGATGTCCTGACTTACATAACTGGTAAAATAATCTTTCCACACTAAAATTTTAAGTTTCATTATAAAATCTGATTAACTATTTATAAATAACTGAGAATAGGATATAATTGTTTAAACCAAAAAACAAGTTTTTATAGTTTTTTAGTAATATCCATTAGATCAAAATAATCCAATAAGATTTCTTATATTACAATAAGTCACATAAGTGTCGCAAAGGGATAGGTTATAAAATTTATATATGCATGAATTTTATATCACATAAAATTATAGTATCTAACTTGTTCATTTTTTATCAGAAAGTAGTAAGTCAAAAACCTTCAAATTTGGTTACTTATAAAGGTGGTCCCTAATAATTATTCCTATAAAATGTAATATATAAAATATAATAAAATACCTCCTTCTACAGCCCACACAGGGAATGCTTTGATTTAAAACATTAAAAATATCTGAGGCATCAACTCTCAGTGCTGATTTAAGCTCATCTGTTGTGAGAATTCTATATTTGCGCAAAAATTCATCGTATTCGCGACCTTTTACTTGAGGATTATCGCAGATCAAGCCCATAGTATTTAAATCCATTATCATCTGTAAATATACGAATACAAAACATAAAACAAAGAATATTCAGAAAATTAAGGTCAACTTCAAGACGTAGTTGATCACAAAAAAGTCGGCTTCATAAAAAAAACTAATATATAAGATTAACACAATTGTTGTATTTTTAGATTTAATAAGAGAACAAATAGTTAATTAGATATAGGCACATGACGATTAATCAATTTGATATTAATAATCTTCGTTAGAGGTAGTGTCAGCTACATATAGGACTACTTACAATTAGATTATCGTAAATTGTTAGTGGTAACTGACGCCGATTAATAGCTGGATTTTTATCGCAGTTGTAAACATCCACTAATTTCGCCATTTCTTCGAATAATCACATAAAATTACCGACAAAATATACAAATATCATAAAATGACGGCTGATGACGGCCAACTTTTAGGAAATTTACGACGTGAAAACCACAGATAACATTTAATCAAACACTCTAAGTAGAATATAAAATATCATGATCATGACAGGTGAAATGGAAGATATTGGTGGCCACTTCTGTTTAGCTTCACAATTTCCTTAACTTTACTTTATTTAATAATAACTATAACGATATTATGAGAAAACTTAAAAAGTCTCGACTCTCGACTCTGTATCTCTATCAGGGTTTTCAGAGTTGCCCTCAATCTTATAGTGTGTTTTGTCAAGTTTCAGATTAGTTATTGTCATTTGTCATTTTTCATGTCTATTGTCTAGTAAATACTAATTACTAAATATTAAAATTAAATAAGCGATAAATAAGGACTATTCATTACTTACTCATCATCGACAGAATTTAGAAATTAACAAAGTACAATTTATGTTTTGGTTAATAAAAGCAATATTTGTAAATTATGTCTAAAATATTTACCCCAACGAATCAAATTCGATTAACTAATGTCGCCATTGTAAGATTGAAGAAAAGTGGTAAAAGGTTTGAAATTGCCTGCTATAGAAATAAAGTTATATCTTGGCGAAACAAAGTGTAAGGAAAAACAATTTTACCCATAAAATTAACATTATATTAGTATAAATCAATAATTGTAGCTACAACAGCTAACACCCTTAACTTTATTACAGAGAGAAGGACATAGATGAAGTTTTACAAACACATACTGTATTTACAAATGTTTCAAAAGGCCAAGTTGCTAAAAAAGAAGATCTAGTCAAAATATTTGGTAAAGAGGATCACACTGAGATATGCAAGGAAATATTGGAAAAGGGAGAATTACAAGTGTCTGATAAAGAGAGGCATTCTCAAATTGATGCTTTATTCAAAGACATTGCAACAACTGTAGCTGACAAATGTGTCAATCCAGAGACTAAAAGGCCATATCCGGTTTCAATAATAGAAAAGGCCATGAAAGATATTCATTTTTCAGTTAATGTAAACAAAAATGCAAAACAGCAAGCATTGGATGTAATCCAAATGATTAAGAAAGAGATCCCTCTTGAAAGAGCTCAAATGAGGGTCAGAATAGTATTAAGTGGTAAAGAAGCACGTAAGATAAGAGATAAGGCTGTGAAATTAACATCAAAAGTTGAAGAAGAAAGTTGGGAAGCTGGAACTGCTAACATTATCTGCTTAATAGATCCAGGTAGCTTCAGAAACCTAGACGAAATGATTAGAAGTGATACAAAAGGTACTGGGCAATTTGAATTACTCAATCTGAAAGAAACAATTGAGGGAGAACAAACACTGTAATGCATTTTGTTATTATCTTTAAAAATAAACTTCTTTTTAAATGTATGTATGACTAATAAACACTTTTTTTTAATGATGTGTGTTCTATTTTTATATAATTTTAAATATTTATTTCCTTTTTGTTAGAACATTGCACAATAATAGTGAAATATATAGTTTATACTCATGATATGGCCCCCACAGTCCTCTGACTTAAACCCTATTGAATTATTGTGGCATCAACTGCAAGAAGAATGGCAGTAGATAACGAAGACAACATTGGAAAAATTAGTAGCCAGGTTGCCGAAGCTTTGTGAGGCTGTCATTAAAAATAAAGGGGGACACATAGATGAGTCCAAAATTTAAAAATTATATTCTTGTTATGTCTAAAAATAATAAATAAACATATTAAAAAAACTATGACATCGTTTCACTGGATCAGAATTTTTCAAACTGTATCCTTGTGTTCTTCACAAATGTTTCACAATTTCTAATAAGTGGCCAATAATTTTTGAGCGGTAGTGTACAGCAGCACTATCAGCTATATGTAATTATTTATTTAGAAATTAAAATGTAATTTAAATAGAAATGTTTTCTTCAATATTTGTATAATAATAATGAAGAAATGTACCCCCTAAAAACCCCCTGGACTAAATTTGGGGGAAAACCCTAAGTTCGCATTAGGGATGTGAAAAAATAATCGAAAAATCGATTTTTGTACGCGATTTTTATATTTAAAATAATCGATTTTTTTTATAATTGAAAATCAATCATAGTCAATTTTCATCTGCCACCTCCCGGCATTATGTCTGGTCTTTTATAACCCGGACCTCGAACTATTAGGGATATTCGATATACATTGATATTTACAATGCGGTACATTGAATCCGATTCTTTGAAGATGTATTGATATACTCGATGCATCGATGTTTTTAAAGTGATTTTATTTATTCTTAAACGTTAATTTGTGTTTATAATTTCTATTGTTTATTTTTAATTAAAAAACCATGAAAAATAAAATATTTAGGGTGTTTATTTTGAAATTAATTCAAAAATTAGAAAAAATCGATTATTTTTTTAAGAAACATCGATTATTTATAAATCGATTTTTCATGCTAAAAAAATAATCGATAAATAAAAAATCTATTTTTTATGCAGAATGTCACATCCCTAGTTCGCATCACTCACACTGGTTAGAAACTTAGTAAGGATTTCTGTGTGTAAGAATCTATGAAGTGTCTGCAGTCTATTCACTATTGCCAAGATATTGAGTACAGACTACTTCAACCTGTAAAGAGTGTATGCTGTAGTTATGTAAATAGTTCGGCTATTGTGAATTGTCACAGACTCATGAAAATTAACATTTCGGGCTCTTAACCTTCTATTTAAAAATTAGAATTTTGAGAATTTTATTTGAGGATGAAAATGTAAATGAGTAGTAAAATTCATACTACGTAGTGTTTCGGAAAATACATTTGTTGCGACATAATTTGTAGTGTTACCATTGTTACAAATTACGTAAATTGGAACGTCAAAGTGAATGTACCCATCAGCGAATGAATGACAAATTAAAAAGTTTTATTTTTCTTATATTGGTACGAGATTTTATTGATTGTTTTCTTTCAAGATTTTCGGCCAGACGGCGACTGAAATTGCAAGTTACTGTGATATATTTATTTTCAATAATTAACTTTTCTTATCAAGCAATTAAATGATCAGGGATATCGAGTTATGTCTATAAGTAATGGAAGGTACAGAACTGGGTGGCGACCAGCAATTCTGTTTGAGATGGAACAATTTTCAAGCAAATATAACATCTCAATTCGAGGCACTGCGCGATGATGAGGACTTCGTGGATGTCACTCTGGCATGCGAGGGACACAGGTTGGAAGCACACAAAGTGGTTTTATCGGCGTGTAGTCCTTATTTCAAGGAATTATTTAAAGTAAGTCCATCTTTCACTCCCCACACTTTGATGTGTCACCATTACAATGACTCTAGTGAAAGTTGTTATGTATAAAACACTTGATCTACTTACAAATGCCATGTCTCGCGTTCCGGTTAAGTATTCGTGATTTCATTTATTTGTAGCTACTTTAGAATTCTGTTTCACAATTTCTAATTAATTCACTACCATTGAGTCTACAAAATCATTTTAATTGGAAATTTCACAAATCCTTAACATGAATTTATTTACATGCTTTAATTTCCTACAAAAACTTGCATGCAAGGCTTGTATGTATTACTCTTTATTATGTGGATATACACAAAAATAGAAAATGGTGTTTAAATTCCATGTACACAACTAAATATTTTACAGATATTAGAAATGTTTTGGTAGATGTTGTAATTCTATATATACTTATTATAAAAATATTTTAATAAAATAATTATTATTATTTTAATATGTTAATGTTGTTAAGGCTAGAAAGTAATATGCAGTCTTGCAATATTCCAAGCAAAGTATACTATATATTTTGTTACCAAGTAAATCTTCATACATTCTCTTTTTTTGTTGTTGCATTGTACTTAAGATTTAGGAAATATTACTTTTAGCAATAAATTTACTAATATTATAAATTAGGGTTCCTGTTATATTAAACTTGCATACTTTTATGGGTATAGAATTTTACAGTATTTGTAAGTAATGAGATTTATTTATCTATCTATACTCTTAGTCTAAAGTAAAAACAGCAGATACAATTAGTTGTTTTTATAATGCAACCATTACTTTGCTCAATATTTTTAAGAGAAAAATTTTCATTTGATGAGTTGAAAATTTGATTTTGGAATATGTTATCCCCACCCTATCAAAAGCTAAACAATAGCAATATTTGTTATTATTGTTACATAAGATAAAATGTACCAGTATGTGGTCAAGTAGTTCACAATAAAATGTCACATATAGTAAGATAAAATAATACTTCAAAGATAAATATAAAAACTTTAATAAACATTACCTAACTTTGCAAATGATAACAATAATTCATATTAATCTGTTACTTCAAAGGAAGTAGCAAAGTAATTTTTGTTTATGAAAATCCATATTACACATGTTGGTAGTGTCAGTGACCCATTACACAATTGATAAGATCTAGGATTACTCTTATTTATTGGTGCTTTGATAAAATATATTATACTTAAAGATATAATTTGTTTACACTTAATAAACAATTGTAAACTAAAATGTTCATAGGAGTTGCAAAGAAACTTTTAGAATATAGAATGCTTTAATAATATATTAAATTATTTGCTTGTTTTTGTTGTTAAAGAATTAAGAGACTGAGGCAAATGTTTATTACAGAATAATCCATGTCCTCATCCGATAATATTTATGCGGGATTGTGAAGTCTCCCATATACGGGCACTGCTCCAGTTTATGTACGTAGGACAAGTGAACATCGCGCAGGCACAACTCAGCGCTTTTCTTCGGACTGCCGATGCTTTACAAATTCGCGGCCTCACTGACTGCTCACAACACAACGATAAAGTATGTTATTATAATTTATTGTATGCGATCGTCACCTTGTAATATTTTAATATGTGTTTTATTTGCAGAAAACCAATCGAAAGTCTCCCCCGTCTCAATTACGCAATTTGCTAAGCGCTAAGCCCTCACATTCTACCTCCTCCTCCAAAGCCGCAAACCAAAATGTGGAATCGACCTCTGCCGATGACCAAGAGAAGAGCGCTAATCGCCGTTCTGCGAGGAATTCTCCTGAAGTGCCCAGAAATAATCTCAGCGAAGAAGCTTCCTTTCAAAGTTCTAGTCAAACGAGGCCTAATAATGATGACTATAGCCAAACCTGTAACTACCCCACATTGCGGGTGAAAACTGATCTCGAAGTGACTGATGTGAATAACGAAGAGAATGATATTCTTATGGATCCCGGTGATGCGGAGAGAGATAGCAAATCCCAAGATTTCAGCGCCACAGATTTGTTGGAACCAAAAATGGAAGTCCTTGAACAGGAAGCTAGTGATGAAGAGCGATCAGGGTTTCAGCCGTTATACTTTACTGAAAATAATACTCTCGCAAATCCTTTTGCCACACTTCAAGGTATGGGGAAAGCAAAAATATATCTCAATGCTCTAACAAGCATCACACTTCCAAAGATTGTTTTTTATACTAGTGTCTCATTGCAGGTAGTATGGATCTCATGACGGGAATGAACGCGGAGCTGACTGAGAACGCAGAAGGTAAATAAATTCGTTTGTTTTTTAATTTTCACGCCATTTTCACATGCACCAGTCGAACCGGCAGCCGCGCCCCCGGCGAACCTTTTTCACATTCGGCCTAGAAGAGAGCGCGCGGTTTTAACTCTCGTATACGGATATTAGGATGTTTATGAACGGTTAAAAATGTTTATGAAACCTTGGTGTTCCTTTTTGTCGTTCATAAGCAGCCGCATTACTTGGTGCGCGGGTGTCGGGATATCGACGGCCGCCGCCCGCTTGTGTCGCCCGCCAAAACCAGCCACCGCGCCACGGTTCAACAAGTATCGAATGAACTAAATAAATAATTAAAATTACGGGTTTGTTAATGATACTTAGTTGAATTTTACTGCGTCTGCGCCCTCCCGCCACTGTCTTAGGCTCCGAGCGCCACATTTACCTTATAAAATTATTTTTTAAATCTTCACACTGAAATGGGTACCGTTTCATTATATCGTCATATGTATGAACATTAAAAGCAGTTGTCAACAATACAGCAAAACCGAACAGTTGTCTTATCAAATACACGCGATTTACTTCCATTAGGTAGTCTAACTGTGAACTTTGAGATTTCAGTTGTTAAATATAAACCAATTGTGTTGTAAAAGGAATTTGCTTAAAATATATAACAGACAATGCGTTGTGTAGGTTACGTAATGAAAGATTTTTATCAACACGCCCTTCTATTATTTTTTTACTTGTTAAAAATATCAGAATCATGTTTGTCATTCCATCAAATTTTTATATCTATAATATCTATTATAGAAGTGTTTAACATAAAAAAACATATTAAGAACAATAATATTCTGAACAAAAATTAATATAAACTATTGAGAATAAACTCGGGAGTATTCTGTATGGCGATGCAGCAGTGTCGAGGGGAAACAAAACTTGAGAAAATCCTGTTGGAAGATAGAGCGGGGGGGATATTAGTTCGCGTTGGCGCGGTCGTGGCGGGTAGGCGAGCGGACGGGCGGGGCGGGGCGTAGCGCAGTCGAACGTGGTGTTGTTGGCAGCGGGCGGCGCGAGCGGTGCGGGCGGCGTGCAGTGCGCGCGCTGCGGCCGCCGCTACTCCAACGCCTCCAACCTGCGCCAACACGTGCGGCTCATTCACGAGGCCCAGCCGGTGGTCTGCGCGCAGTGCGGCCGCTGCTTCAAGACGCCGCTCTACCTGCGCCGGCACACGCTTGCCCAACATCCGCCAAGGATCAAACCGCCGCCGCTGCCCCCCCTTCGCCCCGCGCACCGCTGACTTGACACCTAGGGCTTCCCGTGACACGCGTAACGTGACAGACGCTTATAGATTTGTATGATTATTTCCCGCGGTAAATGTATACGAAGCGAAGACCATACAAGTATGTTTCAATTCGAGTGGTCGGGTTTAGTTATTATAAACATAATGATAGTGGATATTTTTAGATTATCTCTATCTCTCTCTTATTCTGTATTGGAAGTTACAAAGACACATTCCAGTCTATTGTATTGGGTATCTTAAATTTAAAATTATTGCTTATTTATACTGAATAATCAATTTTTTGCTGTTCAGTTTCAATAATATCATCAAATTAACTCTTGAAATACAACCTATCCTATAACTCCGAAACATCCTTGTATGGTGTTTCGTGGATCTCTTATTAGATTTCACATTTTATCACATGACGGAAAGCCCTAGTAACCGCGCGCTCTCTTACTGACTAGACAACGCCGCAATAAAATAGCTGAATATTCTTAAATCTAATCTCACTCGTTTTTGAATGATCATTACTCACACTCGAATAGATACTTTATTGCGGGGATGTCGGTCCTCTTCGTTGGGTAATATAATAGGGATGTGGCTTAAAGGAATAATGAAGACTGTGTAGGTACTAGTCTGTGATCGGAATGTCGCCGGGGGCCTATACGCCGTCACACCTCTTCGCTTATTGCGTGCCTTTCAATAGTATACCAAGTTCATCGCTTCAACGACGCACCTCTTGTTGTAGCAATAAGCCTCCTAGATGTATACAGTAACTTTCCTTGCGTACGGGAAAACCCGCCTTAGTATTTACCCCTAAGATAGTGCTGATTCACGTTGTCTGTTATTCTATACATAATATATGAGTCAAGGGGCCTCGTTGAAGGGGATTGAATACCTTCCTTTCTGACAATAGACTGATCGTTGTTAAGACATTTGTTGCAACCGGTGCTGATTTTTAATGTAGATTATTTACAGGTTAATGTATATAGACCTATACACGTTACACACTCGCTCGACCTTGTCCAACGCTTTGCAATAGGTATTTTCACGTTTTTTTTCTACAGTTCACGCGTTGGATTGGGTCGAACTTATCGGTTTTATGTGTCGGATATACAATATTGAACCCGTTATTGACAACAATAGTAAAGTAATATTTTTATACACAATAGTTTTATCTTTACACAGATGTTATATTGTTGAGTGATCGGACGGCTCCCGGTTATAGTTTGTACAAATCTCTCGCATGTTACAATTTATAATACATAATTAGCTCGTCAGAGATTACAGTGAGATAAGTAGCTATCTGTGTGTATTGCAAAGCCTAATTCACTAGTGAATTATTAAAGGATATTGACATCAGAGCAAGAATTTGAATAATAATGGCTGATATTTTTAGTCTGGAATGTTTTACACACGATAGATACTTTAAAACATTTTATCGTCTGTGGCGTAGTCTATAAGTTGCCATATAAAACCAGTGTCGGCACGCTGCGCTTGACTCTAGTATAAGATTACATATTCGCTTTATTTTTTATCTGTTATTTTTGAAAAATGATTGCCATTAAAAAAGCATCTAGTCATTTTAAAACATCTTAAAAGGGAACGATGTCGATATGATTAGGGTTGTGAATTACAATATTAGTTTGTAAAAATGTATTATTTGTGTATTGACCACGAGATCTCACTAAGTTCCCATGATCTCTGAAATTTATTTTGCATTTAAAGTTATTTAAGTAAGCAGCCAAGTGAAAATTATGTATCGCGCTTTTTAAAGCCATCTTTAGGCATAAGTAAGGTCTAAGTTTAAATGATTTCTTAAATTGAAACGGGAATTATATGCTAAAGAATATTTCCTATAAACTTATCACTACAATTACAATGTATATGGATGTAAATTTAAACAAAATTATTCTCATAAAGTAATTAATTAATGCTTAAATCGATGACATGCTACTTTCGTATGGACGTCGGATATTTCGTATAAAATTGTATTCTATGGCACGCTTTTTATTTTTTTTTATCTAAGTAAAATATGTTCCATTCTGATGTACAACAATCATAAGAGAAACAATAGTAAGAGAACCATACGAGTCATAAAAGCTACGAGTCGTTGATACTACATAGAAAAGGAAGGAAAGAAACCTTGTTACTATGGTAACGAACACGGTACAATATGGCCGAGTTTTCTCAACACATGTCAAAATCCATCAATTAGTAGTCATACTTTCCCTTATTAAGCCAATTAATTTCCGACAAATATAAAGTATCTGGTCTACATTTTTCTGTTTAAAATACTTGGGCTTAATTTGTGTACATCGGAACTAAACACAGTTTTGATAGGTTTAACTCATACAGACTGTTGCTTCTAATCGTTTTGTTAATCGAATTATATTAAGTTTAATCATAAATCTATATTTTGATATTGCCTAATAACAATAATGTGATTAAATAGATACAATTTAAGTTTTTCAAAACAATATTTAAAATAGAAGGATTTAATGATCTGTCAATTTTAAAGTTATTTTATGATGTTTAATCTGTGCAATCGTTTCAGCAAGACTATGTATAGTATAAATCATTGTAATTTTTTACAAAATAAAATCATGCTGAAAGTATCGTTTTATTATAATAAATAAATTTATTTTTTTGAACTTCTGAAAAGGTAAATGGTGAGTAGATAAGGATAAGACATCTTTTATAAGGTTGGGCGTAGATGCGTGCACGTGAAACACGTACAAAATTTCACGTGCACGCACTCGTTTGGTTTATTTATTTATTTAAAACTTTTGAATACTACTTAAATTATGTTGAGTTACTCAATGTGCACGTTAATTAGCATTCTATTGTTGTCGGCCTTGCTATTATTGAGGATTAAAGTTAGCACCGTGTTGCCATGGTTACCAAGATATTAAGAGAATGGTATCAATGGAGTAACATCTCCGGACGTCAAGACTTAATTAACGTCCTATAACCTCTAGATGGGACAGAGGGCGTCCACAGTGAGTCTCCATCGCGTTCGGTCTTGAGCCTCGTATTTTACCTCGCTCCAAGTCTTTCCGGCTCTCTTTGCCTCGTCTGCAGTCGCAGAGTCGTACAGTCGTACGGCGTTAGGTTTGCTTGGGACGGCCACGCTTCCGCTTTTCTTGCGGGTTCCAATCAAGCGCCTGCTTGGGAATATGATTGGGATCCCTTCGAAGTGTATAGCCTATCCAATTCCACTTGCATCGCTTGATCTGCTGGCTGATCGGGGTTTCTCGGCAGCGCTCCCTTCGGACGTCAAGACAATACAAAATTCCTATATCATCTTGATGTCTGATGACCGTTTCACATCTAAGCATGCCTCTTGCCGCGCACCACCACTGTGGAAACGATTGATCTGCCGAAACCAATTCGATTAAGTGTCCTTCAAGTAAAGAGCGTACCAATTCCTAAAAGGTTGGCAACCCACTCGATCGTTCTGGCACCATGGGTGATGGTAACATGGAACATCTGGTGAGCCTCTTTTTGGTTTGCTCGTTTAAAAATGCTAACTTTTTATCCTCGCTGTATAATAAGGCCGTATGAGTTTGATGTTTCTTATATTATGGACAGTTCCAGGTCGATGGGATGCGCGTAGGAACCGACCGGTGCCCGATGCAGTGTGGTTGGAACAGCATAGACGCGCTTTGCCTTTCGTCCTAAAGAGAGAGAATGAGCGAGCACCGACACCTAGACTCGTAAGTATTTCTTGAATATTGAAAATACAATATAGAAACAGTACATACATTGCTTGGAACCTCTACGATGTTATTGCACCATCCAGAGGAATTACTAAGCGCAAAACTAAACGGACTAAATACTCTTTATAATAACAAATTAAGGGATGTATGTATTTTTGTTTGATGTATCATAAAAAAAATAAAAACATAATAAAATTTCGACAATATAAAAAAAAAATTACACCCTTTATCGCTAAGGAGTTTGAATGAGATATAGTAGCCGATTCTCAGACTTACTGAATATGCATAAAAAATTTCATTAAAATCGGAAGAGTATGGGAACGAACATAGTTGACACGAGAACTTTATATAGGTAATATATACATAAGCTTCAGCAAACGTTTAAAGGAAATACCTAAATAATATTGTTGCTTTAAACAAGCCAAATATAGCCATTAAAACCTAGCTTAATAGGCCAATCCTTAAAAGGCCGGCAACGCACTTGCGAGCCTTCTGGCAATGTGAGTGTCCATGGGCGGTGGTATCACTTAACATCAGGTGAGCCTCCTGCCCGTTTGCCTCCTGTTAAAAAAAAAAAGGAAAACGACGTAATTTTTACTAATAAGGCGATTCAGGTACATTAATTACCTTGATAAATATGTTTTGTGTTAATTAATTGCTTAATGTGAATATCTTGTAGATTCAGAAAATGTTAAACATTGTAAATTGCATTGTTCTAAACAATTATGATTACCAACATTATTATATGCGTAATGTGTGTTATAAGCACGTATTGTCTGGTTGACTATAGCAAATTTCAATATTGCTTATTCAGTAGATTGGGCGACCTTTGCCACGGGTACGTTTTCATATATAGTAGAAACACAGATTATGATATATACAAACAGTTTGAATACATCGTTTGCGTTTACTGAAGCACTCGAAATGTGTAGTTGGGTAATATTTTTTATGGAATTTGCGTAAATCAAAGATATAGTTATCTTAATCGATAAAGATCTTAGCGATGTTTGATACTTTTACACAACTAAATATTTAGCTGAGAGTTCAAAAAGTCAGGTTTTTTGTTGTTGTTGTCATACATGTAGAGAGGAATAATATATTATACAAATACACACGCACACATAAGTACGCAAAGACACACCAATATCGAGTGGTTTTTACCGCGATTGCTGAGTTCACAAAACGTTGACTCTCGTGATATTTAAAAAAAAAATCAGTGGCGCTACAACCTCTTTAGGTCTTGACCTCAGAGTTCTTAACCTGTTTTATGATCATTTCTAAATCTAATAGGCAAGTAGGTGATCAGCCTTCAGTGCCTGACACACGCCGTCGACTTTTTGGGTCTAAGACGTTCCTCACGATGTTTTCCTTCACCGTTCGAGCAAATGTTGAATGCGCGTCTCGTGATATTATTTCATATAAAACATATGATAATCATTATTATATGAGATATATATTATCCCCTTAGTATATTTTGTAGATGTGATACCAGAGTTGGTTAGATTTTTGGGGTTGCAATGAGCTGTATAAAAATATTACCTTAATATATATTTACTATTAGGTATATATTGCAATAGCAGTGTTGGTCTAGTGGCTTCAGCGTGCTACTCTCATCCCAAGTCGTTGGTTTGATCCCCGGCTGTGTTAAACATTCGCTCGAACGGCGAAGGAAAATATCGTGAGGAAACCGGCTTGCCTTAGACCCAAAAAGTCGACGGCGTGTGACAAGCACAGGATGCTGATCACCTACTTGCCTATAAGTTTGTCAAATGATCACTAAACAGATACCAGAGACCTAAAAAGGTTGTAGCGCCACAGATTTATTTATTATTATTAAAACTTATTATTATTAGTTTATATTTATCTCTATTTGCACAACCGATGTAAGACTAAACATAGCATAGTTTTTATATACCAATTGTTTAAAAAAAGAGCATATTCCTCCCTCAAAGGCCGGCAACGCACCCACTAAAATGGGTGTCCATGGGCTGTGATAACTGCCCGTTTTGGACGTTACAATATCTTTAAAAAAAATATCTCACAGAACTCTGCCATACGGTTGCGAAATGTGTGCAATGCAGTCCTCGCTGACTAAATATCATTTTAAGAACTGAAAAGATTGTACCACCAAACCGGGTATATTTAAATTAAATTAAGTTTTCTTATAAATTTAATATTGTCTTTTATTTTTTAAATGTATAGACTTAAATCTGGGTTGGGGAGCGTTCAAGTATTACGTCACGTAATTTTTGGAGATTATTGAACCCCCGACCATCGTGACCACCTAGTGACTCTTTATATCTAAAAGTTACCATTATGTGGTGTAAAGTGCTCGAAAGTCGAAAATAATATTAACAATAACGCTTAATTCAATCCCCGCCTCGCATCGTAACGTTTTACAAAAGGACCCCTCCTCCCCCAATATCGTTGTCTGAAAAAAAATGCTTATAGCAGAAGAACGCCCGCCTTCTTTTATTTTCACCTTATTTGTGATGTAAATAAGTTTATTATTGACGTCTAATCGTTCACAGATAAAACTCGGCGAGGGCGTGGAGATTCGGGAAGACCTATTGCGTGGGGTCAAATGGGGGGGACTATAGGAAAGTGACGAGAGGTTTAGCAGCCGCGTTGTTCTCACCTATTGAATTGGCCACATGTTCTGTGACCGGGCAGAGGTGGTCACGCGCAGGGCAAGAGTCGCGACCGACGAAGCCACCGTTGGACAGACGCAGAGTTCACGCACTGATTACATATGTGAGCAGGCATTTCCCTGATGTTGAAGTCAGTCGGATCAAGCAAGTTCTGGCCTATAAGTGTAAGGAGAATTGTGCAGCCCTAAGAATGAGAACAGCCAGGTAAGAGTGGTTTATGAGTATCATTTTTATATATACAGTCAAAATCTGTTATAACGACATCGATGGGACTACTCATATTTGGTCGTAAAAACCGATAGTCGTTACCGTATACTGGGTGGTTAGGTTACTAGGTTTTTTTTAAATGTATATTTGTGCCATTAAATTTCGTACCATTAGGATTTAAAGATGATGTCTTTTAAATGGTAACCTCCAGAGTTGATGCACATTTGAGCCCTATTTATGATATTTTGCATAACTTGCCGTAATACTTCCTGCGATATGTTCCTTATTTCTTGATGAATGTTTTCTTTTAGAGCTGCGAGAGTCTGTGGCTTGTTCACATACACCCGAGATTTAAAAAAACCCCAAAGAAAGAAGTCTTGCAGGCCAAGGCAAATCACCTAAATCTAGTTTTCTAATTTAGAAAAAATGTTATAGCTGAACCAAATAGGGTCTTTACTTTTGCGCCACCCAGTACAATAGGATTCAGCCGGGACCTTTGATTTTGGTCAATGTAACCGGTATGTTGTTTCAAAGTCAAAGTCAAATCGTTTATTTCAATTAGACCATCTAAAATGGCACTTTTGAACGTCAAAAAAAAAAAATATATAAAGATGATTCTAGTTGCCCCTTCCAAAAGGTAGTTTCGTGTGGAGAAGAATGGGCAAGAAACTCCACACTTACTCTTTTAAAATAGGTTTACAATATTTTGTTACATTTGTTAAATAATTATATGTGAAGACAATGTACTCTTAGAATAAACTACTATACTAAAAAAGTTAGTATACATGTTCCTCACATATTTACAAATATCGAAACCTTAGAATATTAACATTAAAGAGTAATAAAAATATTAAAAAAACACAACAAAACAGTGTGTGAGATACAAAAAAAAAATAATTACATTTGTAGCATTAGGTATATAAATTAAAAAAAATAATAATAATAACAAAAATTAACATATTTTTTTTTAGCAAAAAATGTTTTAAACAATGTCCTCGTAAACGGTTTTGACTGTATAGTAAAATTGTGATATTAGTAACAAAATGTTTGTTTTAAAAAGATGGATAGTAAATTAGTCGAATCACGGCTCCACCTTAAACAGCTTCAATTTTTTTCTACATGTTTTCATCACTCGGCAATGTACCATGCAATAACGTGGTGGCGCATGCTCTTTAATCCCATAGTAATTCATTAGAACATCATGATTTGTGAAATGAATGAAAGAAGGTACAAAGTTTTGGTTTTAACGTAACCTAATCGGATCACAAACACCACTTAGAATGAAAATAACCTAACCTAACCTAATGAATTTTACTGGGACCCACTGGGAACTGAGACAATATCATTTACATCATGCATGTAATATTATCAGTTATTTTAAATTTTTTAAGGGGTCTAAAGCCATGCGCCCCCTTAATTCCAAACTAGCTGCTGTGGTCTCTGGCAGAATGACCAGCGCTGTGGAACATTCTGCTCCTCAGCATAATGATAAGCCAGGGCCAATTACAACCACAGCACACACGCATTACCACACTTGAAATTTTTTTATATCTCATTTTTTATTTGTGTGTTTATGTGTGTAAATGTTATGTCTATGTCTAATATTACTTCGGGTACTACATACAAGTCGTAAAGAACGATAGAAAAAAATTTGGAGCTGTTTTAAGGGGACATGATTCGACAAATTCACCAAGATTATTATGGTAATGATAACACCATGTGATGAAATATGACGCAGGCAATTTGTATTATCTTCAACGACCTTTGCTATACCATTATCATATTGAAGGAAATCTATACAAAAAATTATTTTACCTCAAATCTTTAACGATAAAATTGTACAATGTTTCAATTGGTTTGTGTATTTTCTATGTCCCTATACTACAGTATATATTCTGTACATCTTCAGTGGCATAGCCGGAGTCACGGATGAAGTCTTTATAACGGGAATTGATACGTAATTCACTTTTCTTTAATACTATATTCATAATAGTCATATAAAGAACTACATTATCTTAAACTTCAGTTTATAAAAATAGTTGACTTTAAAGAGAAAGCAGAAAAAAATATATTACAACTAGCTGACCCGGCAAACGTCGTTTTGCCACGTATATTATTTCTAGGAAACATTTTTTTAGTTCAATAAAAATAACCATCTAATATAATAAAAAAATAAGGGTTGATCGTAGTGAGGTGAAAATTTAGGGTTGTATGTATTTTTTAATGCCACAAAATAAAAAAATAAAAATAAAAAACTTAATTTAAAAAAATAAATAATAAATTTTGGGGTGGACACCCCTTATCACTTAAGGGTTTGAAATATAGATAGTAGCCGATTTTCAGACTTACTGAATATGCATAAATTTCATAAGAATCGGTCGAGCCGTTTCGGAGGAGTATGGGAACGAACACTGTGACACGAGAATTTTATATATATATAGAGATTATTATAATCATGCAATTCAAAATCTAGTAATCCCATTTCACTAAGAGTAAAGTCCAAACCTAATGAGGTATGAATAATGTTTTAATAATCTATAGGGTATATTTCATAAAATGTAAATCTGTCTAACTGCAGTCCCTTATCTATAGTCTCTTTCGTCTCTCTTTATCAAATGGTGTTTACACTGTGAAAAGAGACAGAGTCCTTACCTTAAAATGGTGCATTTTTTTATGAATAAGAGGGTTAATTTGTTAAATTTTTCTTAATTCTATTATTGCATTATATCTGCGGCACTAGGGCTACATTATAGTAAAAAAAATGTTATGTTAAAAATCCTTTCGTCTGCGAAATTTTATAATGGCATGTAAAGTTTTAGGTTTCTATGTTAAATGATTAATTGATCTATCTAGGCGGTTTATTATTATTATTATACATTTTAAGTCTATTTTATAACATATTTTTTATGAAAAGCAATCAGCTCCTACCTACCATCCCAAAACAAAGCGTCACTGTAGAATGATAACCTCGTATGTCAAAAAAGCATTTTTTTATTATTCTTAGACTCTTATGTCATTTAACTGGTATAATCATGAAGTAAGGATTTATTTATGTTATTAAATAAATATGTCCTTTTTACCATGTAAAACTATGGACAAAAATACATAATAATATTTTAACGAACATTGACGAAATGAAACATTTTTTCCTTTTCTGTAATGTTTGGTTCTCTGGACATACGGTTATCATTCTACAGCGACGAAAGGCTGAATCCAGGAATGGGCCATAGGTTTATATGTAGAACCTTAAAATAACGTAATAATTTGATTCCTCGAATGTTCATAAGTGTGACCATTAGACGATTATTAATGGGTTCCGACATTACGACATAAACCTAATTCTTGCTACATTACGACTGTGGTTTCTGATAATTTGTAATATATTGTGTGTATGCATACCTAGCATGGTTTTGTCACGTGATCAATTATTGATTGCTAATGTGATACCCATAAGTCACCGATAAAATTTGATTACAACACAAAGGAATTAATGCAAATGAATTCCCTTTGGTTTTATTGTTGTGGATAAATTAAATATATATTTGGGGCCATCGGGGCTGATGTGCAAACAGCGCTTTGCTTGGCTTGTTGGTAAAATTCTCATAGTTCTTTTTCCGCCATTTAATACGATTCGATGTATATATCAAACATCTGCGCTGGTATTTTTGCGCCAAAAGCTAGACTTTTTTCCTTCATTTCGATCTAATAAATAAAAGTTTCGGTATCGACCAAACACAGAAGTCATTTCCCTTAAAAAATACGGAGACGTTATTTTAATAATTTCTTCATGGATTTTGTGCTTAATCTGTATTTATTTATGTTCTGTCTATATTATTTATATACTTAAATTGTTCTAAATTGCAACAGACTTTTGGTCTTATATATTTAATTTATTTTACATATTTACTTTACAATATACTTGAAGTTTGTGAAGATTAATAAATAGAAGCTGGTCTATAGTAATACAATTATTAGGTCCTTACATATGAAATTGGCGTTTTGTATGGGAGGAACCAAAAAGTTTTTTTTTTAAAGAATATATTTAATTAATCAAAGTATGTACCATTTCTATCTAAAATGAAACGAATCATGGTTTTCGAAAAAAAAATGCACGATAGCTGTAAAAAATGAATTTGAAATTCGTAACCAAAGAGGTTTGGTTTTCTAACCAAGGAGGTATTTGAGGTCAAAGTGGCCAGTACGACTAAACGTCAATTTCATATGGAGGAACTTATATTTTATTAATAACTGATTGATGAAAGAATGTCTAGATATTTGCATATCTAACTGTGATATTGGTGTTATCATAAAGACGGACAGACAGTATTTTAATCAGGCATTCCATATTTTATATCACCCAATTAAATATTAATTATATATACATATGTATTTAAAAATGCCAAATAATCAAGTAGGTTGCAAGTAAGGTTAAGGTAAAGGGTTTTAAGTAAGTACTTTACGTCGTAAAACGCTACTGATAACCGTTGCGAGGCCATTTATGTTTTTATCTAGCAAAGTAAACGAAAAACAAGTTTATTCAATAAGATATAATTTTAACCTACACATGTTGGTTATGTAATTATATATTTCGAGATTTTTTATTGGTTACTAGGTGACCCGGCGAACGTTGTTTTGCCATGTATATTATTTCTAGGAAACATTTTTTTAGTTCAATAAAAATAACTATCTACGATATTAAAAAATAGGGGTTGATCGTAGAGAGGTGAAAATTAGGGGTTGTATGTATTTTGTATGCTGTATCATAAAAAAATTAATAAAAACTAAATTTTTGGGTTAGATAGATAGTTGCCGATTCAGACTTACTGAATATGCATAAAAAATTGTTTTTGCGAGCCGTTGCGGAAGAGTATAGGAACGAACATAGTGACTCGTGAATTTTTAAAATTAGATAGTAAAACGTTTATCTCTTTTGCGTTTATCAAAACGCGGAGATTCTGAATTGAATCCAAAAAGTCGACGACGTGTGTCAGGCCCAAGAGGCTGATTACCTACTTGCCTACTAGATTGATAAATGATCATGAAACAGATACAGAAATCTGAGACCCAGACCTAAATAGGTTGTAGCGCCACTGATTTTAGCTTATTTTTTATGCTATAGTAAACTGTATATGGCACCATGAAACAGCTTTTTAAGTTATAAACTTCAAATAATATCATATATTTATATATATCTATATGTTCATGACGCATTATTTTGTGTCTGCACTTAATTTTTGCATATATGTGATACAAATACCAAAGCCGCCGTACGGGCGCACTCGAGGCAGTAATACAATTTGAAGCAGGTTGTCGAACTGTTTCAGCGAGTCGAGCAACTACTTGCTGAGTGCAGCTGGCCGCCCGCCCTGCGATGATCCGCCCCATCACCCGCCCACACCCACGCCGAGACCGTCTTATTCCAACTAGTAAGTATATTGGAAATGAAATAAGAGCTTCCTTACATTTGTTTGAAGGCATTTTATTGTTATTATTATATATACTAGCTGCCCCCGCGAACTTCGTTTCTCCTTAATGTGATCTTACTTAGCCTACTTCTTTAGTACATACCAACATGGATCATTTTGCTATGCTACCCCAGTGACAGTTCGGTTTTCCGGATGAAAAAATTGTTAGGTTGTTCTGTGAATTTTTCCTCATATAAACCTCAAAGTTCAAGTCATAATAACAAAAGAATAGGGGTTGATCGTAGAGGGGTGAAAGTTACGGGTTATGTGGTTTTGCCTCCATAATACTTACCGTGATTGAATAAAAACTAAATTATGGGGCGTTCCCACGAAGCGTTAATCACGACAGTCAACTACGCTAGTCAACTTTCGTTCGTGACACTCACGAAAGTGTGAATTGATGAAACGTTCACATGGTTGGGGGATTTCGTGCCGTTCACGCTTCGTGTTTCGACTTAGTCATTATCAAAACATCGATCATGAATGATCTGGTTGTTGAAAGTTGTGCTGTTTTAAGTTAGTTTTTTGCTACTATCATAGCAAAAAAGATTGAGCGCTTACAGGACACAAGAAAACGAAAAAAATGACGTTTTTGGGTTAGAGAATGGATACAGCGAAGAAATATGTTAGGAGCGTCGAACTTGGTTAGTATGGAATTAAAAAGCAATTTTCCAGAAGATTTTAGAAACCTATTGCGAATGACTGAATTTCAGTTTGAATACCTCTTATTGCGTGTTACAAATATTATTTCAAAATCTGACACTAACATGAGACAAGCAATAAGTGCAAAAACAAAATTAGAGGTGACTTTACGGTATTTAGCTACAGGTGATTCCTTCAAAAGCTTAGAATTTTCCTTTTCCATAGAATATAACTCCAAAAAACGCGTAGTTTCACTGTCGTTAAACTTAATTCCACGTTGTTGTGACGACATCTTGGCTTCACGAACGGTATATCACGACTGAAAATCAAACACGTTTGATCTATCCACGCTTGAGTCGTGCGCCGTTCCTCACGAAAGCAAGTTTAACGCCTATGCGTTCACACAGAAGTGTATTTCACGAAAGCGTGGTTGACTGTCGTGATTAACGCTTCGTGGGAACGCCCCTTTAGGCAAACGCTAGAGGTGACTTTGTGTTTCTTTTTGTATCGAGGAATTTATATTGTGCTGTTTATTTACTATAGTTTACCACATCATACATAGTACTAAATCTACGATATATGTTACAAACTCTTTTATCTAAAATGTATGACAATTTAAGTATACATAAGTGTTTGTGTAAAAAATATATTAAAAAGATGTGTTTTTAACTTAAATTAAAAAGTAAAATATTGAGTTCAATAATTAGAGGATTTCAGTTAATAAGGTTTTAATTAATGGAAACTTTCAGTGAGGCTTCAAAAGGCGGCGGGGCAGGGGGTACTAGCGGTGCGGGGGGAAGTGGGACTCCAGGTGGAGGGGAGGGAAGAGGGCAGGGAGATGATGACACGCACTGATCCGCACATTGAGGAAACTATTAGCTATGTCCACACAGCGGGTATACCAATTTTGCCCCTTCTCAAAAATTTGCGGGTAGAAGCACGACGAAATTCTAGGCTACCCGCAAAATAGTTAAGACGAGTTAAAAATTCTCCATATTTATATCAAGTCATTGATGGCTCACGAGTGAGAAATAATCAGAATTAACACATATCGTATAGGGTTAAACCAGTGTGGGCACACTAAATATCTTCCACTTTGAATTTTTTATACCCAAAAAGCGTCAATAATTATTGAATTGCGCTACTGATACACTATAAAATCTTTCAGTGATAATTCTCAAACGGCATTGTTTCGAAAACTTAGCGCGTTCAGCTTCCGGGCTATTTAATTTATCATTCAGAGTAAAGGCGATGCGCATATTTATTGTTTAGGTGATATTTTTCTATCGGCTACTAAAGAGGCGTGGGTCTCGAAGCTCTAGCAATAATTTATCAGGTTCCTAAGACATTATTCGTAGTTAGGTTTCTTGCACGAATTTTCGCGAAACACTGCCGCTTCAAAACTTCTCTTCGCCTCTTTATTTTTAACTTTTAGTCATTTTCGAACCGCGTAACTAATAAGCATTTGAGTGCTGTACGAGGGACCGTTGCAATCGCAAAGTAATGGCATAATTATAGAACTAACATAGATATATCGTAGTCATTTCATTTTATAGTTGTATGTGAAGATGAATTTATTTTGGAACGAGTCAGTTATTGGGTTTTCGGAGTGCTGTGATCGCGACGGTTTAAATGGAGTCATATTTTTTAATATATAAGTGTTAATGTCTTTGCATTGTACGAAGACCTTTTTCATGAAAGTTTTAATTTTTCCAAGTCACGGTTTTCGTTATATGCAAAGATTAATTAGAAGTTATTTGACTATCACCACGCATACACGGAGGGGCTACATTGGGCGGTCTTAGTCGCGCCGACACTGTCCTCTTATTTATCTTTGGTTTTCCAACTAATTGAATGTTAACTGATGCATTTAACTGTGGATCTTGTTTTTACTTTTGCGTCATTAATTCTGCCTCATGTATGTCCCCGATATACGTCAATTGGTGATCGGACGGCATTGCACATCTGCACAGGGATGTATTTATCATATCAAATAAGCAATAACTATTAACTATAATTTGATAAAAAGAATGTTTTTTTTTAATTTTTAAAAATACTATTTTAACCAAGTTGTTATAATGAATAGTTAGTAAATAACTCAATTCTCTAAAGTCCATGATCATATATATAGTTCTTTTGAACGGTGATCAAATCCTAATAATAATTTTGAAACACACATAATCAAATGTCATATCATATTATTTTACAAAATTTTCTACATATCCTGCACGAGTCACAGAAACAGACTGCGTGTGCCCATTCGAGATGTGAATGGTAAACTTCAGAGCCAAATTAGTTTCCTACAACCTATGATCTCTTATTTAGTACACTATAGCTTATAAATTGTTAGCATCTGTATATACAACGGTCGGGGTCAATTCGTATGTCAGTCTGTTTCTATGCCCTTGCACTAGTCTCCCGATATTGGTGTATAAGTTACAGTTACCAGATTTAGGATATTCTAGACACTCGACGCTGCGTAGTGATCTATACGATGCCAATTCAGTCGAAATGCTCAATTTTGCCAAATTTTTACTTGCCGAAAGTCTTGTCTATTGTTTTTTTCGCGTTTTGTGTTCAGCCTTTCTCTATGGTGAGTGGCTCGATTTGCTCAACTGTGATGAGTGTTAGACGTTTTTCTTCGTAATCTGATTATACTCAATAGATATCACGTGGCGTGTGTTAATTGTAATTTAAAAAGTATAACTTGAATGCTCGAGATGCAATATGTTAATTTTGTGCCAAATGATAAGTCGTAGCAATATAATCCTAATCTTGCGTAATTTGTTGCGTAGTGACCTATGAGGTTTCAAAGGTTTCTTTTACAAGACTATAGTAGAATATTTATACAGGGAAAGTGTTAGAATGTTGTTTGGATATAAGAATGTTGTAGCGGTATAATACTCAATACGCAGGATGTAAAAATAAACGCGTCGACGTCTAGTCGGGTTTCGATTACCAAAATACGCCCACGGGCCGTGTTCGCCTCCTAATCGGCTATTATTTTTACACTCTGTTCGTGCGCGAGCAATGGAACAAGAGAATTTATTTACTCATATAAGATTTTTTTATTAATTATGATAATCTTTTTTTACTAAAATGATATACTTTATTTCTCATTTTACAATTGTAATGGCAGCTGTCCGTATAGCAGTGAGGGATATGATCAATCACTGGTTAAGGTTTCAAAGGTAAAGGCAACGATACATCGAACTTGACACATTGGGCACAAACTATTGAACGCTATCGCTTCCTTTCGGTTATTGTAAATGATACGAGATTTCTAAAACATAGTTTGATAGAATGTTTGTGAGGCCCTCGTTATAAAGTCTAATTATATACATATATCGCTGAGCAATAAATCTGTGAACTGTAAATAATAACAACTCGAAGCCACCGCACTCGCGTCGCGGGTGCTGTGCTGTGCCAAAATTATGTGCTAGTCCTAAACAAAATGTTGTTATCATTTTTCAGATTTTATTTAGTCCAAAATGTGTTTGTTCCTGTGAATTAACTTGAAACAAATCAACACGTCTATTGTGATATGGTTTCGCATAATGTAATCGCTCCGATACTAGTTTAGTAGATATCGATAAGGGCTAGGAAATTCTATTATAAATTATATAAATTTATCTTCCAAAAATTATTAGAAAATTAATTTTCATGTTAAGGTAGGCGATTTAATTGTTATTTGTAAATATATTTCTAATGTTGTCTAAGACAACTGGAACTAGGAGCGATTATGTGGTGTGATGGTATGTGTAACGTATGATAACATCACAGGGTTCGTTAGATAGGATTTGTATGTGATTTTTATACAAGAGGTTCGAGTGAGGGTGTTGGTAAGGTTAAGCTTGGTGGAGTGGTCTATTGAGTGAAGGCTACCAGAGAGCGGGGGTAAAGTGTTGATTTGTTAATATATTTATAGTATTTATAAAAGATGCACACAATGATTTAGCTTTGAGCTCGTGCAATATTATTCCAAATTGTTTATAAGAAAACTGTTATAATTATTTCTACTCAAAATTGTTATATAAATATTTTTATATATGTAAAAGACAAAGGCAACTTGAATTCTATTTTTGTTGTGCATTTATTCTTAAATTTTATCGATATGGTAACCGCAAACCCATTGTGGACTGTAACGTCTGCATGCAAGAAATATAATTAAGATATTATGGTAGATGGATTTTTTATATATTACCGCTGATATTGTGAGTCAATTCAAATAATGATTATTCTCTTTTTTTTTAGAGTTATTTACAATATATCAACTATGATTGCTCAATAAGATGCAATGTTAATTACAATGTAGAGGAATCAAGTACGTCGTTTTATATGGTTATTTTACTGTTTATAATTTGCGAGTTGTGGCAACGCATGTTTATAGTTTTATGTTTATTCTAAGAGAGGCCAAATGTTGACTTGCTTATGTGAGACTGTTTTGCCAAGAATCAGAAAGTATATTACCTACATTGTTTTAAAATAAATGCTTTTATATAATGCTCGTATGTTATTTCAATCCCCATTGTCCAAAATGATGTGGTAACATATCCTTCTGTAAATAAAATCTTCAATGAGGGGTAATCGATTGTAGAAAGATAGAAAGCTGTGTTTTTATATTTTATCCGCATAAAGATATAAGATGTGTGATTTATATAAGCAAACATTATAATTTAAGCCAATACGATATCATTATGTAAGTTAATAAGACCAAAAAGTATTTCGCTCTTCCGTGATAAGATCTGTAGTCTGTGATTGCGACAATGGACATGTTTTCTAATCTTTTATACGAGTCCTGACAATTTGCTCTAGCCGATTGTCAGTTATCAAAAGTGTATTCAGTAATGAAAACAAGAATTCTAAATTATGAACTTTATAAATATACTATAATTCATTAATCTAACCCTACTCCCTAGTGAGTCAGTAACCTCGACAATTAAATTATTTTAATACTGTTCAAAAAATTCCTATTGCTTTATTAGATGGCGTTTCCTCAGCCTAATGCACAAAGAGGTTAGTTTTTATATTAGTAACAAATCATAACTTGGATTATCCAGGTTAAAACATCTAATTTATTTTTTAGAGTTAACAAACAGGAAGATTTTAGAAGAATTACAATTAAAAAAGCAGATGCTCCTCAAGCAAGGAGCCGTTGCCCCACTAACTGCCACCACTATTTCTCTGACCCAGTCAAATCCTGTCAGCCAGCTGCCTATGTGCTCTATACCACCACTCTCTGCGACTGCCGTAAGTTCATTAATAAGCAAATATTTAATACAAACATTCATGGCCTTTAAATAATGAAAATATTTTAGGGATACCCACAGTTACCAGAAGCAAATATAGTAAACACAAGCCACAGGGCAGCACTACAACACGCTAACGCGACATCTTGTGGCTACTTCGTTTCTCAGGACTCTTCTTTTGGAAATCAAATATTACCTGTTCTACCCCGTTTTGATAAATAATGAGTGCTACCATGAAATTAAAAGTTTTGGAGGGTCATTTGGGGGAAATATCTGGCTTTACTAAACCAAAAGTTGAATATGAACAGTATGAAACTCCGGCTCATATTGCTGCAGTGGCCCTTTACACTATGCAGGTAAGTAATTTAAAGAAATATCATGTATTTTTCTTGTCTTCTCCAATTATTCAGAATATTTACTATTTATTTTTGCTCTCTCATAGTTTTAAAATTGTATTTACGCAATTATTATATATAAATAGAAGCTTAATAACTTTTCAGACACAGTTTGAAGCATTAGAAAGTAAGTTAGTTTTAGATGCTGGTTGTGGCCCTGGTATGTTATCATGTGGGGCATCCTTATTGGGTGCAGGGACAGTTACAGCAGTAGATATTGATGGAGAATCTCTTGATATTTTAAAAGAAAACATTGAATGTACAGAAGTTGACAATATAGATATTATTCAATGTAATTTTCTTTGCCCTGAAATGTACAGGTAAGTTTTGTATTTTTTTTTTTTGAACAGTGAATTTAATTGAATCTAAGTATCAGAACTAATTTATATGCAATACTAGTGGACCCCACAGACGTTGTCCTGCATGATATTTAAAGCGATTAGGATATTAAGCAAAGTGTGAAAGTACCGACTGCAGTGCCATCTGCCGCGCTGATTTGTGAATCTAAACCATTCCCAGATCCCCTTGAACACACACAAAAAATTTCATCAAAATTGGTCAAGTCGTTTGAGAGAAGTTCAGTGACATACACACTCACAGAAGAATTATATATATAAAGATTATATCCTATTTGTAATTTTAAATATTTTCAGGTGTGAAAATTATTTTGACACAGTTGTGATGAATCCTCCATTTGGCACAAAGAACAACGCAGGAATTGATATGAAGTTCCTTAAAATGGGCTTAGATTTAAGCTGTGATAGTGTTTATTCGTTACATAAGTCGACTACAAGGTATGATAATTAACTTGCTAGGGATGTAGTTATTCAAAATATCATTGATCTGTAGTTTTATTTGGAAAAAAGTATAGCTAATTAGATTTTGTTTTGTATAAATTGGTAAATGTGCCTGTCCTATGGGGTACACCATACAATTAAATAATTATTTGAATGGGTTTAATAAACAGATAAAATAGATATGCAAATAATAGGAAGCAGACAATATTGTCTGACCCATACTCAATCAAACACAAGTTATTTAATTCCAGGTCTCACATACAGAAAAGAATCAAAGAATGGGGAGCAAAGGGGAGTGTAATAGCAGAACTACGTTATAACATAAAATCTTCATACAAGTTCCATAAACAACAAAGTAAAGATATTGCAGTAGATCTATGGAGGCTGCACCATTCTTAGTGTTCACATGACTTCTTTATATGAATGAACTATGGACAAAATGGACCGCAAGCCTAATTTGCAAGACATTGTCTCTTAAAGCGATAGCCAATTTTTATTCTTGCTTTCTGCATTAACTTATTGCTTTATTTGACTTGTATTTTATTGTACTATAAGTTTTTTCGCATCCTTTCAATAAAAGTTTGTGGGTTAACACATTAAAATTAAACAATTTTATACAATTTTATTACAAATTTATTAAAGGATAATTTAATCATGAAATGTTTTATTAATTATCAGTCTTCATATCTTAGTTACCTGATAGATGGATAAAATGCTTGATGCGTTTAAACAGAGAACTAGCAAACGAATTTTTTAAAATTTGCAACGATATCTACTCATCGCCGAATTTGATGTTCTGTGCCAGTTTGATTGTCCCTGAGTAATTGATAGTGACAGTTGACCGTCTCATGTAATTCTTCCAACTGTCAGAACCACATTCCCGTCCGCCTCCAGTTGCCTTTTCACCTCCAAAGGCGCCTCCGACTTCAGCACCATTTGTGGGAATGTTAACATTTACTATTCCACAGTCGGATCCGTGAGGCCCCATCCACTGGAAACGGAAAAAAGTAATAAAATAGTTCATCACTCTATTCCATTTCGTTTTTAAAAAAGCGGTGATAGCCATAGACTTAGTTTGCATCTACGTTAACAAGCGGAAAAAAGCAAATGTCTTGCTAAATAATAAAAAAATACTTGACAAGACACAAAAATAACATGAAACAAAAATATTGCCTTAAAAATATTAACTTACCTTGAAAATATCCGCTAAATTCTCAGTGAAAAGACTTGAAGAAAGTCCCTGTTCCACTTCATTATTGTACTTGATACCAGTGTCAAGGTCGGGAATCTCTAAACAGTAGACGATAGGAGCGAAGCACTCGGTCTTCACCAATGGAGAGTCATGTGGAAGACCAGATACGATGGTGGGTTCCACGAAATATCCATCACGTTCTATTATCTGAAAATTGATAAAAAATTATATTTTGTTTACGAATATCACAATTACAGAAAGAAGGATTCGTAATATTATTATGCAATCACCAATTTTTTTAAATATTTTGCAGCGTAATCTACAAAATTATTTGCTAAACGCAATTATTGTAAAACAAACCGCTTTTATATAAATCAAATGGTTTGTATTATCCGATTGAGGCCAAAATAATATTAACATCGAAAGTATGGTTTATTAAATTATTTCATTGCTATTTGCTACCTAAACGCTGAACCAAAATACGCATGATTACATTGAGTGAAATAACGTACCTTTCCTCCAAATTCAATAGTACCGCCTTGTTTCTTGACCTCTTCGACAGTTTTTTTGTACGCTTCAACCGCCGCGGGAGTGTGCAGCGGACCAATGAGCGTTTCACTGAGTAGCGGATCACCGATTTTGCTAACAACGCCAGAGAATGCCTTCTTCAATTTTGTCACTACTTCGTTGTACACCTGTCAATGTTATTTTAATAATGTTTACTGTATAATTAAGAATTAGGTAGAATTTGTACTAAAACAGAACAGGCGTTTATGCGTACTCATATTATTACGCTTAGTTGCTACACGTCATTTTATTTATTCACAAAGATTATACCTATACAATATATTTTATATTTTTTCATGACTAAAATTTTATTTAATATGATTACTGTCTATCTATGATCACGTAAAAGGGTTTTCCAAAATCAAAAAGGTAATTTGTCTCTGCTGTGAGTTCAAATCCCTCGACGATTCTTTCTTCAAATTATTATTTTTTTTAAACGATTTTCTTTTTCAATTTATAGACTAAATAAATGTCTGTAGACATATAATAGTTTTATTAACAGCTCAGTATTACGTCTCAATAATTTCAAACATTAAAATGTTTCATTACTGAGTCTAGTTAAGTATATTTTATTTATAACCAAGTGAAGTTAATATAGATAAAAATATGCTATAATATTTTTATTTTATAGTATGCCTGATATTCATTTTTGTGTTCTTTAATTAGCTTATTAAGATATAATAGTAATATGTTACATAAACAACTTACTTTTTTATGAATAAGTAATCGCCTAGTAGTTGTGCACCTCTGGCCAGCTGTGCCTGCACATGCAAACAACGCTGCGTTCAACAACAAATCAAGATTCGCGTCTGAATTAACGATGATCGCATTGTTGCCGCCCAGCTCCAACAGATGTCGCCCGAAACGTTTTTGAACTTCGACTCCCACCTAATAAAATTTTCATATGAAATAATTATTCTGGAAATTTCGATAAGGTTTTGCACTGTTCAATGTTATGTTTTTTTTTTATTTTACGAATTGGTACTTCTTTTACCGGAAGTCGAATTGGTTCAGAAATATTGCAGTGGGTTTAATATTTAGTAATACAAAAACCATTTTAAAGACACTAAACAAGACACCACTTCCGTAGTGCCATTTGAATAGGAAATATAATTTGACTAAGGTTTATTTTAAAATATCTTAATATAATATGTATTCGTATAATTCAAAATATAAAATATTTATATGGGCACATAAGCTTAATTTTTAAATAATGAACACATTTTGACGTGACAACGTCTTATAATTCGATGGAGCCGGCTGCACGCACGAAAAAACATGACTCATGCGGCGTTACCTCGCTCTGAGGCGTTCCATTAAGGCATACTGCACACAAAAATTGAAATAATTATATTTATGCGTACAAATAAATGTAACTTGATCAATTCAATTGTGATTTCCATTTACTTCCTTCTCTATATATATCCATACAAAATATCTATCTAAGAAATAAAATTAAAATTTTCTTTTGAAGAATGCAACCATTCCATCAGTATTTTCTTATGACGTTGTCACGTTCAACTATCGTCAGTAAACCGACTTTACAGACAACCGATTTTTTTATATAAAATACTCACTTGTTGTCCCACAGCCGTGCTGCCGGTAAACGAGACCAGCTTCATTCTAGGATCCTTCACTAGTTGTTCACCAATATCCTTCCCTCCCACACAGAGTGAAGCAACAGCGGCAGGAATATTGTTCTTCACCAAAACACTTTCCACAATCTTTGTGACAGCTACTGAGATTAGGGGGGTCGTTTCTGATGGCTTCCAGACACTGACATCACCACAAACCTATAAAAAAGGATAAAAAAATTACAAATGTTTCCGCTACCGTAGTCCAAACTATTTAATACACAAAAACTTTGCTTCATATTAAATCAGTCGCTTAAAACTAATAATCCTTATATGCAATAAAATAAAAAAGTGCGTGCGTACAAAGTGCAAATGTCAGAAGTGAAACTTCTTTGGCAAAAAATCCAAGACTTAGAGGCAGGGAAAAAGGAAGATATGTTAGGAATATAATGCATTAATCGTCATTAAAATATTAAAGATGTCGAAAATTAATACAAATAATAAATTAAATTTATTTCTTCGATAATAAAAACACGTGGCATTTAAATTTACAATTCGGCATTTGAGATTTCAATAAACTATTTTGCATAAAATACTAATACTAAATAATAAAACGAAAAGATCACGAAAAAGAAATACAAAATTTTCCTTTCTTTGTGATCCTAGAGTTAGTAACTAAAAATGTTCTATACGTACCTACGGCTTTTTTTCTAATGGAATCTCGCTTTTGGCCTTAAGGGCCTTTACAGCTCAGTTTGGGCTGTTTTGACGAGTATAGCTCGGCCGGAATCAGTTTGCTTATCTGCTACTTTTAATGGTCCAGTGAAAAGGCTATCTCGCTCTTACAACTTGATGACTATATTGATATATTTTACAACAGTCTTCCAAATTACCGTAACTTTGTTTATCATGCTCTTAATGAGGTTTAAGTTTACATTTAGTTTAGTTACTATTATTAATTTATTTTTTATTAATTTAGTTTTTATTGCCTTTTTGGTTGATTTTTTTTAAATTGTGGTTGCTTGTTTAATTTTTTCCCTTTCTAGCTTACTTATGTTCTAATATAATTGATGTGTATGTGTGTAAAATTTTTAATGTCATATTTTCTTGTACGAGTATAATTTTATGCATACACGTTGTTCTAGAACTTATAAATAAATAACGAAAAAAGTTTCTCACCATAGCGATCGCGCTATTCCATCCAAAGACTGCGACGGGGAAATTGAAAGCTGTGATGATTCCAATAGCACCCAGTGGGTTCCACTTCTCAATCAATACGTGCCCAGGCCTTTCTGACGGGAACATTGTTCCTGGTAGTGTCCGGGATAGACCCAGCGCCAGGTCACATACGTGGATGTATTCCACAACTTCACCAATGGCCTCGGGAAGAATTTTACCTAGAAATAATATGTTTTTCCGTGAGTTAACTTCGGTGGCGGTGGAGAGATGTCCAAATGTATGTTAAATGAAACTATTTGTTTGAAGCTGGGTGTCAACTAGCTTTAATCGTTTAAAACATGAGCTTATAACTAATATAAAATTAGGGGTAGTGGGGTTGCGACGCTAAATTAACAAAAACACTAACTTGGCTTATTTAAGGATTCTTAAATCTAAGGGACACTTCAATATAAGTGTAGTCGACCTATTGGTCATTATCGAAAACGAGTTTATGTCAATGTTATATTACAATTAATGAGTTTGGGAAAAACTAAGGAGCTTACTTTGGCTTCAAGTATGCTATGATTGCTAACATTTGGTTTACGGTTCTAATTATTAACTAAAATATATATATATATGTAGGTACCTATAAAACTTAATGTTAGGTTACTTGCAAAGTAAGAACAAATTCTTATAATGCAAAATACATTGACACGGAAACGAAGTCAAATGTTGATTTTACACAATAATTATTAATTAAAACCTTTTTGTTTCATATTACTTAAATATAAAAACGAATAATTTGTATGTATTTATCTGCAATATTTGTATACTGATATCGTTATGCAATTTTAGTGTGTTAACCCAGATACTTAGAACTGTTATGTGAATAAGTACGTGCCTAAGTATATATTAAATAAGGCAATGGCCGATAAAACGTTAAGTTTGGTAGCAAAATAAACGAAGTTATTTATTTGAAAAGTAGATAATTAAGCTGTAAGGTATATAATTGTAAATACATATTAACGCTATAATACAATACGGGTACGTGAAAAGTAATTGCGACACGACATCTATTGTTAAAACATCTTTAAGGACCTTATTATAAAAAAGATTACCCATTTCCAAAGACACAAGCTGTCCAAGCGGCTGAAGTTTTTCTCGCAAAGCATCACCAATTTGTCTGACGATTTCGCCCCTCGCTGGCGCCGGGAGCTCCGCCCACGTGTGCCAGGCATCCTCAGCCGCCTTCGCACATGACTCGTAGTCTGCGGAACTAGCGCCCTGGATCTCAGCTATAACTTTTCCGTTAGCCGGACTGAATGATTGTATTACCTAGAATGTATATATATCGTTGTATGTCTTTTATTTAATTAAAATAAATAGCTCCTTTAATTAATTTGTTTGTACACAATTTTTCGACAATTTTTCATACAAATTTAGTTTTCGACTTTCTAGTACTTTCTACATACTCTACTGTTAAGGCATCTTGACTAAGCCCTCTGGTAGACACTTAAAGTAGGTTAACAAAAATATATATTTCTAATGTGCCTATCACCTATCGAACCGATTAAATAATGTTATGACTTATCAGATAAGTCAAAATTATTTTATTCAATATCAAGGTTATGTTAACCACCATTGTATTTTACAATATAAAATTTCCCTAGTCCGAAGCTAAAGCTACGATACATTAACTTTAGATGACACATTCTACATTCAAACTCGTAAAATTTTCCAATTCTTCCGGTGACCAGCAATAGTTTAAACAAAAACGAATACTTACAATAAGTACGTATGTAATAGAATGTATGCATTACCTTTCCATTGGCTTGCCATTTACCATTGAACACACCGACGTTGGTCTTCTCCAAGCCCAAATCTTTTAGAAAGGAATACTTTGGATCTTCAATAAGGTATGACGCGTTTCGAGCCATTGGGACACGTAGATTCAACTTTACGTTCCAAAGAGTACGACAGAGGACTCGATTCATCGGTGTAATTCTTAAAACTACTAATAAACAAGAACGAGAGAACCGTTCAAGTAAACAGATAAAACAATCTTATTTGTAATTATAGTTCGTCTTATCATGTACTGATAACTTCGTTGCTGGGTCAGAAAAAGTTTTTCCAATCAATTGCTTGCGTAATTATCGAATGGGTGTGATAATTTTTAAAGGCATCTACTATCTTTTAGATTTTAGTATTATCACAAATTTATTATTTATAACATTGTGATAATCGTAAAAAAATACTTGTATGTACTATATATATGAACTCATCAATATAATATATACTTTTGAATTCAGATTTCAAATAGTTGTTAAAACAGTAAGTTTGAGTGATTTTTGTACATCGCTTACTTATAAAAATGTAAATTAAATGTTTTAGAGTGAAACTAATATATTTTATTTTAAATGCTTCACCAAATATACGAAAAATTAGATACAGTAAAGTACAGTAAGTATTTAATACTTACTGTAGCCCTTAATTAAAAAAAACAATGTCTTTATAAATAACTGTAATTGGCTATTTAATCTAATATATAACAAAACAACTTACATTTACCTAATGTTCTAACACACTAAAGAGGTATCTTGTTAACACTTTTATATTGCCAATCTTTTTGGCAAAACTTAAAATGTCTTTTTTGATAGAGGTAAAAATCGTATCAATCTGCAGAAATGAAATAGAACGCATCTACTACACTTTTTGACTACATTATTGAACATGTGCTTTCTTTTTCAACAGTTTCAGTTCCTTCTCTAATTTCTTTAGCTTTTTGTGCTAAATATGTATTCTCATCCCTTTTGACCATCCACTCAGGTAATGGGGCTGACCAGTCATCTGGCGGTAAATCACGCTTTTTCCAAATATCATTCCTATAGTGGGCTCTTAATCTATCCATTCTCCGATTCTTTTCACTAATTATGACTGCTTCCTGTAAGTAAATTTATATCATACAAACAAATTCTTCACAAGTGATTAATGTCTTATTAATTAATTTGTGCAGGATTCTCATAAATAAACATACAATGTTAGTAGCACTGAGAAGCTCTGTACCTTCCCAGTTTCTTAACAAAGGCACAAAAAAATGTCTGCTTCTTTCCATACTGATGTAACGTAACTATGTTGCAGTTTATTTCTATTATAAATCTACAGACAAAAGCTATGAACTATTTGTTACATATATAAAACTTACTCCAGCTTTGACATCTTTACTATCCACCCATTTGTAGCAGTTGTCACAATCTCTTTTCCACTGATTGCAGTCCAGGGTCTCACCATATATAAAATATTGGTGAAACCTTCCTTTAAAGCTTGTGCATTCATCATATTCATCACTGTATACTTCACAATCCCGTATCTATGAAAGAACAGTAAATTTTTAAAAATGCTTAAGTTTATTCTTTAGTAAAAACTTAGTGGTTTATAGATATGATATATGTCTATTATTACTGGTATATATTTTCATTAATTATACCAAAAAAACACTCATTAACTCATGCCAAATTATCTATTATAAGTAAAATATATATATAAAATATTCGTGTGATATATTTTTTATATAATATTTACTTACCAACCAACTATCCTCAATAACCTCCTCAATGTTAGTTTCAGAGTCAGCTTTAGCTTCTTTATCTTCCTTGTGGTCTAAATTACTTTTTTCTTGGCTATTTTGTGCCATCATGACTATTCAGTAAACATACGATTTTTACAAAGTTTAATTCAAAAAATTGAGTAATAAACTTTTATTACATAACCTTTATGTGCATAATTATTTTCTAATTAGTATTTGTAGATCGAAATTATGAACATAGGGTTTATTTAATAAATTATAGTTAAAAAGTTTTAAACTCTAGGCCTACAGTCTACACCTAAAATATTTACAAAGGAGTAAAATCTACAAAATTAAACTTTTCAAAACAATGGAAATTCTACAGAATTGAGTTGGTCGATTGTCAAACTCAAGTGTCAACTAGCATTCCCATAACAGCTGTTTTATATCATAGAGCACAAGTACAGGTAAGGAACTAAGGAGAGATTCATAAACGAGACAGCGTGAACTAATTTATCTGCAAGTTAAAATCCAAAACATTTTTAACGTACGAGAGTCAGATTTAGCGCTGTATATAGCTCAAAAAACCCAGTCTATTTAAAATAAGACAAAAATGCAAATCAAAAATTAAAATTTTATTTTTATAAACGATTAAATAACACAACCAGTGTTTTTTGTCAATATTACATCAACAATAATTATAGGTCCAAGAGCAGGTTTAAATTAATACTTTTTGTATATTAGATATGTATATTCTGTGGTGTAACATTGATCATTTGCACTTAGCACAGCATAAAACTTTAGTCACTTCCCAATCTTTATATAGCTGATTAATAAAGTTAAATTGGATAAATAATAAATTGTGAATAAAAAATTATTAAATCATTACTCCAATTTTGTATCATATATATAGACTCATAGGTGTGAAATCAAATATTAATATCACATAGTGAATTAATATATTGTAATATTTTCCTTAACGTCGTAAACATTGAACTTCGCAGTGACCTTTAGATATAGGTTTGAAACATTTGTGTTCATAACACCTTATGTGTGGTTTTTATTGAAATTGAATATGTCTCTTAATAAATTAGTAGGTGGTGATTGTGGAGGAAACAATTCTTTAGTCCAATTGTCTAATATTGTAAGTCGCGATGCAAGCCATTCCATGTCACAAGCTGATCGATTTGTCAATGAGTTTATGGCCAAAAACTCTGAAATACCTCAAACATTCAATATGACTGCATTACTAAATAACATCCATGATGTTGAAAAGGTAAATAAAGCCTCCTCTGTACCAAAAGTTAACCAATTATCTTCAAATGTAAACTTCTCATGGCTACCTGGACCATCAGCAGTGATTCCCGGTCCTAGAATGATGAGAACAATGCCTATGCACCATAACTCATTACAACTGCCTCAAAGAAACACTAATATGCAGATACAATACATAAATGAATCAGAACTTAAAAATACTGATGTACAAAGTAAAGCCCAAGAGTATGTAGATAGTGTCAATGAGGATAGTGAATTAGCATATAACCAGTTTATGTCTTTCATGAAACGTATGAGTGCTGGTGAACTAAATCTTGGTGAAAATCATTCTGAACAAAGTGATTTAAGAAAAGATACTTTTGTTGAAGAAATGGCTGAAAAATATAAAGATGAATGGGAAAAACTTAGTGATGTTAATGATTATTGGGAATCTGAAATTGCATATGGTATACCAGCAGAGTACATGTTTACAGAAGGAAATGCTATGTTAGAGAATAAAAATGCCTTGGAGTTGGGAAAAGAAAGATTAAAAATGGGTGATGTACCTGGAGCAGTATTATGTTTTGAGGCTGCAGCCCAGCAACAGCCAGATTCTGCAGAAGCATGGTTTCTACTAGGCACTACTCAAGCTGAAAATGAACAGGATCCGTTAGCAATTACTGCTCTTAAGAAATCCCTCAGTATTGATCCCCGTCAATTAGAAGCTTACATTACTCTTGCTGCAGCATACACCAATGAAAATATGCCTAAATTTGCATATTTAGAATTATCTAAATGGTTAAGAGGTAGTCCTAAATATAGTGATTTGTGTCCACAAGATGTTAAACCAGAGGAAATGAATTTGAAGCAATTGGAAGCCTATATAATGTCCCAATACTTGAAAGCAGCCCAATTAAACCCTACACAAATTGATCCTGATGTTCAAAGTGCTATGGGAGTAATATTTAATGCCAACCAACAATATGATAAAGCTGTAGACTGTTTTAAAACTGCTATAATGGTTACACCAGACAACGCTAAACTGTGGAACAGACTGGGAGCTACTCTTGCTAACAGTGACAGATCAGAAGAAGCAGTTGATGCCTATCAACAAGCTTTAAATTTAGAGCCAGGTTTTATTAGGGCAAGGTATAATGTAGGCATCACTTGCATGAATTTGAAGGCTCACAGAGAAGCAGCTGAACATTTTTTAGTAGCACTCAACCAACAATATAAAGCCAGGGATATATATCCTAGTCATTCTTCAGTTGACAACAGTTCTTCTGCAATTTGGACAACCCTTAGAATGGTTTGCTCTTACATGGGTGAACATGATGCTGCTAAGTTAGTTGATGAAAAGAACTTGACTGAACTGAATAAGTTTTTCAAAATTGATGTATAGGAATAAGCATAAGCAACTATAAATATTGTGATAATCCTAAAATATATGTAATTGTTAATATATTATTAAAGGGGTGTTTTTTTTAAAGAGGGCTATAGTAAAAAAATATATTTAAAGGATAAATAAATTTTTTATATTTTTTATTGTTTTGTTTTTATTTTACAAAATGTAAAAAACTACAATTGTCATCAGACAATGGACAGCCTTGTGGGTGATTGTCATAAAACCAGCACTGCTTAACTTGCACTTTAAAGGTTTTATTTTTATGCTTCATAGTTTTTTTAACTTCCTCTATAGTTTTTGGGTATCTTAACTGAACTTTTCCTTTAATTACTTTGAATATATGATGATTATTTCTTAGAAGAGTTTGCAAGCCTCCACATTCAGATTTAAGGTTTTTTAATATATTTTCCGGAATAAGATTAATAACCTCAGCAATTTCTACTTCTTTTCCAGAAGACCATGATTTTTCAAGCTCACAACCTTGTATTAAATATTTTGCAATACATTGAACAATCCATTCCAAGATATCTTTATCAACTTGTGTACAATTTCTTACCTTTTCAACTTTTTCCCTTGCTTTAAAATTTAAATTACTGTTTATTCTCAGTGCTGTGTTCAATGTCTCTTGAATAAAACAGCAATACTTTTCATATTCTTCTTCTTGATATGCCCTCTTTTCACTTACAAGGCATATGCGTTTTGTACTAGGAATTTTCAACCTGTCTAGTTTTACATCAAAACCAAAATCTTCACAAAGAGATTTAATATATTCTAAATAGTCACCATATTGACTTTTTGATGAGTCTCGTCTCTTGTATTTTGTTCCATTTAGGTTAAATGCACAACAAGGAAGTAGGAAAAATTTATTATTATAGCCTTGGGCGGCAATAACCGGAATCCAAGGGGTAAGTTCATCTGAATGATTTCCAATTATCCACTCATATTTAGATAAATCCTTAATATTAGCTGGTGTTATTGTTTTTTCCTAAAAAAATATACAGAATTTAAACAAATACTACAAAATATAATAAATGACAAATAGTTAAATTAATACAACAGTATTTCTTTTCATGTGGTAGTAATGCTATTTCCTTAATGAAAATGGAATGGTAAACCTTAACTATTATTTATAATACACACCTCTAATTTTATATTATTAGGATACATATCCCAGATACCTCTCTTCCTGATATCTACACCAAGACCTATACCACCTTCCATTGTTAAGATGTAAACTAACAATCCATTGCCACAACCGACATCTACAAATGTTGTATTTGATGTATTACCCCACAGCAACAGTAAGTATGTGGCTATAGATATATCTTCATACACAAATTTAGAAGGGTCTGTACACTCAGGCCATATCTGTGTAAAAGAAATATTTAGAAAATACAAACCCATTTTAAACACAATAAATTGTCTTGACTAACCTTTACAAGTTCTTTTCCATATTTAATTTTTAATTCATTGTATTTATCATAAAATTTATCACTGGATATCAAACTCAAAGAATCTATACAAATGGATTTATGTAAATCCAATTCAGGTTCTTCAGCCCATTTGTTAAATTGAGGAAAAACACATTCTTTTAGCCATGATATAGATTTAGAATTTTCTGGAATCAATCAATAACTTCTATAAAACAATTGTAAAATGTATTAGTTAAAGGAAAGTACCCAAACAGTACAGTACCCTTACCTGAAAATGCTTTTAATATCAATTTATTAGTTTTAAATGAGAAGCAATATGTGAAATTGGGGCATAAGTTCTGGTTATTATCAGATACAGTGATGTCACAAAATGTTACTGTAACCTTTTCTTTATCCATTACAATAAATTGAAATGCATGGTTTTCATCATAATTTTTAGGTAATAGTTCTATAACTAAACATTCTAAAGTTGAGTTTAAGTTTGTTTCTAATTTATTTTTAAGGTTTAATTGACCCAAAGTAATCATTAGTCTTTCATAGAACTGTTTAACAGCACAGCTGTTGTTAATCTTTAAGTCTTCCAATGACTGATAAAAGTAAGAATTTGTATTATATTCCATGTTTATTAAAATTTTACAGCCCCATAACCTTTTATTTATTACATGAGGTTTTCTAATTAAAATATGAGTGGATTTCCAAAAACCTTCTACTGTACACTTAGACATTGCTTCACAAATGATATACATTATTTTTTATTGATTATGGGAATAAACCTTAATCCTAAATCCGGTTCTTTATTTACAAACTACAAAGTTTCATATTATTAAAAAAAATTATGCAAGCCACAGATGAGTTAGAAAGCAGCTATAGTCCATAGACTATTGAATATATTCAAGCAGATAATTTGTATTATGAACGCAAGATTTGTAGCATCTGACAAGCGAGTCGTGGGACGAAAGTTTGACCCATATAGTCCAGTCAAAATAGGCATTTGACTTAGCCAAAATTCGCATAGAGCTGAAAATTGGCAGAGACGTTAAATACATCATTATAAATGAAATGTCAAAAATCCCCTTCGATCCTACTTCTGCAAAAAAATTTATTCAAGGTCTAAAGTATAAAATTAAGGTTTTTTCCATTTTTCTCGAAAACAGTTAGTATTATCGTGAAAATAGATCAGACAAAAGTTGTAGATCATACAATTTTCTACAAAAATGGTTCAGTCACTTTTTCTCTTACGACTCACCATTCATGAGATATCGCGGTTTTAATCATTAGAAAATTCATATTCTACATAATATGCACACATTTCCGCACCACCTATGAGGTAATGTACTTGGCGCATTTTTTTTAACGTGGTTTCCCCAGTAGGTATACTCCACGATCTATTGTAATAAAGAAAGTTTGATCAGATCGTATCCTATTAATTGAAAGAATAGTAATATTGCTAATGATTAAAGTGGAATAGGTTGTTTTTTTCTACATGTCATTATATAAGATAATTGTCTAATTCTACTTCAACAATTATTTCTTCGTCTTCATTCTCTTCTTCTTGCAGAATTTCTGTTTGCTGTTCTAAGAAAAGGGATGCATCAATTGTCTCTTCATTAATATCATAAATATCTTCATCTGTTGTATTTGTTTCAATATTGGAGCAAGTCTGACCCTGACAATTGATGCATACTGGCGAACAAAATAATCCTACTTTTTGACAGCCACAATTCTTACTACAATCCGTCTTGCATTTACAAAAAATAGTATTAAGTAGTTTTTCTGGAGCAGGCGGGAGTAAAGTTTGAATTGGCTCCAAATAATTATCTGTTAATTTCCAACCCCATTCTTCTGGGTCCAGCTCATTGCCTAGCCACACTTGAACTTGATAATACACACGATACAAGTGTTGAAAGGCAGAAGCAGATGTTGGAGGCAGACAAGACAACTGTACTGTTTTATAGTTCCATGCAGATTTTACAAACTTCAAATATCTATATTTGTCTATGGAATCAATTTTTTTTGGAGCACCATACATTGCAAGAAGAAAACGAATTCCATTTGTAACGATGTCGTGTGGAGAAGAGTCAATCTTTGTGAATACTTCTGCGCAATGAATTAAATCATTACGTTTTTCAAACAATTTAAATACTGATGTTTTACCTCTTTTAAAAATTGCTGATGTAGTATCACAACCAGTTATTGCATGTAAAAATAAAATATGAGCTTGACATTTCGGATATGCAGTCAGACTTTGTGATGAATATATTGTTGATTGTACTTGAGCTTTCCCAGGTTTTAAAAAGTAAATAATTTTATCATTTGGAGTCCGTGCAGTCAGTAATATCAACAAATCAACATCTTCCCCAACAACGACAGTATTATTTGAACTTTTCCATTGTTCTATTGCTCTTTCAATTATAAGGACATCAGCATCATTATCAGCTTGTTTTATTGAAATACCAGCAGCTGTAAATTCTTCACATAGCATTAAAATGAAGCGAGACTTATTGTGAGTATTTGCAAGAGTAGTCTTATATTTTAAAATCCTCATTTAATTTATACAAGTTTTATTGTGTAAGTAACACAAACGAATAGTTTCTTATTTTCATTTATATTGAACGTCCGGTGACGTATACAGACTGCATTTTAGTGCATATTATGTAAAATATGAATTTTCTAATGATTAAAACCGCGATATCTCATGAATGGTGAGTCGTAAGAGAAAAAGTGACTGAACCATTTTTGTAGAGAATTGTATGATCTACAACTTTTGTCTGATCTATTTCCACGATAATACTAACTGTTTTCGAGAAAAATGGAAAAAAACCTTAATTTTATACTTTTGACCTTGAATAAATTTTTTTGCAGAAGTAGGATCGAAGGGGATTTTTGACATTTCATTTATAATGATGTACTTAACGTCTCTGCCAATTTTCAGCTCTATGCGAATTTTGGCTAAGTTATGACTTATTTTTGTCTATTTTGACTGGATTACATAGGTCCATTACCATATTCTAATTTGTATTTTAAATCACAATCTTGTCTTGAGCGCTGTCAAATTTGACAATCTTCATACACAAAAAATGGTTTTATAGCTCTTGAAATAAAGTTTTAATTTGATTAAGGTTCTAGAATACAAGTCTTACAATATAACTGCACTAAAATTGCAAACAAAGAAATATGATAGTTTTTTTTATTTCCTAATATTAATATCGTAGTATTTGATGAACATTAGGTAGTCTTTATAACATATATTAATTACTAGATCTAGACCTTTGCGAATACTATTCGCATTGGCTCATAATTTGTAGGTAACAATTCTATTAGGTAGTTATAGTTTTGAGAGCGCCTATTGTTCTTGCAATAAGGTATAATCTTTTTAATTATTTATATATTGCCAAATCATTTAAATCAACTTCATATCTCAACTAAAGGACTTTATTTTCTGTACATAGATCCTGAGTGCTCGAAGTAAATCAACCGATTCCTATGTGAAGAAAACCTCAATCACCAAATAAAAATTCACCACATAGCATTGCCAACTCGATAACTATGCAGCATAATATGATACCCACCTGTTCAACTATTACTTTGTCATTAACGAAACAAGCAATAGAAAAAATGGATGACGCGCATTACTCAGTAGTCTTCTCAAACTAAACCAAGGTTTCATTATCGTGTGGCAGGATATAGGAATACATTTCTTAAATTTATGAAAAGGCAGAGATAAAAGAGCCTCTGGGATTTTATTAAAGAAGAGTATCCCTTTTCCCAAAAAAGAGTTACTAACTTTAGGTAGTCTAGGACGGGGAAATTGCAGCCTGCGTTTGTTCCGAGTATTAACATTGTGCGTATGTTCTATTCTAGTAAACTTATTACTATTTTTATATACATACATAATATTTTCATAAATATATTGCGAGGGAACGGTAAGTATATTAATTTCCTTGAATTTCTCTCTATCTATCAGATATTCCCTTCATTTTAAATTCGTATGTTAGTTAGTGGGTGACGCCTATCGAAAAGTGATTGTGTGCGTTTTCCAATTACAATGGAATTTTTACATTATGCGGCATAATGCCGCACTGTGTCTCAAGCCTTTGGTGATATTTTACATTTTGTCAGCTGTTATTTGTTGACTGTCAATTTTATGACAATTATCAAAATTACGGTGACTAGTTCATCGATCTTTAAATATTTTGTTTTTGATTTTTAATTAAAACAAATACGAAATTTATAAGCTAATGTTTGCATATAGAAACTCAGAACCCTTTTAAAGTAACACGAAAAATCAATTTTTTTCAATAAGTTAGCTGTGTAATGTCATACACTGAACTCGAACATGGCTATCAAGGATTGCGGCAAGCTACTCAACCACAATTCTATGTCGGCGATGACGGCAATCTTGTTCCGATAAGATCTCCCGTGAGTACGAAATGAAGATCATTTTAATACATATTTTGTATAAATGTTTAACCTAGCATAATCCTCACTATAGCTACTAACACCTAACGTTTTGTGATGTGCTCGTATCGCCGTGTAGTCATAATAAATGTATTTGTTAATTTTATATTCTAGTTAATTGCGTTAATCGATATAAATTTTATTTAAATAACGGCACTCTCTTAAACGTTATCAAAGAATTTGCTTTTCAGCTATTTTATTTGGCTACTAGATATTGTTACACTAAATATTGGTCACTAATTATAAGGTACATTAGGTACACTAACATTTATGTAAATGAACATATTGTATGTAGAAGTTGAATAAAACTAATCAGTATAAATAAAACATAGATTGTGCTTTGTAGTGGGGAGAACATATAAATGGACCTTGTGACAATGACAAGTCAAGTAACTTGTTAATTATGTCATATATTTGTTGGTTATCATACAAAATACAACCAATCATTTACAAGCCTCCTTATCATTGTTTAAGTTGATAAAAGTGATAGTTTGAAATGGAGTGGCAGTGGGTGAAAGACTGGTGGCGGCTAAAACACTGGAGAAATAAAGAAACAAAGGAGAAAAGTGATGATGACTTTTGTTGTTGTGATGAGTGTTTACCCGATGTGAGCTATTATTAGTTAATACAATACTTGAAGTTAAATATATTGAATAGATTTTAATGTTCTTTCTTTAATTGTTTTTGTTTTGATCATGTTAATTACAATTTGCATATCAAAAGGAGTGTCAAGGATACATATTGATAATATGGATAAAAGAGAAAAATTAAGGTTATTTAATAAACTTACTTTGACAATGTTTTACTGTATACTTAATCTTAATAGATTTTTTACTTTTGACTTTGTATTTTATAGTGCAACTATTATTCATATATGTTAAGTGATGTTTTTTTTAATAAAATTACATTGTTATATAAACTAATTTAGAACTTATAATTTATAATGGTGTATTTATTTTGTTGATCTTCATATGTTGACTGTATGAAACCTTTACAATGCATAAGTAAGTTATCGGACTGATGTTTTATATAAGATTACTCTAAAAATAAAACATGCATTCCCCTTAGTCCATAACTTTAACTTTAACAGTAAGTTTGAAATAATAAATTAAAGGAAACAATTATTTTTCATTCTTTTATAATGTAAGAATAATACTGACTGCAGTTTATTATTTGAAGTTGTCTTAAGAAAAGTAAATTATAAAAAATCCTGTGTTCCATGATTGGTGTATAAAATTGATGTAATTTTGTATTAACCATTTTTGTTTGTTACCAATGAGAAGAAAATGCTTATATGGGTGTATTTTTACTGAATTCTTGTGGATTGTAATGTCACCTATATTTCTTTGGGTTAAGGAGTATTTTGCAATGCCAAAGGTTATAATTTGAGGGTCGTTGTAACACCCAGTGGACTGTGATTGTTGGTATGAATTTATCTGTACTGATGTGAGAATTGTACACACTAAAATCCAGTTCGAGCTATATATTTTCTTTTAAATCAACAGTAGTCGCCTAGTTTGTTCACTTTTTTACAGAGAATGTAATGATTCCGGTTAAGAACAGTCTTGCTTGCTCTATTAATATAGAGCCAATATATTAAACAGCTTATTGTTACAGGGCGAGTTGGACCTGTGCGAGTCTTTAGAATCGAATGGCGATGGCTGCGGCAAGAAAGTGGTGGTCGGCGTCTGCGCCATGGCCAAGAAGTCGCAATCGAAGCCAATGAAGGAAATATTGACACGGCTGGATGAATTCGAGTATATTAAAATGCTCGTGTTCCCAGAGGAGGTTATACTTAAGGTTCTGTGATTGTCTAACCTTAAGTGGAACAGAATATAAAAGGGAGAACGACCAAATATGTTCGCTTGGAGAAAGTTATCGTGGTTAAGTTTGTAACCCAAAATGGCTCTTACTAGAATGAAATTAAGAATAAAAAGTAAACAAAAAAGACGAAAGGAAAAGGAAGAAATAAAGAAAATTTATGACAAAAATAGGCATAGACCGCTCCACCGGAAATAGTATTAATACATTTGAAACATCATTAAAAAATTTAAGTAATTAATTGAAATATTATCTTAGATAATAGAATTGATTACGTTTAGTATTAATATAGCGGCACAAATATGGTCTTTCTCCTTTAAATATTATCCTTCGTTTATTGTTACTAAATCTTTTGAAGTTATACTTCTTGTGGCGCGTTAGGGAAAAATGATGAGAGTAAATTTAAACGATGCGCGCGCACCCCGTCACAAAAAACCGACACCTTGAAGCTAGCTAGTCAACATTTTAGTTTTTTCTATTGTTAGTGTAGTTTTTTTTTTACAAACGTAGAATAAAATTTTTGAAAAGATTTTTATCTTGTTACACCAAAGAAGTATAATTTCTAACGCGTGATAAGTACACACTTTTTTTTTGTATTTAATCAATAATAGTTGCGTGTTGTTCCCACGAGAATGTAAGTGCGTGCTCCTATTTTGTTTTTTATTATTAATTAACTATACTTTACTTAAAGATGTTATGTGGAACATGGTTTAATGGTTGCAGCTCCTTACAAACATTTTTTTTAAATAAAAAAATTGGCGATTAAAAAGAGTGGCGGAGATTTTATTGCCATATCTTCTCGTCCGTTCTACGCCCTTGATTTGAGAACTGGCAGTAGATGTAAAATTAGAATATGTATTTCTTTATTGACGATCATGAGTGTACATTGTGTTACCTAAATGAGTAAATGAATTTGAATAAGTTTAAAATGTATAATTGTGTAAATATGTTTTGTATTTTAGAAACCAGTTGAAGAATGGCCTATTTGCGACTGTCTTATATCATTTCATTCGAAAGGATTTCCACTTGATAAAGCTATTCAGTATGAAAAGTTACGAAAACCCTATGTAATAAATAATCTTCACATGCAGTATGATATTCAAGTAAGTTCAGAAACTTTCATTCAAAAGAAGCCTCATAGCAATACCGATTTCTATATTAAAAGTTTTCGTGCTATCCGGAGCGGTCAAGTATTACGTCACGCAATTTTTGGAGATTATTGACACCCCCCACCATTAAACGCGCCGTAACGTGTTTTTGTTAACCCAAGTACAGTACAGTACTGTACCCAAGTATAGTAAAACGTATCGTGACCACTTAGTGACTCTTTATACCTAAAAGTTACCATTATGTTGTGTAAAGTACTGGAAAGTCGAAAATAATATTAAAATAACGCGTAATTCAATCCCCATCCCAAGTTTGCTCTATAGAAAACAGTGGCCCTAAAACCCTTACTTTTGGCCTCTTTCTGTATCTATTGTCAGCCTATGTCAATGTATACTCTTGGGTCTACGACGTGTCGCTTTCCTCGCAATATTTTCCTTCGTATGATTTTTAATTTTGCCCATTGGTGCCTGTAATTCGTACGCATGACCTCAGGGTTAAGGGTCTCTTTAGGGGCAATACTGCTCTGTATTATCAGCAGGGTATTGAAATAAATGTGATTATTGATTTAATTGGGTTTTGATAAGTGACGTCATATTAGAATTGACACAAATGTCTTCCACTGCAAACGGAACGGACCCATTACGGACTCCGCTATACTCGTAACGATGATTTTCATACATGTGCTTCCACCAAAGCGGAGATGAGCGGAGTGGAGTGAGCGAGTTGAAAGAGTCACATATGAGGTTAGCGAGTTGACCGAGTTTCCAACGAAAATGTATGAAAATCATCGTTACGAGTATAGCGGAGTCCGTAATGGGTCCGTTCCCTCGCAGTGGAAGGCGGGCATTATATTTCAGCCCATTTTTGATTCTCTTAGAAAATTTATTTATTTTATTAAATATGAAATCATAATATAAATATTAGGAAACTTGTAAAATATTGGGCACGATGGTCGAATTCAGTACTGATTTTAAATTGGTGCAAATTCTTAGTAAAGCAATATAGTATACTAGCTGACCCAGCAAACGTTGTTTTGCTATGTATATTATTCCTAGGAAACATTTTTTTAGTTCAATAAAAATAACTATCTACTATAACAAAAAATAGGGCATGATCGTAGATGGGTGAAAATTAAGGGTTGTATATATTTTGGATGCTGTATCATAAAAAAATAAAAACAAAATTCAGATTCGCAGACCTAACCGAAATACACACAAAATTTAACGAAAATCGGTCGAGCCATTTCGGAGGAGTTTAATTACAAACACCGTGACACGACAATTTTATATATTAGATACTAGCTTATCCGGCAAACGTCGTTTTGCCATGTTTATCATTTATAATAAAAAATAGGGGTTGATCGTAGAGGGGTGAAAATTAGGGGTTGTGTTTTTTTTAATGCTGTATCATAAAAAAATAAAATTTTATCTAAAAATTAAAAAAAAAAAAAAAATTAGGGGTGGACTATCCTTAACATTTAGGGTGATGAAAAATAGATGTTGTCTGATTCTCAGTTAAACCCAATGTGCACACAAAATTTCATGAGAATCGGTCAAGCCGTTTCGAGGAGTTTAACCACAAACACCGCGACACGAGAATTTTATATATGTATATTGTGTTTTATGTTCAGGATCGTCGCAGAGTTTACGCTATTTTAGAAAATGAAGGAATTGAAATTCCTAGATATGCCGTCCTAGATAGAGATTCACCAGATCCTAAACGTAAGTTTTTAAATACTATTTCATAAGCCTTCTATTCTCTTTATAAATATTAAACTTATTCCTACAAATGAACCAGTTGAATGATGCATGATTATTTACTGTTTTAATATCTGCTTTGAGCTAAGCCTTAGACCAAGATTCAGAAACAAGACTTAGCGCCATGACTCTTGTGTGTCAAAACCCGTAATGTTGTACGTACTGGACTCTGAGTATCCAGTCAGTCAGAGGAGAACAATCGAGTGTGTCTAATGTTGTTTTAGCTTTGTATATAAATATAATACATATTTATACGAGCTAAGGTTGGATAGAAAACGCAGTACATATCTTCGAGGGTTTATTTTAATAAATCAACCAGGAATTTAATTACACTAAAAAGCCGCAGATAATGTGCAGAAAAGCACTAATTACCACACACAAAATACGATCACTAATTTCTTTGCACTTTATCGGTGTTAATCTCTTGAAGTCGCTTGAAATTGCTCTAACGATGGGAAGCCCCCAGTGTACTGGGTAACTAAAGATTATAATTCACTCACATACACACCCTTTACTGTCACACCATGACACAACACAGCCGAATTAGGTATGACTATTATTTAATAATAATTATTGATTTTTTCCTTTTGTAAATGCTTGAATTTTTTTTTATATACATATTATTATTCCATATATATCATGAGTATAATTGTTTCATGTTTTGCATAATTTAAGTTAGCTGTAGTATTAACCTATTTCAAAAGAAAATGTTCACGAAACTTGCTTATATATCTTTACGAAGTGCTTACAAATGATGGAACGCATATAAAGATACCCTTTTTTGTCCGATAAAAGTAGTTTTAATGTTTTATAGTCCGGTTAATAAAACGCATTATCATATAACATTGATATAATATTTCAATCATAATAAAGATGTTTCTTTTTTTCTATAACATACTTAAATTTAACAACTAAATATGTTTTAACTTACTTACATACTTCCTCTAAACAATTAAATGGATTGTATAGACCACGAGTTGGTGGAATCGGAGGATCACGTGGAAGTGAATGGTGTCGTGTTTAATAAGCCGTTCGTGGAAAAGCCAGTGTCGGCGGAAGACCACAATATTTACATTTACTACCCGACATCAGCCGGCGGCGGTAGCCAGCGACTGTTTAGAAAGGTATTTTATTGTTAATTATTTAAGAAATCGAATTTACCAGCAATCATAATTAGTGTTGCCCAAAATCGGTCTTGGTCTTGCAGTCTTGGTCTTGTTCTTGCATTTTCGCAAGACCAAGACCAATACCAAGACCGCCTTATTGTAGCAATACCAAGACCAAGACTGAGGCCTGCAAGACTTGAGCAAGACAATACTTAAGCACGCAAGACTCTTGCGTCTTGCAGTTAAGACAAACTGAGATTTGGGCGTTATTAAGTAGGTATTTGGTTTCAATCCCGATTTTGAGAGACGTTCCCCGGTATCAAAACCGTTGGTATCGTCATAACACTAAACGTGCCGCTCGTCTGAAAGAACCCTGAAAGGTATTTATTGTATTGATTAGGTAGGTAAGTACTTATTATATTTCAACATTTACCTAGAATAACTTTCTAGCAAAGTTCATACCTTGTAGGTATCTACCTATAATAATATATTATCCTTGTTTATGTCTAATGTGCAGATCTAACGTTAGTACTCGTAGGTTGGTATGTGCTTAAATTTATAGCCAACAAAATTATATAAAAATTATGTAGGTACCTTATGGAACTTATGGTTCAAAGTTTATATTATTCTTCTATTTAGCAAAATTTAAAACTAAAAGCGAGTCGAGTAGGTCTAGTAACAGTTTCTACGGCAGCCAATATTATTACAGACACACAGCACATCAAGCTACTACAATCTGTCAAATTTTAGCAACAGATTTTCAACTTTATCGCTAAAGAATTAAGGTTCAAGGTTGATTGGGAAAATGTGACGTTCTGCGAATAAACTGTTGGTCGGTCGGTGTATTATATACCTACTTATTTGATAATTTACCGACAAAGACGCCGCGTTTTGCAACAAGTGTATCACAGCATTTGACACTGTTTGAGCGCCGCATTCGCCGACAAAGAGTCCGGACAGAGGCACACAAAATTGTTACCTATTTTGGTAGGGTTGGTACAGGAGGATAAAATTAAATGACCTTGAAGATGTCTCAGCAGTAGGTAGGTATAAATTGAATGCTCTGAGTATCTTGTAATTAAATACATTCTCACACTGGCTCGAATTCGAACACTACAACGTTTAAAGCTGTCGGGCGAGATGATAATTAATAACTAAGTAGGTATTGCATCTATTGAATTGCGAATATTTTGATTTCGAAATAATCATTGTTAATATCGGTAAATGATAGATAGTGAGTGATATACCTAGTTACTAAAATGTGAGCAGCATAATTGAAAAGTGTTTATGCCATGTCAGTGCTTTTCATAAGTTTATTTAAAAAAAAAGCTATCAAGTAAGATTTAGAGTTTACCATTCAATTACACACAACAAATTATTGAAAAATATATTTAGACAGAGTACTTAGGAAATTAGTAGAAAAAATATTCTATCGTGGATACCTAGTTATTAAAAAGTTGATAAACGTTGTGTTTACTTAAATAGACCGTCGATATATCAAATCAATATTAATTTTTTGTTGCAATTTTTAAATTTGTCATTTTGAAAAAAATTACATATTTTTTGGAGTATTTATTATAAGTCGTCTCTATTACTCCCCGGTGGTTGAGAACACTAACGTTCGACGCATGCACAATTGCTTAAAAGCATCGCACAGCCGACAATCGCTGTCCTCGTCTGACAAATGATGTTACGCGCTAACTCTCTTTCACTCTACCTTAAATATTTATTATCTTTAACAGCCAGTAGCCCTTATTTGCGGCCAGATTTAATTAAGCAACTTTATATGATAATTAATAGAAAAAAATTAGCTTCAATTTGACATATAATTAATAAAAATAGGTTATAAACGTATAAATTTATCGAAATCATACCTGTTTACACCTGGCTGCAAAGAGGTGCGGCCAGGTGCGCAACGGCACCCGTGATTTTTTAGAATCTTCATATTAATTACCGTGATGTAGACGTTATTTTATTTAAAAAATAAATGAACGAAGATTTTTACCAAAAATCAATTAAAAATAATGGCGGCCAAATTTTGATAGGCACCCTAGTAAATATATATTCTCTTAATTATAAATAAACATAAAAATTTGGTTTTAAACAAATAGTCGATGAGCACACCAATCCTGCAGCGGGATCTCGTACTATTCCAAAAATCGAGATTTGCAGTGTCGATTTATCAACTTCTATCGTACCTACTCTAGTAGCGACTATTGTCTTCAGCGATGATTTACTAAATAAATAAAAATAATCGTCGTGTAGGTACGACGATTATTTTTCTAAGGAATACAATTTTGTTGTAGTAGGTACCTACATCGTTTCTTACTTACACATACTTTAACGACTGTACCTACGTAGCAAAGCGCGCCAGTCACGAGTAGGTACGACAAATTGCCTAAAAAATGTGCCTACGCACACTGTAATGAAATCTGCTAATCTCAACACACACGCACTTCCTTATTTTGGCCGCATAGGAAGCATAGGATTTAGGATAGCCCGCCAAACTCAATTTTTTTTTGCAATTTGCAGGCTAGTGCTAGATTGTTGATTAAAATATGATTCGCGCTGTGAGACGTATGTAGTTACAGAGTCAACTACATACGTCTTACAGCACGAACCATAATCTAAACTAACTTGTTCAATAAATAGCACTTGGCTAATAGGTATTTGAAAGTCTCGCGAGACTTGCAAGACTCTTGCTGCAAGACCAAGACCAATACCAAGACTGAGAGCGCAATACCAAGACCAAGATCAAGACCAGGTGTATTGACGCAAGACCAATACCAAGACTGGTCTAAGTCTCGTCTTGGTCTTGCATTTGGGCAACACTAATCATAATTAGTTTAAATCTTTTTTGGATTACTTTGGTTTAAATATACACGCAATAACATGGCACTTAAGGCAGCTGGTTCCACATAGTGGTAGTGCGTTGCAAAAACTTAAGAACTCTCAGGAACGACGGACGTTCAGGTGATACGGATGGTATTTTGTATTCTGCTGCTTGACGTCCGATGATGAAATTTGACTGAAGGCAATAATCCGAACAAAAGCTTTGAATTGAATAACCAATAACTCTGTATAAGTCACAATACAACATTTTAAACGATTTCTAGTAAATCTGGTACTTTTATAAAACATCAATATACTATATAAGAATAGATTAACATTTATAAACGTTTTAGATTGGAAGCCGCAGTAGTATTTATTCGCCGGAATCTCGTGTGAGAAAGACTGGGTCTTTTATATACGAAGATTTTATGCCTACTGATGGTGAGTTTATAAAATGAATTTAAAAAAAAAAATTTACATTCTTTTATATAATCTTTTTAGATATTGGTAAAGGTAGCGTTCAAGTATTACGTCACGCAAGTTTTGTATATTATTGACCCCCATGTAATGCGCCGTAACGTTTTTCTGTAGGTACCCAAAAGTAAAACGTTTCGTGACCACCCAGTGACTCTCTTATACCTAAAAGTTGCCATTATGTGGTGTAAAGTCGAAAATAATATTAACAATAACGCGTAATTGAATCCCCGCCCCAAATCGTAACGTTTTACAAAAGACACCCCCCTTCCAAAAATTCGTTAGGTAATACTTGAACGCTTCCAAAACCCGCATAGATTCCGCGCGTTTATCGCGAACAGACAAATAGGTAGCTCTTCATTTTTGGGGTTTTTTAGACTTAGGGAGCGTTCAAGTATTACGTCACGCAATTTTTGGAGATTATTGACACACACCCCCTGCCATGTAACGCGCCGTAACGTATTTCTGTACCCAAAAGTAAATCGTTTCGTGACCGCCCAGTGAGTCTTTTTACCTAAGAGTAACCATTATGTGGTGTAAAGTACTGAAAAGTCGAAATAATATTAACAATAACGCGTAATTCAATCCCCGCCCCGTATCGTAACGTTTTACAAGAGGACCCCCCTCCCCCCAAAATTCGTTACGTAATACTTAAACGCTCCCTTATGAACTCAAAAATAAAGTGGCTTTCTTATAGTAAAAGTATTATTAACATCGGTTGTGTATACCCTAAGATTGCCCCTGCCACCTCACAAACTTTTCCTGCTATTATAATATTAGTATAGATTCAATAATTAAAAATAAAAATTTAGCTTTGTTACAACTAATATGCGTACAAATACTAGTACTCTGCAATAGCTAATATTATGATAAAGAATGTAGTTCGACGTTGTAGGCACAGATGTGAAAGTCTACACGGTAGGCCCGGATTATGCCCACGCCGAAGCGCGCAAGAGCCCAGCTCTGGATGGCAAAGTTGAACGCGATTCTGAGGGCAAAGAAATCCGATATCCAGTTATATTGTCCAATCAAGAGAAGTTAATATCTAGGAAAGTTTGTCTGGCCTTTAAGCAGACGGTTTGCGGGTTCGACCTATTGAGGTAGGTTATCAATAAAACTAAATTGTTACTAAATATATATATATATATATATATGTCTATAGGTATGTCTTTGAAAATCATTGCTTCTTTGAATAAAAAAGAAAAAAAATCAGATTTCTCTATCTGTTTCATGATCATTTGTCAATCTAATAGTTAAGTAGGTGATCAGCCTCCTATGCCTGATACATGCCGTCGACTTTTTGAGTCTAAGGCAAGCTGTTTACCTTCACCGTTCGAGCGAATATTAAATGCGCACATAGAAAGAAAGTCCATTGGTACACAGCCGGGGATAGAAGCTACCACCTCGGGGATGAGAGTCGCACGCTGCAGCCACTAGACCAATACTGCTCGGCTTCTTTTAATACTTGCTTGAATTATATAAGTAAACAAGGGATGTAGGTTGCAAGTGTTTGAACACGAGATGTCCATTGAATAAAGATGCCTTGGGGTTTAGTCAAGATGCCTTCACGTAGTGCATGTAGAAAGTACAAAACTTAATTTGTATGAAAATGACAGTTCGTGTCGACAAATTTTTATAAGTCAAAGTCAAAAATCATTTATTCATGTAGGTAACACATTGTACACTTATGAACATAAAAAAAATGTACATTAAATGCTTCTAATTTTACATTTACTGCCAGTTCTCAAATCAAGGGCGTAGAACGGAAGAGCAATAAACTCTCCGCCACTTTTATTGTTTTACACGACGTTTTTAAGGAGCTGCAACCATTACACCATGTTCCACATGACATCTTTAGCAATAAGTATTAATAAAATAAATTAAAAACAAAGATATACATAAAATTTAGATTTCGACTTTCTACATACACTACTGTTAAAGTATTGACTAGACCCCCTTATTATCCAAATTTCATAGTTTATGTTTCCTTATAGAATTGCCACATATCGTTTGTCAGCTATAAATGCTCCCGTTGCTCTCATTTCCATATACTTCACTCATAGTAGATCAGCTACTATTAGTTTTTGACGTTTCATTATTTATTAATGTATGTAAACAATCCTTTTTTCATACAATTTTTTTTAAGTTGAAATGATAATATTTTGTAGTAACAAACTCTTTTTAGCATTTCTCTGCCGATAGTTTTGTTTAATATTACATATTAGTTCTCTGTTGTTTTCGTTGCGATGTTTGCGCTGTCTGTGTAATTAGCATTTAGCTTTGTTTAAAATAGATAGTGTGCTAGGGTACAAAGGTATGTAAGATGTCACGCAAAAAGTGAAAACATTTTGTTATTATCTGAACAGTTAAAAAAAAAGTCTATAATTTGTTACTTATATTGTATGCTCGCACTTAACAATTTTTTTTGGGATTCACGTAGAAGTCTCCTCCTTTTCCCGTATGGTTATCGGTCTTTGTCAAAATTCCTAAAATAATCAACTCCAAAGCTTAATTTATTCAAAGAAGCATACTAAAAGGCGCTTATGAATTGTCTAGTTAAATTTTGTCTAAAAAGTAACTTAATATTTTTTTTTCTTAGTAAAAAACATGAGTTAACTGTTTTCTGTGTACTTTTTATTACCAAAGAATGAAGTTAAAAGTTACTGACCATAATGGATAAGTCTTAGTAAATCTTTTTACAGAGCCAATGGCAAATCGTTTGTATGCGACGTAAACGGATTTTCGTTTGTCAAAAATTCCAATAAGTACTACGATGACTGCGCAAAAATTCTTGGGAATATGATATTAAGAGAATTGGCGCCAACGTTGCATATACCCTGGTCGGTGCCTTTTCAACTTGACGATCCTCCAATAGTCCCTACGACGTTTGGGAAAATGATGGAATTACGATGTGTGGTAGCTGTTATAAGGCATGGAGATAGGACCCCTAAGCAGAAGATGAAGGTCGAAGTTAGACATCCTAGGTTTGTGTGTTTCTTGTTATGTGTGTATTTCTTAATTTTCTAGTCATTATTAAAGTATGTGTATTCTTCTATGTTTTGTACCATAGACCAGGGGTCACCAAACTACGGCCCGAGGGCCACATCTGGCCCACGGACAGATTTTGTCCGGCCCGCGGAGAGCTAGCATACTTGAAAACTCCTTTTAGAGAACATATTTTTTATAGCAAATTAAATTTAGTTTACTGAAGTATTCTAATTTTATGTTGAATAATTATTAATATGACATCTACATTGATATGGTCATGGGCTAACTACTCATAGCATTGTTGTAGGCTTATTGTTATTGTTTTTGTGATAAAAACATAACTTAGCTGGAAAGTTTGGAGACCCCTGCCATAGACGTTAAAAAGGATTTTGTAGTATGTACTTTGAAAAATGGGTTCTAAATATCATTAATTAAAATTAGTACCATAAGTTTAGAAGATTAGCAATTATAACTTCTAGAAAATTTTTGCAATACAAAATAAGCTTTAAAATCTTTTTAACTAAGACAGTTAAATTTTAAAAGTTGAATAACAATCTTCAGATTCTTTGAAATCTTCGAAAAGTATGACGGCTTTAAACGCGGTCACGTGAAACTAAAAAAGCCGAAGCAGTTACAAGAGATCCTTGATATTGCGCGTGCGTTGCTCGCTGATATTCACACACGTCACGCTGACCCGGAAATAGAGGAGAAGCAGGGGAAATTGGAACAGCTCAAGAGCGTGCTTGAAATGTAAGTAGACCCAAGTCTAGTCTAGAGTACAAACTCTAGTGATACCATCTCTTACAGAATTTTCCCCCTATGACCAATTTCAAATATACTTAAATTTTTACACTTGGTTTGACAGGTTTTAATATTAAATATGCATTATACATTCTTCTTGTATAACATTTAAATCTTGGAGAATACTCCTGCTATAATAATAGCTTTTTGATATTTACTGGAATAAAGTACCCTCTAAATGTACCCCTTGGACATCTTGATTCCCCCTAAATTTGAGCGGAAAGCCCCCAAGTTGACATCACTGTCGGACCCCTATAATTTGAATTTGATAGGTGACAGTTGACACTTTATAGTCAAGTGTCTCACGACAACTTTTTAAAAAAAAAAAAAATTATCGAACAGGGGGGCAAGGGCTCTCCGGATGTTAAGTGATACCACTGCCCATGGACACTCAATGCCAGAGGGCTCGCGAGTAGTGTTAATCGCTCTCGATTAACTTTAAGTTAATTGTCAATAAATTATACTCGTATAGACTTAACATAATTATTATTTATCTTAAAACACATAAGTAGTGCTTTCCTTAAAGCCGAACACATAAACAAACACTTTACTTCATTATATACATTTACGATGCATAGATTAAAGAAACAAATCTTATCACATTGTTTTTGCATACACTTTTAATCTTATTATCTGATAATAATCACATATAGGATAAATATTTATCTATCACTTAAAAGTGGCCTCTATTTCTTTAACAATATTAGTACTTTCTATAAAAAGCACTTTATTCTTTCAAAGTCATCCCTTTTGCCTTTGCCTTTCTCGAGCCGAGATAGTCCACGTTTCTACTTCATACATGAAGATAGGGAATATTGGCGCCCTAGGGTACTACGGCTTTTGAGTACTAACGCACTAGGGTACTACGAGATCCATGCTCTCTGACTACTCCTTCGGGAGCGTTCAAGTATTACGTAACGCATTTTTTGGAGATTAATGACCCCCCCCATGAACTCGCCGTAACGTTTTTCAGTACCCAAGTACAGTACTGTATCCAAGTCTAGTAAAACGTTTTGTGACCACCTAGTGACACATTAGTTACTATTATGTGGTGTACGTAGAAAATTATATTAACAATAACGCGTAATTCAATCCCCGCCCCGCATCGTAACGTTTTGCAAAAGGACCCCTCCCAAAATCGTTACGTAATACTTGAACGTTCCCTTCGGAAAAAAAGCGCTAAATCCAAAAGCTATTACAATTTGACAACAAACATGTTTATCGTTCTTGATACGCCCGCAGATCAAATTACATGTAATAAACTAAGATAAATTTAATATCTTTATCGATTATAAAAAAATATTGAGAAATGAAAAAATACCTACTTAATTGTCGCTGACGATATTTTGTTTATTTAGGTACGGTCATTTCTCGGGGATCAACCGCAAAGTCCAGATGAAGTACCAGCCCAGAGGCAGGCCTCGAGGCTCCTCGTCGGACGACGGTAACGCTCCCGCACCCGCTACATCCGCTACACCCGCTGACGGTCCGCATGCATCCTGCGATAGATTTATTTGCATTTTATTTTAAGTTTTATTCAACCACTTCCTTGGTTCTGGGTGAAACGATTGTTTCGGGTTGGCACAGAAATCTTTATGTAAAAGACACGTGTTTGGTCCATTTGGCGAGCTCAATGGTTCAGTGAAATAATCATTGCACGAATATCATATTTATTTTTGGTTTAGTAGAATAGGCATACTTTTGAAGTTTCATTGTCAAATCCCGAAATACCTAGTTAGTAGTTAGATGAATCATAATTTCCCAAAACAAATATCTTATGTAGAGGAAAAACGTCTATTTGGAAGTGTATACTATAATAGCTATGTTTTGTACTCTTGTCCTACGAATAAACGTGACAAAACATTGTTTAACTAATGAAGGTTTATAGTAATTCTCCTAGTAAATGAGCTGTATCAAAATTAAAATAAAAAATGGATGTAAAAAATCGAGGAATCAGTTAAAAAGTTTTGAGTAATGAAGTTTATACAAGTGCGAGTAATATTTAGTAGGTTGTGCTGGTGAACCATCGCTAGTGCTGATACTCAAGTGGGGAGGAGAATTGACCCCCGCCGGAAGGATACAGGCGGAAGAACTAGGCCGGATGTTCCGGTGCATGTACCCGGGTGGACAGGGCAGGCATATTCCGGGTGAGTAACTTTGGAACCGCGCTTTTTGGGCACATGAGGTTTCAGGCGATGTAAAAGTTGAGATTGGACTCCTAGGGTGATATTCAGTACTAAGTGTGACTCCCGTCTGTCAAAATCGAATACGTTCGATCAAGTCAAAGGCATCATTCTTGAACGTCAAACTAAAATCTCAATAATAAGTCAAAACATTATTTCTATATGGATTTTAGCACATATTACAGCGCTTAGGACGAGATGGTCACTTAAGATACGAATTACAATATAGACCATGGTCTCATAGGTTTCGTTTCTACCTTTTATACGACATTTTTTTGACGTAAAAGTTATCGTTGTGAACTTTGTACTTCTGTTGTTACTAGCCATTATATCCTATGAATCTTTACAGAAATGGACAATAAAACATATAAATTTTAGGATACATTGGTTTATGCTATGCAATTGTTAATCCAGACAATGCAACTAGGGAATTGTAGAAGGTCGTACAACTCAGGACATATGAGTCCGTCAAAATTCGTATCATAATTATGCGATACATTTTGACGTGACAACGTCTAACAAATCGATAAACGCCGGTTGCACGCACGAAAAAGTATGATTGTCCCGTTACGCTCATTGTACGCTTGCGCCGCATTTATCTCTCTTCCACTCGATTGGCCTATGCGTCCGAGAATTCACTCCTTCTCTGTATCCATACAAAATAGTGTTATTCAATTTTATTCATAAAAGTATGCAAACATTTAATCAAAGTTTTGTTTTGACGATGTCACGTTAAACTAACTTTACAGATAACCATTTTTTTTGTGTAACAGGAGGCCAATTGACAGGAGGCGCACTGATTTATTTATTTATTTTATTTATTTGCTCAACGGTATTTCTACAGCTACTTACTAAACAATATTCAAACAATTACACTGTACACAAAAGCCAAAAACGGAATACACATTTAAACAAACTGATGTTAAGTATCCCCCGCCCATAGACGACACTGCCATTGCCAAAGGCGAGTGCGTTGCCGGCCTTTAAAATTCCAATCAGTTCAGAAATTGTGAAACTGATTAAGATAGCAATTGTTTTGATAAATTTAAAAAAAAATTGACTTACAATTATCTGGAGTAGTTTTAAAATGTATGAATGTCCAGGTGAGGCTGGTACGCAAGGCCTAGGTCTTCTTCGTCTCCACTCGACGTTTCGACACGATCTCAAAATATACGCATCAGATGAGGGCCGGGTTCAGATGACGGCAGCGGCTTTTGCAAAAGGTCTGCTGGCGTTAGAAGGCGAGTTGACTCCGATACTCGTGCAGATGGTGAAATCAGCGAATACCAATGGTCTTTTGGATAATGATTGCGATTCATCGAAAGTTCAAAATATGTGAGTCAAATTTAGTTTTTTTAAAAGTAGAAGTATTGCCAGTTTTAAAACAAGAGCTTAGAAGAGACGGTAAGAACTGGCAATAAACACTCTGTCACTCTTTTAAATCTAGAGGAGGCATGCTCCTCGCATCTTAAAGCAATTAATTAAAAAAAGTCTCAATTAAAAATATTTATACATTTTTAAAATACTAAGATACAAACGACGAGATATACTTACTTGTATATTGCCGACCACGTCCTATTTCTAGCCGTGTAATAAAAAAATGCCAGATTTCACTTTACGCGATTATAAGTACAGACTACGTCAGACAATTAAATCTAATTTAATTAACTAAAATCGACCTTAAAACGTAAATTTCCTTAAGATCCCGTTTTTATTCCAAAAGAGTATATATGTTAATTCATATTATATACAATAGGTTAAAATATTTCCAAAAACATATAATAGAACCTCTCCTCAAAGCATACCAATATTGGCAATTATTTTATACATTCTTCATATTTAGGGCCAAAGCCCGCCTCCATGAAGCGATGCAAGCAGACCGCGAGTTCACCCCAGAAGACAGGGCTCGTATAAACCCATGTTCCTCATTAAGCATAAACGCTGCTATGGACTTCGTTAAGAATCCCGTAAGATGCTGCGCACACGTGCATACATTGATACAGCAGTTGGTGAGAATAGTTTTAACGAAGAAGGACGATCCTAAAACTAAAGGTATTTATAGGTTTTTGTAATACATTTGCCTCTATTGCAATAATATATAAATAAACTAATAAATAGTTCATTACTAATTTGAAAAACTAGATAAAAGTTTTTATATGAGGCTACATAATACATATATATTTTATGGCTCTGGCACGATTTTTGCATTAGCCAGCGTCAAGTATAGGAATTTTTATAATTCGTGCTTGTCTTTAGAAATTCGACCGTGTCCTCCATGTACGGTTTAGGCACTCGCCCGGAACGGCACAACCCTACCAAAGGCCGAGAACAAATTTAAATTAAATTAAAACTTGCCCTCGAACCGGGAATCGAACCCGGTACCCCTCACCTAGCTGCCACTTAATAAGACCGCTAGGCTATGAGGCCCCCCATATATATTTTAAAACAAACATAGAAGCAATCCAATTTTAAATTTTCCCTCCATAAAATTAAATTAAAATTGTTTGCTATTGGATTTGTTCAGGTTGCGAAGCACGCTTAGTAAATGTCCACAAATTTTCGGGAGTACACACATAGTATATCTAATGGGAACACTTTAAATTTCATTAAAATCGGTCCTGCTTTTTGAAATATAGGTAACATATAAATAATGTTGTCAGTTACAAAAAAACTTTTTTTATATAGTTTTGGATATGAGAAATGGTCGTGAAGTATATTCATACTCATACTAATATATAAATTTAATATTCCAGACACAATACTATACCATGGCGAATCATGGGAGCTTATGGGACGAAGATGGGGCAAAATCGAAAAGGATTTTTGTACTAAACACAAATCTTTCGACATATCCAAAATCCCAGATATATACGACTGTATCAAGTACGATCTGCAACACAATCAGCACACTTTGCAATTTGACCTGGCCGAGGAACTGTATATGTACGCGAAGTACTTGGCTGACATCGTTATACCACAGGTAAACAATCTTGTAGCTGTATATACCACAGTGTATATTAAAATGACTAAATTACATAGACTGAGCGGTTTTAATGCGGTTTTTGCCGCTTACCACCACTAAGTGGGATCACTGAAATATTAGGTTGGGGAAAAAGTCTTTTCGCATTATAGTATGAATTTGTAATAAAAACTCTTTGGCTATACTATTTGTATCTGGCTGGTGTTGGTATCATTAAAAATTTAAATTTTAAAGAAGAAAATTCCTAATTCAAATTAGGAAAATGTGTGATTTTTATTTATTTTTCGTACTGTCAATATGAGTGAATCTAATGAAGAGATTCGATACATTTTATATCCGACCCAATTCGACTTAGGATCCTTCAAGAAAAATAAAACATACCAATTCTTAAAAGCCCGGCAACGCACTTGAGAGATTTCTGGAAATGTGAGTGTCCTCGGGTGGATGTATCACTTTACATGAGCCTCCTGCCCGTTTTCTCCCTTTTATTTATTTATTTTTACATAATTTTTATTATTTTGTTATTTTAAAAAAAAGCCTTCCTAAGTTAAAGTACCATGCCCATTCAAATGTACTGGGGTCAATTAATTCGTGGGTGGGGTAAATATATATAATATAAATGCGTTTATATATTTTGATAGATTAAATAAATTCGATTGCAGGAATACGGCTTGACGATGCAAGAGAAGTTAACGATAAGCCAAGGTATCTGTACGCCGTTGTTGAAGAAGATTCGCGCAGACCTTCAGAGGAATATTGAGGAATCGGGCGAAGAGAATGTCAACAGGCTTAATCCAAGGTATGGAATAATTTCAGAAGTATTTCTTATTCAAGGCCCTTCTCAGAGGCCAGCAACTGCTTCTGGCATTATTATCATCTTTATAAAAAAAGGGGCGGTACTTAGTACGCGCGAAGAAGTTATACTTCTTTGGCATATTAAAAATAGTTTTTGATTGCATGCAAATAATTAATTACAATTAAATAATCAAAGACTGGAAAAAGAGTCATTATAGTCAATTAAGTTCAGTTTACATTTGAAAAATTAAATAAATAATTATTTATTATTATTTTCTTACATTAAGTGTAACATAAATTCTATTTAGTTAAAAGTATATATTATTATATATTTAGAACATCTCACCAAACACTAAGAAGTATATTGTAGCTTTGGCAGTATTGCACAATATAAAATTAATAAATTTCTTTGAAAAAATAATCAAAACTCCTTTATTTGTTTAAAAGGAAATGACAAATGTCATTATGGTCATTCAAAATTCTTGGCATACGAACTTCACGCATATTCTATTTCTTTTTACTTGTAGATTGTCTTATTCCTATCTCGCTCGCGCACGCTATAATCACACTCCCAGTTTTGTGTCACAGGTGCGCGCGCATCGTAAAATTTCACTCTCATAAATTTTTCATAACGAGCCTAAAGAAGTATAACTTCAAAAATACTCTACTATTCGTGATACACGCCCTCCTTCAACCCTTTCGAGGTGACTTTGCCACTTATGTTAATACTCGGAACAAACGCAGGCTGCCATTTCCCCGTACTAGACTATTATAATCATAATCACAATAATTTATTTGCAAGAATATGGTATAAAAATCATAATGGTATCTAAAGTTAGTAACTCTTTTATGGGAAAAGGGATACTCTTCTTTAATAAAATCCCAGAGGCTCTTTTATCTCTACCTTTTAATAAATTTAAGAAATGTATTAAAGAAAAGCTGTGTAGAAAGGCTCACTATAAAGTTAATGATTATCTAGTTGATAAGAGGGCCTGGGACTAGTGCTATACAGGCTACTTCTAATTAATTTGTGATATTTGTTTTAAAATAAGTGTTGTTTGATGATTTGCTATTTAAAAAGAGTACCGAGAGTTTTTACGCCGGCTTTTTCTCTCGGCCTACACCCTCTGTCTTCTTTGCCGGTGAGTAGGGATGTCTACAGATTTAAATTTAATGACGTGGAATAAGTGATACCTGTATCTTATATTCCATAATAAACATATTTTATTTTATTTATTTTGTGTCATACGAAAGTCTTTTAAAGTCTATATAGGGGACACTTTCATCGCTCGAGGGTAATATATAATGATATTATAATTAGAATTTATTGTAGGTACAGTCACGGTGTATCGAGTCCGGGTCGTCACGTGCGTACGCGTCTGTACTTCACGAGCGAGAGTCACGTGCACTCGCTGTTAACAGTACTGAGATTCGGCGGACTACTCGATGTAAGTATTCGACTATAGTAAATCTTGTGTCTACTATATAAAAAATGACTTATTTATTTAGAAAAACTAGCAGAAAACCTTTACCGGATTCAGCGTATTTTGGTAATTTTGCACCCATTTCAGAATCCCATAATAGTCGTAAAATCTTATATTTGGATCCAAGAATTTCTTTTTTTTCTAGAATAAAGTTCACAAAAGACAGTTCGACTTTACATGAATTACAATCTATCCTGTACAATACAATGATTAATAAGTAATATTATGTTGACTTAAGTTTCTATAATACAAGTGTATAGTTTAAACCAAGGTTATGTTCATTAACAGGCTTAGTTTTATATAGGGATATGTACACTTATGAACGTCAAAAAAGAAATATACATTAAATGCTTCTAATTTTACATTTAATGCCAGTTCTCAAATCAAGGGCGTACAACGGAAGAAAAGAACTGGCAATAAATTACTCCAATATCTGTCATCACTGTCAAGAACAACTGGTAGGTCTTGATGGTGTTTACGAAAGTACCAAGAATAAGTATAAATTATATAGACCACTGTCAAAACTCAAAACATATTTATTATTTGTTGTACGGGCTAATCTTCCGTCCATGTTCTACAATGAACCCAAAAACGTTTCAAAATATAGTTTATCATTTGTGTAGACCTCAAATGACTTTTACAGATAGTGAAAGATGAGCAATGGCGACGTGCGATGGAGTATGTGTCAATGGTGTCAGAACTTAACTACATGTCTCAGATTGTTGTTATGCTATATGAGGACCCTACCAAGGACCCTTGCTCTGAAGAGAGGTACAATATCTTTTTTTTTAGTTTTGACAAAATAACCTACTATTACAGATTACTCCAATGCAATAAACTACTTTACTTTTATTTCAAATATAAAACAATACATACACAAAGAAAAAAAAGTGCGCGCACAAAGTACACATGTCAGAAGTGAAACGTCTTGGCAAACTAATTTTTAAGTCTTGTTCATATTTATACAAATCTAAAAACACTTAAAACACGAGACGTTCGCTCTCTCTCACTCTATTTCTCGATCTTTCTCACTTGCTTGCTCCCTACTCTCGCTCCACGGCTATTTGCTTCATGCTACGTACACCCTTTCACACTCTCTCTCAATCGGTCTCAATCGCTCTCTCCCTTTTCTTCGACAAAAACGCTGCACATCTTCGTGATGCTTATATTATTATTATTGCGTTTCATCCGTAAAAATGCGCCTAAAGAAGTTTCACTTCAATAAACAACACGACATTAAACAGTAATAGATTAAAATATTTACAAAAAGACTTACTATTTCTTAGACGAACTCACCATTTCTTCGAGAACCTTTTGTCACCCAACGAAATTAAAAGCGTCTCTAAATCTATGCAGTTCGTTAATTATTTCCATACATTGTCATTGTGCCCTTTTCCAGATGTTAGTTTTCGCTAAAGGTACGAATAGAAACGGCATTGCATTTTGTTCTTTTAATGTTTAGACTTGTTTGACTCGTTTTCCTATAAAATCCAATACAACATGTTCAAAGATTTCGTTCAAAAATATAGAATAATGTCAGTAATGAAAAAGGATTGACATATTGGTTGTCAAATATTTATGCGTGCGTTCAGACGCTTATTTCTTTTTGTCTTAATTTTTAAATTTATTTTGTATTCATTGTATTACTTTCATAAACAACGATTGTCCCTACCGGAAATAACCTTTTTATTCTACTCGAACAGTCCAGCGTCAACAAGAGAGAGAGAGAGAGAGAGATTCCCCAGAGAAGATCTATTTTAGGTTAAGTTAAACGTATGGTGACTGTCATTTAAAAACGTACTACGAAAAGTTAGTGTCTAGCAAACGGTTTCTGGTCGTATAAATTTAATTGTATAATGTGTAATATTTAAATTTTGCGTAAAATAAAATCATCTTATCTGTAACACGACATTCATTGCCTGTTAGGAGGTACGAAGTTCGTCAGGTCAGCTTTTTATTGATAAAACCCAAAAGCAACCCGGTCGGCGAAATTTATTTAAGTTTATTATTGGACTTATGTGAAAGTAAGAGAAATCATCTCATATATATATTTTATTTGGTTTAGTACAATAATTTGCACATATCAACATTTATATATTTCATTTAATAACTTCAATAACTAACCTTAAAATATAATAACTAAAATATGTTATTAAAAGGAGTCCCTTTAGGCAAGGTTCCAAAGATACTGCTAGCGTAAGGGGGGAGGGGGGACCTTTGAATAGCTAGATTACTTCTTTGTCCGAGGTAGCTGCCAGCTCTTCGGTCTCCTGTGATGTCGACTAACCTTAATTATTTTTTTATAGATTCCACGTGGAATTACACTTCAGTCCGGGCGTGAATTGCTGCGTGCAAAAGAATCTTCCGCCGGGACCCGGATTTAGGCCACATTCGCGGAATCATTCTACGGCTAATAATGAAGTATGTTTACGATATTATGAAGATTTATTAGAGCAGTGTCGCTATATTACTTCTTTCTCTTTCTATTATTTGAATTGTCTGTTTCCTAATAAATAATTTTTATTAAGTGAAATTTGTAAAAAGCTTACATAAATTGCCTAAAGATAATTTTAAAAAATTTCAGCAATTGTCCCCCGATTCGGTTAAATGTATCGAAGAAGAAGTGGAAGATGATCAGATGGCGAGTCAGGAGACATTGCAGCCTGTAAGTATTAGTTTCTAAAGGCTTTCAATATTAGACAGGCACCAAGTGTAATTTTATTAATTAATTTAATAAAAAGCACTATTAAGACCACTCAAATATAATTAATATATCAGATTCCCAATTCTGGTAAAACATTTTAAATTAACCAGTTTCACTGGGAGTCGAACTTCTGAATATGCCTATTATATTAATATTAAAAAATTTATTAATAATAATGATTTTATTATAAATACTCTGTTCAGCAATGCTTAACCATTTGTAAATTTACCTTCAAGAAAAGAGCGTACCAATTCTTAAAAGGCCGGCAACGCACTCGAGCCCTCTGGCATTGAGTGTCCATGGCGGCGGTATCGCTTAACATCAGATGAGGCCTCCAGATCCACAAAGATCCCCCCTATTTTGTGGTGGTGGAATTGTTTGGACTAAAGAAATGATTTATTGCACTAGTTTCTGCCTAATTTAAGTATCTAGGTGCATAATGTACACAGGGTGAATTTTCATAAAACATTTTACAATTTCAGGACGTGATCGACGAATTGGACAACACATTCTCGGGGACGAAGTGTTCCAAATCAAAATTGAGACCCTCCGACCCAATACCTATTTGGTAATATTTATTCGTAAATTACAATATGCTTAACCTACATAACAATAATTAATGGATAAATAGGAATTATGTTTCTTTAAAAGATTTTGTAACAAGTAAATATAATTAATAATTTAGTTTTAGAAATTCCTATAACGTTTAGCGTGCGACTCTCATGCCTGATGTCGTAAGTTCGATCCCCGGCTGCACAGCCGGTTGGTGCACACAAATGGACTTATTATGTGCGCATTTAACATTCGCTCGAACGGTGAAGGAAAACATCATGAGGAAACCGACATGTCTTAGACCCAAAAAGTCGACGGCGTGTGTCAGGCACAGTAGATTCATCATTTATTAGTGTATTACAAAAAAAATCTCGTTGTCTGTCTAAAACTCGAGAATCGCTGGACCGATTTGGCTAATAATGTTTTTGAAATATTTGTGTAAGTTCACGGAAGGTTTAAACGGTGGGAAATATTACATTTTACAATAAAAACTGTTCCTAGCTAGGAATTGGAAAATATTAGATGTCTTTTGTCGTTTTAGAAATAAAAATTTGTTACTTCGTTGTCATATATTAGGTCCTTACATATGAAATTGGCGTTTTGTATGGGAGGAACAAAAAGGTCGAATATTTTTAAATATAATATATTTAATTAATCAAAGTATGAACTATTGTTTTCTATGCCCTTTTGCCATCTCATAGGTAGTTCATTGATCCCTTTACTAAAAAAAACCAGTCGGACGGGAATCAATAAAATTTGTGAAGGCGATTGGGCCAACCCCATCAGAGTTAAATTTTTTCCCTTGCAAGAAGTTGTCCAAATTTCATCATGGTTTGCAATTGCTGACAATAGACATCAGCCGTAATAGTCTGGCCAGATTAGAGAAAACTGCAATGAACAATACCGGCACTAGTCCACCAAACGCTTACAAGTAACTTTTTTGGGGTTAATTTTCGCTTGGGGCAGGATTTGGCTGGCTGGCCAGGATCTCCATTGCGCTGAGCGCTTCCGATTATCGTAAAGAATCCATTTTTCATCACAGGTAATGATTCGGTTTAAAATACTTTCATTATTGTGCCGGTTCAGTAATGTAACGCAGCAGTCGACGCGCGTTTGCCGGTTTGCTTCAGTCAATTCGTGAGGTACCCATCTTTCAAGCTTTTTAATCTTCCCAATTTGCTTCAACTGAATTAAAACAGTTTTATCACTAACACCGCAGCCTGCAGCTAACTCGGACGTGGTTTGCGATGGATCCGCTTCCACAATAGCCTTCAATACTTCATTATCAACTTGGGTCTCAGGCCGTCCACGGGGCTTGTTCTGCAGGTCGAAATTTCCAGAACGAAAGCGTTGGAACCAAAAACGAACTGTGTTTTCTTTTGCAACATGACCGCCATACACATCATTCATCCTTCGAGTCGTTTTCGCAGCACTAGTGCCACGGCGGAACTCGTACTCGTAAATAATGCGATACTTTAAGTTTTCCATTTTGTAAAATGAGTGACGCAAACAGAAAAAAACAAATGAATGACGGTGATCGAAGCACAAATACATGAGTAAATAGCTGTACAAATTTGAATTTGGAATTCCTTACCAAAGAGGAGAACATCGTGATTAAAGTGGCCAGTACGAAATACGCCAATTTCATATGTAAGGACCTAATATTATATTTCAGAAATTTTTTGTTTCGTAGCTGTATAAGGTCCGATCCTTTGGTCTGTTTTAAAAATTTTGTACTATCTTTCGAAACAAATATATTTGGTGATAGAAAATTCACCGGGTCATCTAGTTAAGTATAAAAAAGTGAAATTGACAATGTACATTTTGGAAAAAGAATAATTTCGAGAATGTCATTACTTATTAGTTACCTAAATAATAATTAAAATTAACAATAAACATTTTAGCAACCTACACTATACAGTGAGTGGTCACGAAGCATCGTCTCTAGCGGCGCGCCTCAACGAAGAGCTGCGCTCGCGCAGTCATACACACCCTGATGACAGAGAACATGCGCAGGTGCGTATAAATGTGTATTTAATAACAATACTTATCTTATTTTAGATTTATTAGATCTGAATAATAATATTATGAGAATAATTTAAATAAGATTCACAAGGATTTCTTTTTTTTTATTAATTGCAAGACCATGGATACAAGGCCTTTGGTCAGATATGTGTTATGTATATTAATTAGTTCCAATAATCTCTGGAATATTTAAATATGAGGGAAGCTCGCTATTTTCTACGTTTTTGCTAAGATTAAAAATTAATATCTACTAGGCTGAAACGACGCCAGTAAAATAGTTTCTAAACTAATTAAATATACTAAACACAAAGTTGAAATCTTTGAACTTTTTCGTTTGTATTGGTTATATGTTAGTCCTACCATTAAAAATTGTTATAGAGCGAAGAGAAAGAGACTAAAGAGGGCGAAGAGCCACAGCCGCGAGCGCGCAGCTACGACCAACAAAAACAACATGATAATGGTAACACTGCGTACCCAATTACTGGCAACACCGAATCCAATGCAATGCAACCCTTCTATCTGTATGTGTCTTATAGGAGATAGATTGAGACTTATTTCCCTATTCGTCTTATTAATCTTACGCAGATATATGATTAATCTGTTTATAACCGCGAGTTAGGAAATAATTAAAACGCCGTTAAAACATTAACTTCGCCTTACATCCATAGATATAAATTGGCAATTTGACAAGATTTTAAAAATAATTTCACATCACTTACTAGGAACTATAGAACCTATAACTTTTTTTGAAATTCTGTTTGGCCTTTAAAAATTTTAATTAAACATTTCAAAAACCCGCCAAAACGGTTCACTAAGCAAGATGGCGTCGCACTCGTCCCTATAACCTAAACGCGTAAACAAACGTCAAGTTTTTACGTGTTAATTGTCATTACTAAATTACACAAATGTTCCACTTCGATCAAAAACAGTCTCTGACGAAAATAAACTCTAAGAAAGTATTAGGATTAGTTAGCCAAAGACATTATTTTTAGTCCATCGACAGTTCCGACTTATATGTGACCGTTTTATTTATTTATTTACAATAAACTCAATTCTATCCTAACAGATGACCCTAAATTGACAAGAATGCCAATAAAAATTCACAGACGATACAAAATAAGAATATAATTAGGAAAAACAAGCTAAAGAATTACGTAATGAAAAAATTAACTGCCTATAGAAAAACTAATTTCTATAGGCAGTGACACGTGTATAGGTATGTTATTTAAAGCTGGCGGCTTCAACACATTTACACTTTGTACTTGTGTAGTGTCTGTGAATAAGCGCGAGGCGTGATGTCAAACTGAAATACAATCACAAATACATCATGAAAAGACTGTCCGTCTCTCTCGCGCTCGGTCAAGCTTATGAGTATAAAAGAGACAGTTATTGTTTTGCTTTTGCTACTGTTTATGTTGATCTTTACTATACATGTTGATCTTTTTTCAAACATTACCAGGGCAATCTCGTGAAATGGTGCACAATGTTTTTAATTATTTTAAGCATCTTAATAAAAACAGTTTAATGAAAAAAAAATTATATTTCATTTGACATCAGATGCAGAAAGCTGAAAGCTGATTTGATTTTTTTTTTGATTTGTTGAAAGCTGGGTTCACCACCATACTCCTGAATCAAAGCAACAGTCCAAACAATGGAAAATATCTGGATCACCTACTCCGAAAACGGCTAAGGTCGTTTTGTCGACCAACAAAGTCATGGCTAGATGGAGCGTATGTCGAAAAATAAAAAATTATTTACACGAACTACTCTTTCACGTTCTTGGTCTGGCTTAGAACTTTTGGATCCACCCTCGTATGCACCTAATATTTATATGTATTTGACACATTTTTATTTATTTACAACCCACCCAACCTTACTAAAACCAGAGTGGACTAAAATATATAGCTTGGCAAAAAAATCATATTTTGAAACATACTGTATGTGAAATTGCATTAGTGTGAGTACTGTGAACCCGCCAGCTTTCGATAACCGACCTATACATGACTCTTCAAAGCAATATTTTTCATTATGGATGTTTTAATACATTAGTAAATGTAAGTTATTTTACTCGGCGTTTTAGTCATGTTTTATACAGATTACTTTCCACTTAATTTTTTATACTATATACTGCCTATTGTTAGACTGGTATGTCAAAATACTGTAGGATTTTGCCTTGGACCTATTGAAGATATGACTGACTGAAATTGGCAAGTTTATAATTTTGAAAGCAAAAACAGAAGATCATAGCCCAAGACTCAATGGTTACATTAATACAAACAGCGGTTTTCTAATGTAACTTATTATGATTGTATTATATTATTTCGTAAAATAAAGAAATTAAAAAAAAAACTTAAGATATTTTATATAAGGGGCAAGGTTTTGGATTCGGTGTTTATCGACTAACTAGTGTGGTAACTTTGGCCCAGTAGTCAAGTCGACTTAGGAGCAGTCCGATTAAACGTTTTTTACTAATAAACACTATTTAGCCTAGTAGGCTAAATTAAAGTCTCAGTTTTGGATCACTAATGAATTTTGATGAATTGAAACTAGTTGTATACAGGTAAGTATATTTACAATATTTCATATATAATCTATATTCCCTATTGAAGGTTTTATTGTGTTCGAATTCTAGGGAAATGGAATCTATGTACCCTATGGGTACTTATGCTTATTAAAAAGCCGGTAACGCACTTGCGAGCCCTTTGGCATTGAGAGTGTCCATGGGTGGCGGTATCACTTAACATCAGGTGAGCCTCCTGCCCGTTTTCCCCCTGTTCTATAAAAAAACACTTCTCGGAAGTACAATTCCTTCTAAACAGAACTTCATCAGTCCTGGTGATGGCTTGCATGTCATGTAGATTCTTTCACACCATTTAAATGGCTTACTTGAAGTCCATAGAGTTAAGAAATGATTGTCTACTAATAGAGCTCGTTATCGTTTGATGTTTGTGATTTTTGTGGAAGTAGAAAGTTGGCTGCGGCGTTACGCCCTTAGCTAGCTCACTCTGGCCGGCGATCTTGTGTGTTGCGTTGCCTCGGAGGCGTGTGAATACGAGTGTTTGACTGACCGCATGATCTAACATTAATTCACTAATATATAAATGTTAAATATACTGAATGTACTATTGAGGTGAATCACGTCGAAGCTTTTTAAAAAAGTTCTTTAGTGATCAGTGATCGTCTTTTATCTTTATATAGAAAAATTATATCGCAAGGTTGGAATATAAATAGAGGGCTTTCATTAATGACACTTAGCAAACTTGAAACTAGTTGCTTTGCTAGTTCTGCGTCGACGTCCGTCAACACAGGAGTAGTATTGCGATGTAGGGTCGAAGTTTGCCGGTCAATCGCTCGTTGCCACCGCGTCGGGCTACAGTTCTATCGTACCACTGCCACGCTTACGAGCACCTCTATTCTATGTATTATGTAGTTTATTTATTTATTCGCCCGTGAATTTATTGTTGTTTTGACATACCATTTAAACTAAATGATTTTCTCTTAGATTTGTGGTCAAAACGGCAACTGATTCGCGGCATATCTATACAATACACTAATGTATTCTATATCACTCCCCTAACCCGCTCGCATATCATATAACCGCTCGTGCCCCGTCGCGTATCGTAGCCCCCGTTGTCCCCATACTGAGAGTGAGTCCCCCTCATTGCCCCCCTTCCCCCCCTTTCGGGCGCGTGGGGACGGGGCGCGTGGCCTCGTGGCCGGACTGTAGCGTGCGCGGCGCAGGGCGGCGTCAGCGGCACAGCATCGCCGGCCAGATGAGCTACCTCAAGATGTTGGGGCTGGCTAGAGGCAAGTTGGGAGGCGCCGCGGGACTCTTCAGTACCGCCGTTATATCGGGCTCCAGTTCAGCGCCTAATCTCCGAGTTATGATACCCTCAACTAATAGTAATAGTGAGTATTCATCCCAATACTATGAGTTTACCTGCTGTTTAGAAAAAAGTCCAGCATCCAAGTCTCTGAAATAGTCCAAATACACGAAGTAAAGAAATTACAGTGAGGAAAACGAAATTTTCGTGTACTACAGAACTTCGACAGCTATAATTTAGATTTTTTTATAAATTTACTTAATTTCCAAGTAAAAATACTATATTTTTGTATTTATTTATACTTCAATGCAAGAAATACTATTAGAATAATTAAATAATGAGTAGGTCTACTGGCGGCCTTATCGCTTTCAAGCGATGTCTATCAGGCAACCACTGTAAGGATAACTGCGAAAGATACAATTACTTTGACTTATACTTTATGTATGGAATTAAACAAAGTAATTTAAACATGTAGCCAATGAAAAAGGACACATGAATCACAATATTTTCAGTTCGTACAAAAGTTAAGGATACGATGTGTATAATGTACTATATTGAGTTTTTTATATAGCGGCATTGGAGGGTTTCGGAGGTGTGCCAGCTATTCGCCCTTTGGAGACACTCCACAATGCGTTGTCTCTGCGACAGTTGGACGATTTCCTTGAGAGACTCAGCGCAGCCCCTGTTCAGACAATGACAAAACCCCTTGTTAAGCATTCGCCTACCAATAGTACGTATTTATTTTGTAGTATTATTTATAAAAAAAAACACTATAGTTTCAAAAATTTAACATATTCCAATAAAAATGGGATTGTACCTTTCTGTGGATAGCACCTTCGCCTAAGTTAAGTTAACGTAAAGAAACCTTAAAATGGGATTTTTAAATTAGAAATATTTTATTGTCATTAAGCCTTAAGACACATTATACTTTCTAACAGGATTGACATATTGAAGTGATAACTTCTTATGGGTGGGTAAACCGCTTCGTTACGTAACGCGTTACGGCGCCAGTCTGTCTAGTGTCCCTTTCTCTGACGCATACGGCAGCCGTAGGCAGGCTCCTCCTCTCTCACTCTAACCCGCAGCGCTAGTCATATTTCGAACAGACGCTGTCCCCTCTCTCGTTGGTTAGTACGGAACTCTTATCACAAATTGATTCCAAGTTAAAACAAATGACTGGAAACTTTCATACAAATTTTGGTGGTTTTATTATTAATTAACCTTTCTTTATATTATCATATTAATATACATATCATTTATGTAATAACCTAAGTTTTTCTCAAGTTAAATAATTTCAATATTAAATAGTTCAACTTAGATTAGTTTAGTATTAGTGTCTCGAAAACTTGTCTGGTGATTAACTTGTAGATTTTGCATTTTTTGTAATGATTTTTTTTTTTCATTTTTTCTAATAAATCTAGGTTCTAGTACATTCGGTTAAAAGCCTTTCACAATTGACTAGCTGTGTCCCGCAGTTTCTTCTACGTATCCAAGCCTTTCTCGATGTACAATAATTGTTCGATTTTGTAGTTGCAGAGATCAAACACCTTCAGTAAAAAAGTTTAGATTTCGTGACGAAAATTTCTCTTACCTTACACTAATATAGGTGTAGGTTGGAGTGGTCCATCTTCTTTGATGTCATCATCAGGAGAACTACCCAGTGCCTTGTCATCAGCCGGCCCCTCTTCACCCAACTCCAACTACGCCGGATCCGAAAACAAAAACAACGAAAGGTACGTCGTATTCCACAGATTTGTAGGATACAGATGGAGTGAAAATGCCCGAGTATTCAATTTTGAAAGGAACATTGGTTCCCTATAAATAATATGAAGGCATTTTCACTTTTAATTACATTTATTGAAATGAATTTTTTTAGATATAGACCTCTATCACTCTTCTTCGATTAAGTATGTGTTCCGAAATTATCTAAAATAATAATTAACCCCGTTTATTTCCAATCTTAACGGTTTAGTTTTTAGATGTGTTATATACATCCTTCAGTACCATTGATCAGAACTCCTTCCTGGGTAAAGACCTCTAGCATTTTCCAAAAATCCATGGCTTTCTTTCTCCATTCGCTTCCTGCTAACGCTTCTATTTCTTCTATCCACCTCAGGGCGACCTCTTCTCCTTCCCTTTGGTCCTTTAGTTGTCTTTAAAGTCTAAATAATATTTTTGTATTTTTTTTTAATGAAATATATTTCGGGAAACCTATTTAAGATGATCACTTGTGTCATTAAATCTGCTAATATGCTTATTTTTGTCATTTTTTGTTGTACATACAAGACCTGAGTCGTTTGTTTTCACATTTTGCACATTGTGGGTTTAATGTGCTAACACCGCTTACGTACCATGATCTTATTTTTAAAAAAAAATTTAATTTATTGTTGAAATAGCCATTTTAGGTGGTAATTACAAAAGTTTAAGAGTTTTCTCCCATTAACAAATACTCATCAAAATTTGTAATAAATTATTTAGTAAACGTTCTAGGTTTTAATTAATAGTTTTGGATTTTATTCATTATCAAAAATTATAAATCTAATATGAAAATAAAGAGCTACTACGCAACTACAACTTAAAACATTACATTATTATATAACTTTGTTTGGTACCTAATTGTATATATTTTCAGTGTCACTTGTTATTTTTTTTTGATGATTTGGTTATACATTTCTTGCACTTTACCCTTAGTATTTCTTTTTTTTTTAGTTTTTCCTTACTATGGTTAACTGGAAGATATCGCTTGTTAGCGATAAGGCTGCCTATTGCATCCCTAATAATTTAAGTGTTTTTGTTTGTATTTTAATGTAACGAAATTGAACGAAAACGAAAAGAAAGTGGATAGAACATATCTTTTCACACATGTCAATATAAAACAAGTATGAACTAAGGTCTTAATTCAAGAATTAAAACAGATGTTTAAAATCATTATAAGATCATGGTACGACAGCAGAACAGTTCCCGTACGTTTGGGAAATGCATTTTAACATTCCAGTAGCAATTGGAGTAAAAATGTTCCAAACAAGCTCCCCCAGTGGGACGGCGAGGCGGCGACATTGTGCGAGCTGCGGCCCTACGCTCTCGGGGAACTCCTCCCAGGTATCACTTCCGCACAGGATATACTCACACACATGAAATGCCTTGAGGCTAATCGTAAACTCGTTAATAAAAAAAACATTTATGAAAATAGTAATGCGACATGAGTAAGGGCTAGTTTATCTAGTTCTTAGGGTAGGAAATTAGTCACACCAATAATTACTTTACATAAACTGTATTACTTCAAACTTAAACAAATGAATTGCCCGTGCGCATGTGTCGCAACCTCTTTTATAATCTATTCCCTACTCCGACTCGACCATCCCACTTCGGGGAGATGTTCGAGTCAATTCGTAAACAACCGAACGAGTCAAATGAGTAACTATTGCACATGCGCACTTGTAGCAAGATTCTTAAGAATATGTTTCATAAAAATGTTTAGAATTTAATTAAATAAATATTAAAAGCTAAGCATGATTGTTTCCAGTGGTTAATTGAGCTTTATGCTAAGTGGTGGACATGACACACTTGGACAGTGTACACTGACAATTCATTCTAGGCTTCTGTCGACCGTTACTAAGAGAATAAAATACTGTCTGATTTAAGTTATAAACAAAACACTGAAACACACATAAAAAACTTTAAGATTAAGTTAACAGTATAACCCACAAAAATATTTTTAAAAACAGCAAATACGCCTACAGTTAAATCTATTCATTATACTTTGTCTAAATAGATTTAAAAATAAGCAAAATACATTTCAATATATTTATATTAGCATGTTTCCTCTTATTAGACACGTTCAAAATATCAGCGCAGCACAAAATCGTCGCTTCTCGATTATTAAATTGCACGTGCACGAAATCATGAAGCATGGGATTCAGTTTTGCATGGTTTAATCTTAATATAGTTAAAAATTTAAACTGTAAAAGTTAATGTTAGCGTAGTGCAATTGTTATGTCTATTAAAAACATCGGATTATAATATATAAATAATATTGTATAAAACTTTTCTTTATAGAATATATGTGTTAATTACTTTAATTAGATTCTAGCTATTGTCTCTGATGTCACTATAAAGACGGTCTTTTTTAACTGTACAGTGGTACTTTGACATCTCAAAGCAATTTTCCCCATTGAAATTAATTGAAATGTCATTAATCCGTTGCAGCACCCAAAACGTTGTTTTTGTTAAGTTTGAAGAAGAAAATAATTTCACGCTTTAATTCAATAGAAAACGTCTTCTTCGGACTCCTGGTTGTTAAAAAACTGTGATAATGTTTTGTAAATATACAAAAAGCACAAAACGCGAACCCAACTTATCAAAAATGCTTGGTAAACGTGGGAAAGAACGCACACAGACAGGTCTAGTCAGAGATGGGAGAAACTGTTAGTGTAGTGTGATTCCTCGTATCACAAATCTTACTCTCATCTCAACGCAAAATATCGCTCGCTCGGCTGCTCTTATGTCAAAACAGTCGTATATTAGGGCACTCTTATATCGAGGTACCACTGTATTTGTACAACGTAATGCAACCGGCAACGTACCTACTCGCGAGCCTTTGTGAATCTACATAACATCAGGTCCTCTGACCTCTACCTCATTTGCCTCAATAAAAAACTATTTGCGCGAATTGTTACTTGTTATTTTTTGCAGTGATAAGGACAAATATTTTTTGAATAGATGCCTTATTTTACAATGGACATAATATGAATGTATTGTATTTAAACACAGTAACAACAGTTTTAAGTTTACAATTTCCCATTTGAACAATGGATTTTCATTGTCCAGTCAGCATTGTATATAGCGGCTATAGCATTCGCTATACGTTCATTCAGAATAGTTTTGATTTTGCAATACAGCGATAGTCCAATAGTTTGATAAAGTATGAAGCGTAAAAAACGTCTAAAATTTGTATGAAATATATAAGCGCTGTTAGATTTTTATACGAAAAATGTACGCAAAGACAGCGTACTTGTCGAATTCATAGGATGTGTTTGTCTCACGGGCGATCATAATTCACTGAAAGATGGTTTTAAACTACTTGTAAACTCTAGTTCGATAATAAGGCATGGGGCATATTAGATTTTGCCGAAGATCATGAAGCCACGTCGCTATCCTCGCGATTTGCCTTCAGTGTACTAAATAAGTGTTTATCCTATTTATATTTTAAAATGATTATATGAAGTCCCCTGGCTGTGTCTGTTTACCTGAATAAATGTGATAAACTCAAAAACTACTCAAGCGTTTGTAAGAATAGATAGTGTGATTCCGGAAAGTTTAGGTTTATATTTATTATGTTTTTTTCTATTGACTGAAACATAAGAATTATCTACGATATATTGATTGGTTAAGACGTCCCAAAGCTTTACAAAATACATACGCGAAATCCACGTGAGCGGAGGAGCGGCCGGTTGTGGTGTTTATAATGAAAAGTTCTACTACAGCCAGAATTTCTTTGGTCGGTAGCTCTGGTCAATAAGAGTGTCTGTAGCGGACTATCTGTCTCTCTATTGTGTTGTAAAGTTTTGAGGACGACAAGTCTTTTACTTGATCGTTCCACCTGGTTGGTGAACGACCCGATCTTTTGCCTTCTGTGTTACCAACTACGATCAGTTTCTCCAAGTTCTCATCGCCTCTGCCCATTAGTATGGCGTAAATATTAAATAATTCGTATGCGAAGATGGGTCGATATATTGGTGCGCTTCGGACACTACAAGGGTAACCCAGCTTATCGTGGTATTCTAACTTCAGGGAAAAAGGATTTTTGTCATGTAATCCTTTGTATAATAATTATATGTGACTGGCGAAATGTATGCCCTATGGGACATAAGGGTATTAAAGATTGGTCACTTTAACATTTTCATTATATTGTAGGTTCTTCTATTAGCGGCGATGTGACGCCCGTTTCTGCGAGTTCAGAACTCGAGTTCAATAGTAACGAGGCCACTGCCGGATCGCTCACCGATCACGATATTATGGTGGGTAAATGACCTGTAGTACCAGGGTGGAGCAAGAGACATAGACCACTGTTCTACACATATTTCTATTTGCTACGAATCTACAACTTCTTAACTATTAGTTTCTAGTACTACACCGTTTAACCGATTCTGATAAATTAATGGCGAAAACCGAATCTACAATTTTTACTCCATAATAATTTTACAAATAAAAAGGTGGGATTACCTCTAGTTATGAAAAGTTATGGTAAGGTTAAGAATTAGTGTGACCCTTCATGACGCCGGTCAATGGCTTAATCTTAGTTACTATAAACTCGTATTATTTTACCGCATTGTTCGTCATTATTGGACGTTAGGACTTAAAACATGCTCGGTTATTGGGTAATTTCTTTTTATTCATTAGATCGGAGTGATATATATTTACAACACATAGTTTCATTGTATTTGGATAAACTAATTTTAATTATTTTGGTACATCCCTAGTGTAGGAAAAGAAAAAAAACTCGGTAGTGTATAAGTGTTTAGCAATGTTTTAATGAAACTTATTTTATTCAAATATGTTTCGTTCCCAGAGTGCAGAGGGTGAAGATGACGAAGGGACACTATCAGCGGATCCATGTAGTTCGCCTGTAAAGATAATACGTAATGATTTGAGCCCAATATGCACAAGGAACACCCTCAAGCCAACAAAAACTAACTTAGTGTCATATAATCTCACCCCACAACAGACAGAAGCCTTCTTCAAAGATCTTCCCTGCAGCACCAAAAACTTCAACAAAGACGAAACAAAGAAATGTTCAAAGGAACGGTTGAAGTTCTACAAAAACTTAGATTCACTAAACATACAAAGAGATTTAGGAAAATTAGAAAGCGAAGTTAGCACCAGTAGAAGATATAGTGACAGTAGCGCCCAAAAGAGCACAGCTGTAACTGGAAGTAGATTCACTACAACGCTTGTGTCCGAAGACTGTTTGAGAGCTAGCGCTTCTGGTGAGAGCAAATCAAATAATAACATAGCCAATACGGTACACAAACCTATCCTAACGCCATTAGTGACTACAGCTAAGAATGCTAATGTTAAACCCGGTTTTAACTTATGAAATAATTAGATCCTTTATTTTTAAATCATATACTTATATTGTTATGCACAAATTGACATGAATGTTAATAAAGGCTATAAATTTTCAGATAGTGAACAACTTGCCGATTGAATGGATATAAATAATATGCCGGCTACATTGTAACCCTTCACTGGCTATTTGTAGGTTCTAGTTAAATAGTGATATTTACAAAATAGTTTGTAATAAGTTGTATTATTTAATATAAAGTGCTTGAGAATTCAAATTTAGTTTTATTTTGCACCCGCTTCTGGTCTAAACATAACATTATTACATTTAAGTTTTGGCATATCATAAGTAGAATAATTAAATTAGATCTTTTATAAATAGAAACCTCTTTAACTCATGTAAAAACAGCTCGAGGAGGCCTTTGTGCCACAGAGGCAAGCTGTACAAGAGGACAGCTGTGCAACAAAACCTTAAAGAACTTTTTTTTTATATACATATTTTGTAAACTTTCTCTTGTATGAGTTGAAATAAAGGCTTTGAAATTGAATCTCATGTTCAGAATCAATACTTCACTGTGAAGGGAGTCACATCCAATCCAATATAGATTGAATTTGACATATGGGAAAAAAAATTACCATTGTCTCGACTCTGAAATTTACCCATTAATAATATAGTATGATAAGAAAAAAACAATTCAATAAAAATACCCTTTTATTTAATAAAATTTAAAGCTCACAACATAATGTACCTAACTTAACTTAAAATATGGTAATGACCAGACTTACATCACATAAAAAGCTAGCAACTAAAGCGGGCATAGTAAATGTACTATAATGGTATTACTGCAATTTAATGGTTTTTGGTGCCATGTGCATCATTCCAAGAAGGGTGTTGAAAATACCCCTGTGCTGGATACCTGGCCAGAGCAAAATCACCACTGAGAATATATAAAGCAGAAAAACATTGTTGATTGATGCTGCCATCCATGCTAGAGTGCATAACATGCTGATTGATATAATGTAGTACTGAAAATAAAAAGATAACATGTATATAAAAAAGATTTTTCATTAACTTACATTTAATAATTTAATTCTTACCATAAAGGGGCTGTTTTCCCTGAGGGAATAAAATTGGCACAGCTGATGAAGAGTTTTATTATAAGAACTCACAATGCTTCTGCAAACTTCGTCAAACACCTTCTCATGCTGACCAGTCCATGAGTTAGGATTGCAGATTGAGTTACAGATAATTGGTACAATAAAATCTAAGAAGTTGAAAAATAGACCAATTATCGCAAACGTCGCCAAGCTATTGAGATCCATTAACCAAATAATAAAATAAAGAACGGACACAGTTGCAACTATAGCGCACGGATGCCACTGCTGTTCCCAGAGAAATATGGATTTTATAGGCAGTACTGCCATACGCCAACCGTCAAGCAATTTTTTCAAGTTCTTTATTTGTATTTCCTAGAAAAAAAATTATAAAATCATTTAACGACCGTCAAGCAGAATCTTCTAAGAAGTTGGTTACATACCTGGTTTCCTTCAGACATAGTTATTTTTACAGGTTTGACTGTACCTATGGCAATAGTTAGATATTTGAATCTTCAAATATCGGTTTACCACTTCGTGACTCCCTACTTAACCGTTCACACCTTGAGTTCTTGACCGTTTTCTTTTGTTAAAAAATTCAAACAAAAAATCGATGCTCAGTCACTTATGAGTTAAGCGTGACACTTGCTTTCCACCCTTGACAAATGTCAAAATTTTAATCATAGATTATTTTTTTTTTGCAGTTTATGGCCTGGTATCTAGACTTTTAGGCCAAAATCATAGATTATATATATATAAATTCATAGAAAATACACTAATGGTCACATAGGTTCATATTTTTTTACTACTGAATAAAAAATAAATTATATTTTTTAAACGCAAAAAGAGCAGACTCGAAGACGTTGATAATAAGGATAATTCAGTAATGTATTTTCAAACAATCAAGACTATCCCTTCTTAATAGTAATCTAATGATTAGAATTTCTTCTAATTTAAAGTAGTTTCAATGATTATTTAAATTTGGTATGAATATCGTGAAAAGAAAGACAGGCCATATAATAATCATTTTTATTGGAATGACTTTAAATAGAATTTATATAAAACATAAAAAACGTATAAAAAATTATAATAGGTATTTTTTAAAAGTAAAAAATAAAATCAGTATAAAATAATCTCATACCTTAAGTACTAAGCAATTCAATCATAACTTACATAATCTTAATATTTTAAAACAATTTATACAAGAGGTATAGAGGTTTAGGAAGTTACTCTTTTGAAATACCTTTTAGCAGGGGTCTTTGCCTTTTCATGAGTTAATGTCTGAAAAATAAAAGAAAAAGTAGTTGATATTACGGAACAATAAAGCTGCAGCTAGGAAGTTAAAAAATATATTATACTCATAATAATTGAATCCATTTATATACTAATACAAGAGTCTTTTGTAGTAATATAATAAATAGTCATTGGATTACTTACAATGACACACTCTTCATCTGTAAATAGGTAATGCCTGGAAGTTTTCTCTCCTGTCTCTGGTATCACAGATTCTGTTATCAACTCATTCTCATTCTGCATTTTTGATACACTCTGTAAGGATATCAGTAATTACAATTTAAAAACAATTCAATGCTAATGACAGTATAAGGCATTTTTAAATATATTTTCTCTAGCTAATACCCCAACTATTTTGTCATTGCAGGTATTGAGAAACACATAAATATTGATTATAATTTGTTTCTGGTAAAAACTTTTTGTTATTACTTATTATAATAATATAGAGTATTTCGCTTTTTTTTTTATTAAAAATATACTAGCTTAGATATATCCAGGATTCAGTTAGTCTATTTTTATGTAAAGTTTACCTTAATAACAGTTTTACTAGGCATTTCCTCTTCATATTCCTCTCCAAGGGTGAATTTGTATTCTACTGTTCTTAACAAAGATGATGTTTTAATTGTCATATTATCACCATCAACTGTTATCTCCATAAGTGGTGATGACAATCCCATCATTTTTCTGCCCATAAAAGGGACACCTGAAAGATGTCCTTGCAGTTAGGGACTAATAATAATAATAAAGTTAATTTGGTGGAAGTTACCAAATGTAATCTTAGAGAATTTTACTTGGCACAGTTAATGGTAATCTACAGTTTAGACTAAAACATAATATTTCCTGTCAAAACTTTGAAAAAGTACATTGGCTAGATTAAGGTATTTCACCAATAAGTACAGATTCTAAAGTATATGTACCAATAACAATATTCTACTTGTAATGTTAACATAAAACATACCAACAGCAGAGAAGTAGTCATCAATGTTATCATTTTTGTAGTGCTGATATTTTCCTGCTATGGATGGCATTTTAAACTTGGTACTCACACTTATACCTATCTGAATCAATTTGTGTGAATCTGAAAGTGAAAGTACCTATTTTTATATCTTTAATTAGCTACACGATAAGTATATTTATTGATTAAATATCTTGTACGTGATATGTGATAAATTATTATTAATAATTTTGTCATAAGTGAGTAAAGATAAGCTTAAGTATTTATTTAAGTGCATTCATAGTAATGATAAGAGGCATGTGGATATATATAACGAAAAGAAAATTTATAATTAAAGTATACTCGATCATAAAACTTAAATATACGTTTTTATTTTACGATAAAATCGATCACTTAAATTAGCCATAAGTTATTAATAATTAATTTACTTGTATCCAATTTGATCCTGACTCGAGAAAGCTAGTTTTATGTGTGGTATTATTATTCAATTATTTTTGTGATAATAATTAAAAATCCAAATAATTTTCGCAATTTGTACCTGAGCCCTGCCCCTGACAATGTGAACCAGTGAACTGCGAAGTGCACAGAACACAATTACCTAAAGGCGAAGTGCGAACTGCGAACTCTACCGCCTAAGCCTGACGCCTCCACAGATGGCAGATCATACATCACGCCATTAAGAGAACAAAACTATAGTCGGCGAAAGTACTCTAACCCTCTATATAGTCTGTTATTGGCCACTCAGAATCGTGAATGAAAATAATTTTAAGAAAAAGAAAAATATTTTTTAGTTCAGATAGGATTCCTAAGGGAAAGGGAAAACCCCTAAGTTGGCATTATTGGCTGGAAATCTTAAAAGTTATTAATAGACTTGTTTACTACACGAAGAACATAGTTGACATTAATTACTTCTCGACAACTTCTAATGTCAGTATATTCTAAAATAGCATTAGATCAACACACATTTCATTTGATAATAAGGAAAAACGTTACATAAAAAGAAAAAAATCCTGTTCATGTTAACTTTTGTAATTTTTATTGCTTTTAATTCTAATATTCTGCTATTTTTATATGTCAAGAAACGTCTGGCAGAAACTGGCAACATTTATTTTATATTACAATCATATTGTTTGGCCTAAAGGTCTAGATACCAGGCCATAAACTCAAAAAAAAAAAAAAATACACTCATATTGACTATGAGCTTTTGAAGTATGAAATTCTGTGGTGGTTTGCGAGCGAGATGTAATTCAGTGTTTTTATTTTTATTGATATTTTGTATAGCATACAAATTTATACGTTCATAAACCTATTTTAACCTAACTTGTTTATCCTTTTTTATATATATAAGTGTAACGTGAAAGTTCATGTTAAGTGTAATTATTAATTAAAAGTACTCCCGTGTTACTGAGTGAATTGTTGATATCTTTAAGTGAGTGTTAAATAGAACGAAAACCCAGTGAATATAAAGAAAAATGGGAGATAAAGAGGACTATTTGACATCATATCGATTGTTTTTCGAGAATTTTGCTGCAAATGTAAATCCAGAGGACCAATTACCTGTATTTGCTTCTGACTACTCCATCACGGAGGCAGAATTGCCTGGCGATGTTATTTACTGGACCATCGAGTATCTACGAGAGAAGTAAGTTTATATCCTTTACTATGCCTGTTTACATTGTATAAATGTAACTTAGGAGATTACTTTAGGGCTTTTTTGTAAAAAAATCCTTTATCTTGAATTTGTATTTTTCATGATAATTTTGGAATTTTCAATACAATTTTATAAATAATTTTCCAAGTATTATACATAAGGTTACTTGGATTATTTGACTTTAGCAAATATGAATGAAAAATAGAAATATTGCTTTTTTTAATTTTCGTCTATGTACATATATATATACAACATTACAATGATACATACATACACATCAACAATATTCGAAATTTAAAATAATGATTAAATAGTGATCTTTTGTTCTAATATTGAATTGAGTAATGAGTATGGCTTTAAATGGCATAGTTAAAATTGTATGCAAAAATATTTAGCTTAAAAGTTATAATCTGTCATTCATATCTTGCCATTTTGACTCTATTTGAAAATGGTGAAAAGTGTTATTTTCATTACTTGACATATAAAAACATACAATGTCGCAGTCTTGCATTACTATTCATATTCCTGCTGGTATAATTGGAAATATACATAGAATATACTTATTTTTTAAACTTTGTGTATGTTGTTGCATTGGAAAGGTTGCATAATAATATAATGATCTTGAAATATAGTAACTCTACAATAAAAGTGATGACAGTGATCTATGTCTGGCTGGTACTGATCTACACTAATAGCTGACAGGGTGAATTTTATACACATATATATTATAGACATACATGTTTTTACTTGACCTCTACGTGTCAAGGTCAGGCTTGAACTGTTAGCAACACGCCTTTGTTATAAGACAGGTTTTTCTGATTTTTTAGACTGTAAAATTTTGAAGTTCAATAAACTTAAAAGAATTTTATTTATATTTTTAGGATTTATTTATTATTATACAACAGTACTTAATTTATATGCATCACTATAATTAATCAATAATTTTTATTTTATATGTTGAAACTCCAGAAATGAAGCTCATTTGCTTAGTACTTGAAACCCCTAGCATTATTTTTTTCTGTTGTTTTATATATTTAAATAAACTTAAAACAATATATAGTTTGAAAAAGGGTTCACTGCAACATAAACAATGTTTGATTTTAAAAGCATATCAGGTCATTCACCTGATACATTTAAACTGTACAAATATGTTAACTATTTGCTCAGTTGTTAAAAACAAAAGCTGCTTTTTTAATATATAAATGTCAATATTAGTCCTCAACACCATAATATTATTTGTGTATGTAAAGTAGGGAGATGGAGCCCGAACCGAACGAAAACGGAACCGAAAAAATATAACCGAACCTAACGACCGTTTCACAACTTTCGGATAGTTTCGGAAAGGGCAGAGTCCAAAAACTAGAAAAACACAGTTATCTAGAAGACAGGGTCTTGTTAATGGGTTCATTTCTCACAAAAATAAAAAAAGAAAACAAAAACAAATTATAACTATTTGGTTATATTTTACTTCAAACAATAACCGAACGAACTACCGAAACAAGGAAACCGAAAAATACATATCCGAACCGAACCGAAACCGAATAATTTTATTCCTATATCCATATCCGTATCCAGATCCGAAATATCATATCCATAACATCTCTAATGTAAAGTATAGATCATTCAGTTATGATTAGGTAACAATTGAAAACCTGACAAAAAATATTTAGCTAACTTTCATCTTCTACATATAAGAAAAAAAATGTGTATTCATTTATTTATTTTCCTACATAATTATATTATTACTAATAGGATAGTACTACACAATAATACCTACACATGGATAATTCTACAATTAAGAATACAGTTGAAAAAAATCTTATAACTAATCATACGTCAAGCATCAAGCAATACATATCATATACACTACAGCATACTATCCTAGCTTTGAGCCTTCCTGTGCTATATTAATCAGTTTTTTGGCATGTGCCTAACCCTTACCCCACGAACAGTGTTGGCCTAGTGGCTTCAGCGTGCGACTCTCATCCTCGAGGTCGTAGGTTCGATCCCCGGCTGTGTACCAATGGAATTTCTGTCTATGTGCGCATTTACGGTTAGCTCGAACGGCGAAGGAAAACATCGTGAGGAATTGACCCGGCTTGTCTTAGACCCAAAATGTCGACGACGTGTGTCAGGCACAGGAGACTGATCATCTACTTGCCTATTTGATTGATCATGAATAGATACAAAAATCTGAGGCCCAGACCTAACAAGGTTGTTAGCGCCCCTGCTAGGTCTGGGCCTCAGATTGTTTGTTTGTTTTTGTCTAACCCTAAACAAAAATTTCCCGAGGATTGATTTCACCGTTGTGCATAATATTCAACAAACACAGGAGATTTGGTATTTAAGTGTTTAAATGGTTGACAGATTAAAATGCTAATAACTTAGAAACCTCCAAATGAATCGAACTAATAACACTATATTTATAGAATGTTTGGACTGTTGAAATGAGTTACTAATTATTTAATTTAAGAACGAGTGAGTCAGTATGGTAATATGTATAGGTATTATAAACCACAACCCACAGGTGACGTACAACGTAGGTTTGTATAGTTACAGGCTAGTCGATGATACAATATGTGTGTGTAGGAATAATATTCATGTTTTCCGTGATGAATAATAAAATACTCATCGCTGTTCTAGCATCGAATTATTGTTAGTAGCCATTCGTACTTTGTTCTTGTTATAGGTAATTTACAACTTACACTACACTTTAAAATCCATAAGTTTCTCATTTTGAAACTATTCTAGATGTATTACATTGGTTACTTGCAAACTTACGCAAATAGGAAAGTACAAATATACATTATCTATGTTAACTAGACTGAAAAGATTTTATTTGCACATTGTTTTAAACCTTTCACGTATTTTTAGGATGTTAAATAACTGATTTCCTAGTAATTATATCATACACAATATTATGGTACAATTAAATCAAGTTGATTTCGAATGTATAAATTTGCAATCATTACGTAAATTTTATACAACAGTAAAAAAGAAAGTAATTAGTAAACTGATGAATTTTTGGCCTTTGAAATTCGATTGACCTTTCAAACGCAAAAAACTGATTAGAAGCTGTTGGCACACCAATGATGTATTGATTTTGCTATCAGAAATGAACCATTATGAACTATTTATATAAATTATTGTTGCTATATGTAAAATACAGTTTTTAAGAGTCAAATAAATGTTTAAGAAGTCGTTTAAATTAAAGCCTTTTATTTTTATGAATATGTCTCAATATCTTGGTTTTATTTGACATTAGTAAATCCTACGCTCGTGTTGAAATGATTACATGTTGTGCAAAACATATCCAATACTATTTCGTTTTACACATTTACTACGCAATAGACTCTGTCAACAATAATATATATTGTCTTCGATGTATTTTATCTTCTTAAGTAATCATACTTCTGATGCGA